ATAAAATAAACAAAATAAATACTTCAACTTGCCTTCATCAATTTTACAATCAAAAGAAGATTATTTCAATCATGATGTGCAACATAATTTCGCAACAATATAAATAATAGAATTTTTCTACCTCAGATAACTTGGGATTGCCATCTACTAAAGCTGAAAATGATTCGTAAAAACTACACCAATCAGTTTAGTGGCCCGAAAATACGGAAATATTCAATACAAGCAGTTCGCCTTATAATTATTATTGGCACAACTGGAATTAAGACCGCTACCAGCTCGGTCAGAAATATTTTGCCGCGCGTTAATCTTTTTTTGTCAAACACAACTGATTTTCGTACAACAATTCATCCCACTAGAGAACACCGACAAATTCGGATTGGCTCAACTGTACAACCCACAATATGAGTGTATGATTGGTTGGTTACTTCTGACAAGTGCGTCTAAGGCTCGATGCACACGGGTGATTTCCAATGCCAAGTTCGCCGCGAGCTCCCCGCGAGGTTTTCTCGCGCGCGGGAGCGGACCAAAGAAACAAATGATGTGGTTCACACGTAGGCGAACTCGCAGCGAAGTCGCTGCGTGCACGCTACTGTCCACCAGCACTCGCCAGGAACTGCTCCTTCACACGCCTCGCCGCTCACTTGCGCTGGCGTCTACAAATTATCAGTGTAGCTGTATGTTAATAGTTTCCAATAGTGAGATGGATTCTCCCGGCTTTGCTACCGATAGTTTCATTGAAGCTGTAAATAACCGTCCTGGATTATGAAATGGAATACTTCATTGCCAGAATACCACGACAAAATTAGGAAGAGAAAGGCGTGGACAGAACTATGTTCACTGATGTGCTATGGGTTTGAAGACAAATCGGAAAAGCAACAAACAACATACTGACGATTTCTGGCGCGAATTTGCGATCTCTCCGAGAAAAGCTCGCCCGTGTGTATTGCGGTGTGGCGTGCTCGCGGCGAGAACGCTACGGCCTCCGTGAATCCACTCGCTCGTGTGCATCGAGCCTAACGCTACAGGGTAAAGGGCCCCATACACGGAACGATCCGTCGTCACAATCGATCTGAAGCGATATCGTGACGATAGTTCGCCCAAAGCTTACCACTCACAAGCGAAACGATTGGTCGTTACGATCGATCGCTTACAACCGAACCATCGTGATTAAATAATTTAAGAAGTCATACGTGCCCTGTCGAATCGTTGATCGCAATGAGCCATACACTCGATTCATCGTTACGATATTCACGATTGCATGCGTTTTTGTTGCGATGTCCGATATCCAATTCGATGAAGTAAATCGTTAACGATCTTGACATTCATTATCGATTCGTCGTTTCGATCGGTCTGTAACGACGGATCGGACAGATCGATCGTACCGTGTATGGGGCCTTTAAGGTTGACAGTCAGATCTATAATCACATTTGCTATTGAGCCAAGTCTACTTTGTCTCTGACGTTTTAATTAAAACCAGTTACATATAAAAGGGCTATTTTTTATCAGTTAGTAAGTAAAATTTGGAAGGAGTTTGGTTTTTTTAAATAGACAACTTTCCCTAACGTATTTTTTTGACTGAAATTGGCAGGAAATTGGAAAACTTGTTATTTTTGTTATCACGTGTATCTAGGATTATTTTCCTATTATCAAATTTTGAATACAAATGTATTAGAGGAAATCCTGAAGTGGCGAAAGGGTTTTTGAAGGAATTTGAAGCGTTGCATTTAGAAATTTGTTATTCAATAATGCAAGAACCGCATACGACAAGAGGTTTTGAAAATTTGTATGTTCTATATCGAAGCAAATGTTATACAAATCAGATTCGAAATCCTCTATTGACTCGATTGAGGGCCGAATTACCGCCGACATCTTTACTGCCCTGCTCACGAGAATGAAATGTTGTAAATATTACTGGGTTGTATTATTTAAAAAGCGCTCTGCAGGGGGAAGATTCTCATAAAGAATTAAGGGGTTTGAAACTGTAATAAACCAAGCATGCGAGCGCTTAAAAATTTCGAGGAGACTAGTGAGAGTTGGGATACGCTAATATTTTATATAGGTTGTTAATAATAAGTTAGATACATTTAGTAGACATGTTTGGGAAGCATCTATTAAGAATTGCATACCCTGAAAGAATTTTATGAATTTTTTAAGGGGTAATGGGCGTTAGGAAAAAGTCGTTGTTAGTACAAAAGCATAGGAAAGTCTGTACGTTGATTAAAGACGAGGGTAATATAAATAAAGAAGGATCAAGTTCATTTAATAGCACAAACAATTAGTGTGTTGGTTTTGTAACAGTGGGCATTCTATTTTCCGAGGTCCGAGTTTCAAAATTTGCCATTTGAGAATAAGATAAGAGATGTAAAAAATTTGCTGTGGATAGCACAGATACCACCCTCACACCTTCGCATAATGCGTGATTCTGCCCTTTTATGTCTTAGAATATGTGTACCAAATTTCGTTCCAATCGGTTGAGCCATTGAACCGAAAATGAGAGTGCAGACAGGCCGACCGACATCATCGAGATTTTGTTTGATTCGGATTGCCGGTGCTTCAAAACGTGTATGTCCCTCAAAAAGTGGGAGGTCATTTTTTACCAATACCGATTGAAAAAATCAAGCGATCAAACCTGCTCATGCTTCGTACTTCGAATTTTGGAACTTTTTCAATAAAACATTAAGAAGAGAAGACTACTAATTATTACTCATCATTGTAGTAGGCTGCGTGTGTGGCCTGTCACAATTGTTAATTCTGTTGACCAGTTTTTATTTTTTTAAGCGAAAACCGTGCATCGGATTGAAAAAATCAAAGGGATCAAACTTGATTAGAAATCATTGGGGATTTCAAGATTAATTTTTATTTTCAGAGAAATCAGTGGCGTACCATTAATGTCGCCAAAATTGGCATGAAATTCTGTACAAACGCCACTGGTGGAAATTAAAAAATGTGGTACGTTAAAAATGCCTCTGGATACATAGTACATACATGACAAATTTCATTAAAATATCTAAAGTGGTATTACAGATATTAATAATAAATGATTTATTTTTGAAAACTTTACCCTTACCTGTATCTCAAAAGTTAAGACGTTTAGGACATGGTTCATATGAAGTTTTCTTTTTAAAATAGACACAAAAATCGCCCCCTTAAATATGGACATTCAATTATGAAACACTCTGTATGCTTTATAAGCTTGGTACGAAATGGATTTTTGAAACAAAGCGGTCTTATGGACAGGTGAAGTAATCAGTCCCTTGGAACGTAAATTGAGTGTTATGGGGGTGTTTTATTTACAATTATTTTATGTAAAAGAGTAGCTTTCTGTTGTACATACCTACATAATTATTCAACCATGTATCTCGCAACTTGTATGAAATTCGATCATATTTTTTAATTAAATAAGGGTATCTTAAGCATGAATTTTGTAGTTTTTGTATTCTGTTGGCGAATTCTTTCGAGATAGCAAGGCCGTAAACTGGTGAACAGTAGTTGAAGTGGGACATCGCAAGCGACTCACAAAGCAATACCTTTATGTGGATGGGTAGGGAGTGTCTGTGGGGATAGAGGAGTATGCTCTCTGAATGTAATTAGTTACATGGGTTTTATATTTTAAGGAATTATCCATTATTAATCCTAGATTTCGGCTCGAAAGTTGGACGATGTAGAATCTAAAATTACTTTCTGATAGCGATTTTGTCAGTAACTTCCTAGTAGAGCACACGCGTAATAATGTCGTCGGTAACATGCAATAAACATGTATCGCATTTAATGACTGTGACTCTGATGAGGCTGGCAAATGAACCAAGGCACAGAATCTGTGACCAAGGCCATGTTGATTCAGCAAGTGCTAGAGTTGCCCATGGATGTTTTGTTGAGAAATGAATAGGTATAATTTTGAAATTTTTCTTTTAAATTTATGGTAGAAGTAGGTATATAGAGTGTGACACGTCATTATTTTTCTATTTTTGTCCTCTTTCTGTCTCTTGAAATTATACAATTGAGGGTTCTAGCATGTATTTGTTGTTGTAATTTACATTACCTGAAACGTAGAAGTTCTGTCGCGATCAATGCTATTTTCTTTCTTTCCAATAAAATAGCTAACTTATCTTCAAGGTGTCCAAGGCCAAACATTAACTTTTTTGCAATACATGATGAACCAAACTTTTTCTACATGAAACAATCTACTTATTGTTAGCACAGGGCCTTCCATAGTTTTATATGAGTAACGTTCAAGAATTTAGAGACAAGTTGAAATTTATTTGGCAAGGTAGTTTGTTTTAATGGTCTAAACACTCTCTGAACCCCCAGCGCCGAAGCGTTGAGCCCATCACCCCAAAGCCACCTCCTAAGTGGGATACCCTTTTTGAAATTTTTCTTAATAAGTCTAATAATTTTAAGAAAAACATGTCAAGAGAGAAAAATTTCCTACTAAATACTATAAGTACATCAAATTTTTAGATGTTGAGTGGTGCAGATAAAATTTCCTTTTCTACAATTTTTCTCTCTTGACATTTTCTCTTAAAATGATTCTTAAAATGCTTAATTTTATTAAGAAAATTTTCAAAAAAGATAGATTTTACCACACTTAGGGGTTGGTTTTGGGGTGACGGGCTGAACGCATCGGCGCTGGGGTTTCAGAGGCTATTCAATACCTTGAAACAAAGTACCTTGCCAAAACTCAACATTTTTCGTTTATTTTTTTATGTAGAAGAGAAGAGATACTAATTAACAAAAAACATGGTGTTGGTTATACTATAAAACATTAAAAAAATTCCTTTCGGCTCCGTTGATCAGGTGTAGGTGCATTTCGATGCTACGTCGAGAGAGTTACGGTTTCTTGTACTCATAGCCATTGAATAACCAACTATTAGATTTTATATAGTAAATAATACTTGAAACCTGCGTTTTATCTCATGGACACAAGAAGACTCGAGATCAATAGTATAAATAAAAACTAAAAATAAATCTGAGGTTTTATAAATTCGTAAATAAGACAAGATAAGATCTGAATTTTATTGGCATAAAAAGCAATAAATTTGACCTAACATAATTAATACCAGCACCTTCTGCTTAGGATATTTTTAGTGCAATTGTTTTCACATTATTCGTGCAGAAAATCAACCCGAGAGTTTTAATAGGTATTATAGGGAGGGTTCTGAAATTCTGTGAACAGGTTCTTCCAAAAGGTGAAAGAATCCCAATTAGGATTTTTTGACACGCTTAAGATTCTGCTGATGTTTAAATACTGAAAGGTACCTTGTGCATCTACAGTTGGCCACACTACGTTGTCGAGAAGAGAGTCGTTGAACGGGGTTGGATTGCTAGAAGGCAGGCAATAGAAACGCTGTACAATTGTAATTATAAAGGTACTTACCCAAACTTTGCAAAATTAGTCCACAGTCTTGCCATACGAACTCTCATTTTCTGATCTTGTTTGTGTATTGGTATACTCTTTCCAAGGCTATTCCATAAATAGGGGAGTTCTTCTGTATGTCCAACATCTGAATAAATATGCGTTGGAGCAAAACGTATATGCAACATAATCTTCTGAATTAGAATTTATTATTTACTACTATATAAACTTAGGGGCCCTGATGGTCCATTATTAGAAGTCACGTTTATAATTAAAAAAAAGTACTTATATGTTCATTATAATTCTAAAATATGGAATTGAATTTGTTTGTTTTATAATTACACTTGCTTATTTTCTACGTAAACCGTACCGCATTCCAGTTTACCCTAATGCAAGGACTATGGTTGAAGGTTGACGTGAAGAAAACAAAGAATGACGTTACAATTAGAGGGGTTAATTAGATATCGGACTAGTAAAAGCTTATAAACTATATGTGCTGTGTTAGCTTAGTCACGTTTTTGCTTTCTTTGGGTTTTAAAGATTTTGATACATGCAATGCAATTGCGGAGTATGTAATTGAACTATTTTGACGATTTATCGATTATGTACCGGTTCACTTTGCAAATTGCAATCCTAAAAATAAGAATTCCTCTTTTTTGTTTGTTCCTTTTATTAAAAGTAATTACTATCCACCTATCTATGGTGCTGATCAACTGGCCCCTAAAAAACTAAGTGGGGAAGCAATGTTTGTGGGGGCCCCAGTTGTCACGGGGCCCTAGGCGCGCGCCTAGTGCGCCTATTGGGTAATCCGCCACTGCATCAATCTAATAGGTACTTTTATCAACTAAATATAATTATAAAATAAACAAAAAGGTCTATTTGTTTTGGTCCAATACATAGGCATCTGGGGTTGTATGACCACAGCTAAAGCAATTCAAACTTTATCGATCGACTTCTCACTAGTTTTAGCCATAGAGGGTACCGCATGGATATATTGGAAAGGAACCGAGAAAGAAACAATCCCAAAATAATTTGACATGCATTGCACTTTCATTGAAGTAGTCCACTCTTCTTCATTGTACAACAGTAATATTCACCGTTCCGTTCAGTAACATTTTTTCCAGGATAGAAAGTAGCAGAAAACCATTTTCTCTTTTTTTTACGTACGGCTACAACTTTGGATGTACGAATAGTTTTCTTGAATTTGTTCGTTTTGTCTCGTTTAGTAATTCCTCTTTTTTACAATGTTCCATTTTATTATTTTTATCATTTTGTTTTTCAGGTGCCGCGCTTTCTTTACTGAATTATTTTTCTGAAGTGTAACATTATTGTTGTTGTCGCTGAACTTCTTAGTACCTATCCGTTGACGTGGTAGGTATAAGATGTAACGGGCGGTCAAAAATGAGTTGCTGTCGAGTCGACTTCCCGATTTCCCATGTAAACAAAAATTCCAAAGGTGACTCGACATCAACTCATTTTTGATCGCATAGTCGGTGAGGTACCTTAAGCCCTCGGGGTAGGTAATGAACCACCTTTCAGCTCGGTATGTAATCTACTATTAAACGTATGTACCGGTATTCCTATATACAATATGTCGAATTCGTCGATTGTTTATAATAACTTTAGTAGTACAGTGGATTGGTCACCGACGATAAGAAATGAAAACGGATGTGGCCCATCCTTTCCGGGAAAAACGATGTGTTTTGTTCGAGAATATTCGGTCGCACAAAATTGCTTATTTCCCAATACATTTAAAAATTTGCGGGACCTCGCGAGATTGACATTATAACGATCTCGCAAATACCGGGATTGAAATTTTGCTGCGGGATTGCATTCCCTAATTCTAAAAGATTCGATATTCCAGTGCTGTGTTAAGTGTGTTTTATGGAGACCTACGCGATGAAGTAAAAAATAACAAGGAAAGTGACGAAAGACTTAGGTATTGTGCAAAAGGCCACCGAAAATATTAAGCATGATATTCAGAGCAAACAAAGTTTTCAATCTCAAGGAATACCACCCAACCGATGATACAGATTCCCTTTTCTTGAGCAGGAAATACTGCTCAAGATGATTTTTTGATCTTTTAGCAAACATGGGGTTTTGCGCATCATATCACACAAAGGATGGAAATGTCTGCTCTTCTAAATGCTCAACCAAGTGTCAAACCGAATTCAATCAATTCGTCTTTGACGCCGAATTTAATGCATGTACCATAGACGGAGTCAACTCTTTCCATCAAGTGCCAATTGTCAATTAGGCATTTTCTAACATCAAATTGGCTCGAAAAGATCGAGCTATTTCCTTTTCAACAGTGAGCCCATCGATCAAAATCAATCACGAAAAGATTCATGTGGACCCATTCGTGCTATTCCGACGTATATCCAAAAAACAGACGATCAGCTATCATTTTGTGTAAAGTGGTCATGTTGTTAGAACGCATAGTTTCTGAGATATAAGCGAAAAATGGGCTTGTCACCCCCCCCCCTTCCCCCGGCTCATGAACTACAGAGAGACTATGTTCACCTTCTAACTAGTTCAAACAACGTTACGACGTCTAAAATTGTGTTCCAAGCATTTCCCTCTATACCTTTTTTTAAGTAGGTAATTGCTGCCTGGCCTTCTGTCGAATTTCCCCATCGATTCGAAATCTCACTTTCAGCCATTTGCCTTCGTAGATGCGCGATGCTACCACTCAAACACTACTTTCACGCCTTTTGAGCTTTTTATAAATCGATCAAGGTCTCGGAAACGGAATATCGTAGAACTTTCGGGTTTTCGGCATTATATTCGTACTATCGTGTTATTCCTGCTTCGCTTAGTCTACCGTTCTGTCAAATCACACACACGGCGACCGTTTTCCCCTCTACTCGGGCGCCTTTTATATCGACCGATATCTAGATAAAGGAATGCCGTAGAGCCTTTGGGTTTTCAGCATTAGTTTCGTACTGTCGAGTTATTCCTGCATCGTTTGGTTTTGTTTTTTTTTAGTTGATAATTTATGAATTTCCTTTAAATGTCTTCTTTTACAAATTGATTGAGATCTCGGCCTTTTCAGAACTTTATACCTACATTGCAAATATTTGCATAACAACTTACCTTGTCTATAGCCTGATCCTAATAGGCCCGCGTAACTGAATACATAGAAGTATACATTGGCATGTAAGCTATACAACTGCGCCGATTTAGTAATAGGACGTACAAATGCCCCATCGCTGAGAAACTAAAATTCATACCAAAGAAACATACCGACCACAAACGGGTATACCAAGCTACCTACCTTTCTCAACTGATTTTTAGAAGTTATAAAGCGCTCGTTGTTAAAGTAGTAGTCCCTGATGATTTGTACTACACGTTCTTTTACATCAGGCTCGTCGATGTTTAGACTTAACGGAACCATTTTCTCTGGTTCAAGGTTGAACTTTCCAAAATATAGCGAAATTGGTCCAACAGCTAAAATCACATCTCAATTAAATTTATAAATGGACTTGTACTTGTTTCAACTATAAAACCAGTACAGGGACGCACATAAACCTAAAATGGATAGCGAATTTTTCCCACATAATGTACTTTGGTTACTTTATCAAGTTTGGATCTCGGTGTGAATTAATTCGCAGGTGTTGTGTATAACACGCTTACAATAGTGCTTGAATATTGATGATTGTCGGAGATGGCAAATCGAAACGTAAGATTGGTTACAGTTTGAGAAATACATAAGTGAAATCTGCAGCCTTCTGGAGGGGTGGGTTCACAAACTAGTGTTGGTCAGCGGTGATTGAAACTAACAACTAACGGGAAGGTTTAGCTCAATATCTCATAGAAAGTTTGATTAGTTTAAAACGGTTGGAAGTCATCAGCAGAAAAAACACCATGCCAATTTAAAAAAAAGTGGTTCTTTATGTGCCTCTTTTAGAGGAGAACGTTAGCACAACTGAACCGTATACAAGCAATGTTGTCAAACCCTTTTTGTTGACCCTTAAAAAGTTGATTTAGATAGTTTTAGAATTTTGACCAACATTGCAATACCTTCAAACGTTTGATGTGTCAACATGACGTCCCACAACACATGTCCCTAAAAATCGGCAAGTAAAGATGGTATTCAAATGTAGGACGTTCTCTAAAGCAACTTTGCATGAACGGGAACCCTACTTTTTTTCCAAATTGTTATACTATATGTTCGTATGGCGAGTAAAAAAGATATAAATATGATCACTAACCTGCAGCAATCAAGAGTCCACTGACTTCCAAACTATTATATCCCATCATATACGGAATTTCGTGATACTTGCCTTCATTAAGTAGACTATAACTACCACGTGTTATAAGGGCGTCTGAGCTTGCAGGTTCAACACACGGTGAGAAGGTCAATTCATCAAGCAAGTTGTCAAATAGAATACTCTGAAATTCTAGTTTAGTAAATTTCAAGCGCGTAGCGTACTACATAATAACTTTTTTAATCAAAAAACTCTGCGCATCCTGGAGTGCCTTGTGATTAATCTGTCTTAAACTGTCTACCATAGTTGCCGTTTTATTTGTATCAACGCCTAATAATTTAGCCAAAGATTTAGCTGTTTCAAGTGGGCGTTTTACGAACGACCAAGAACATAGTGAAGAACCGCTCTCCATTATAGCGCCTTGGAACAATCCTGAAATAAACAAGTTTAAAGATACCCGTAGATAATCGGCGTATGGGAGTAGATAGTATTAATTTCACTAATTCTCTTTTACAATGTGTCTCAGGTTGTAGGAGTCTTTCTTAACTTTTTCGATCTAATGTGATGGAACTAAGGGACAGAAATTGCAACAATAAGAAAGCGTTGAAATCTTTTGGAAGAATATATGTATATTGGTCGAGACGTTTAACTAGTTGTAGTAACTAATTAAAATTTGCTGTATGAAACCGTCGCCTGCCCTTCCCGCATCTCTACCTGACCCCGCTGTGGTGAAAATCATCCCGCCTCCCTCTGCAAATCACAAACAGTTCCTAAATGTAACAATTGTGCCGACTCTCATCCTACCTGCTCCTTAAAGTGTCAAGTACCCCGAGGAAATCATGTTGCCACCTCCGAGATGGCCCACACCCACCTTCAACCCTTTCCCTCTACCGTCTCTGAATTCTCCGTTCCCGGATCTCTCGGCATTGAACACTTCCAACGTATTGAAGACTTCCTTAAAGTCCCCAACCACTCTTTGGTAAATCTATTTCCAGAGAGACGTGGTACTGTATTCGAGATCGTATATAGCGATTCCCGATTCCGAGGAACGGCAATCCCAGTACGTCAACATTACTCTTCAGCCCCCCTTTTTTATACCACTGCATCTCCAACATCTCGAATGCGTGGCCGCCACTTCCCTAGAACTGAATTACTGAAATAACTTTCTTCTGCTATTACAACCCCTGACCGGTCCACCTATCTCCGTGGAGCTGCTGATATTTGTATTCCACCTTGCCCCATGTCGTCCTCATGAACGACTTCAAAGTCGGGTACACACAGTTTGGCGACTCCCCCACCAATGCCTATCTGACTTGCTAACCAGTCTGTCGCTCTGGCGAGCAGGAAACATTTGTAAAACCATTTTGGTCCACCCAGGAACCTCCATAACTGCCCATATTTTATGTACGCAATCATTTTAAAGTACTTCAAACCGGACTGCTACTTTGGCACTTCCATCACGTCCCACCATCTACCCTTACTCGTTTACCGATTCATCCTTATCAATCGTAAACCTCTCTCGCCCTACATCCCCCGTCTAATCGGCGATAAAAGGCACATACATATTTCGTCTCAATATCTTGAGACGCAGACGCAGACCTGTGGCGCAGTTGAGTTGAAGCTGGACTGGACGACACGACCCTTTGGGCCAACAATCGTTGCAATAGAGAGGGGGCGGCGTTGATATACCACTTTCCTTGTTCTCCCAGTTGTCCAACAGCTGGAGAAGCACCATTAACCCCGCTAAAACCCAAACAATTTTATTCCGGCACCCCAATTTCGTGTAAGTAGAGAAACAATCCAGTGACCACATCGGCTATCCATACAAGGTACCCACCTTCTCCTTTTCAACACCTCAGTATCACTTTGTCCTGAACCCTTAAGTGACAAACCGACCTCGACCTAAACTTAAAAAAATGCGCAACCGCACCAACCTCATTTCCGGTACTCTGCGGACGCAAAACACACTGTATTGCGCTCTGAACCGCCTGGGGGTGTCACGGCTCTCTCTTGCCCCCCTCAAATGGTGCCCCTGGCGACAACACATAACAACAACACATACCGCAAACGAGTACTACCCAAACACCCAATACGAAAATTTAAATTTTCCCCCCTCACTACTCCAGGAGATTGATGACCTTCCAATCGACCTAGACTCCACTCCCTACATACTCTGATACTCAAATAACAACCATAGATGCAATAGTAAACCGATTTAAAATTTCAGATAACAAAGACTCTAGAGCCGACCCTCCATCAACAGCACACCAACAACACCTCAGCCCACCAGATACCACTCTGATAACCTCGCCGCCCAGCTCGCAAGCCTCCAGTACCTCAGGAAGAGAAACACTCTCCCCTCCCTCTTAGGCAAACATCTCGATGATATGTACATGTCGAAAAGGAACTTGCCCTTTGTTCAGAGTTTTACAAGAAAACTAAATACGTACCTACATCGAATTCATCATTTTTGCGTAAGAGTGACTAGTTGAGAGCATTAGAACAGTAGATCAAGTAGCTATATCTTAACAAAAGCTTACCACTACACTTCGCAATCTACTTGGACTATTACTGTTGAGTAACCGTAATAATATTCGAAAAGAGAGTTTATTAGTTGCCACTCAAATAATGGAAATGTTACCTGTTTTCTCCGCTCTTATCTTGCGATATACATATAACTACTGTTAATAATCAATACTGTGTGGGCTAAATGTACATCTAGACATAAGAGATGTAATCATTCAGCTTGTTCTGTCTAAATGACATCTACCACTTTTTTATACATAGCTCTAAGTATGCCACGTTTAAAGTATCCCCATAGGTAAAGTCCGTTAATTCGTGAGTAGTTTGAGTAAACCCCCCCAAAATGAGGGAAACTCGTCCTTTGCCTCAAAGTAATTTATGATCTCTTCCCTACATTGAAACAACAAACTTTAGAAGATACGTGTTACAAAACACCATAGATCCCTTCCGTAACATAAATAAGTAGGGCGCGGATTTTTAGGTGCTAAAAACTTCCAAAATATTTATTTTTTATGTGCTTAAAAACATTAAAATATTTACTAAAAACTTAAAATTATTTTGACAATTTTCGCGAAAAAAACGGAAAGAAGACAAGTCTATTATTCACCAATAGTAGCTGAACATTACTTACCAGGAGTTTCTTTAGCATTGCAATGTACAACAAAAGGCATCTCCAAATTATCGATCACAAGTGATTGTTGATTTGTCTCTGAATAATAATTTGTACTGCGAGAAACACCGTTTCACGTCACAGGAAGTAAGTCTTGCGTATTTTAAGAGAGGATTCAGGCGATGTCGTTAAAATTTACATGTTTTTAAATGCAATTGTATATTGGCTACTGTTGAAGAGTGAAGACGCGAATTTAGTGCTCGATTTAACTTAAGACATCTTACGCACGGTATGGTCTGGTCCAACTTTACAACTGTCTACGTTAACAACTGAACAAATCTGCAGTGTTGAATTGAAACAGTACCTACCGAGTCAGATAGATAAGAAAGCAGCCAGTCAAAAAATTACGGGTAGGTAGCCGCATGCAAAAAACAGAATTTGTCAGCAGGTCTAGAATTTGCGGAAGTGACGAATGCAGAAAAAAGATACCATAGTACTCACTACACACAGAAATATTGTGTAAATAAATATGGGGACAAAAAGTGGAATATGATGCACGGGAAAAGAGAAAAAAGGGATAAAATAAATTAAAAACGTCGTATTTATGTGTTTTTTATGAATATCTTTGAAATATGTATTCACATAAAAATAAACCAAAAATATGTGTTTTTATGTGAAATAAAACTTCGTTTTTGAGTTACTTTTGGTTCATCCGGGACTTCTAACACAGTTTGGGCCTTCTATTGATACGCAAAAAAAATATTTATTTACCTAAGAATCCGCCCCCTATAAATAACTATTAAGTTCTTGCCTTTGAATATTTAACAACCAATTGGAATTTGGAAGAAATAACCCTTTTGTAATACCTTTAGTAACTGCGAGTTGGGACAGGTACGATACACTGGCAGCACCGGCACTCTCTCCAAAAAGAGTTACGCGACCTGGATTTCCCCCAAAAGAAACGATATTTTTATTAACCCATTGTAAGGCCAACAACTGGTCCTTTATTCCATAATTTCCGGGTGCACTGGCGTCTTCAGTACCGAGGAACCCTACAAAAATTAAATTACTCCACCGTATGCAGCTAACATTGCCATACCAAATACACCAAGGCGGTAGTTTATGGTGACTACTATGACATTCTCATTTAATAGGAAGTCGGGACCATAGAATTTATAGCTATTGGATCCTCTTACGAAAGCACCACCGTAAATCCACACCATTACAGGTAGTAATTCAGAATTTCCCCTTAACTGAAATTAAATATAAGTATACAACGACACGTCATGTCTTGGAGGAGTTTTGCACTATTTTACATTCCCTTCTACTACAATAATAAAGAAATTGCAAAATCTTACGTGAGGTCTGTACACGTTCAAATACAGGCAATCTTCACATCCTCCTTCAAATCGCGTCTGTTGAAGGCATGGACACGGATCTGTGGACGAATCGATAACTATCTGCATTTCTGTTTCCGTTAATGTAAGTGGTGCCTACATCAATGGAAAGATTATCACAACCAATATCTCATCGAAATTTAGTGCCTGAACCAAGTTAAAAGCTAACGATCAGGATATGTCACCCCTATAAATCATATATGATGAATACGCAAGCACCCAGACCTACAAAAGCGTGAAGGAAAACTTCAAGGGGTTCCAATTATGTAAAGACCTCTGATTTTCTCGTTTGAGGTGGCCGAAAGCTTACTTGCTTTTGAGTGTGTAATAAAAGTTCCAATTATACAAAAAAAGGAACATATCGCTCTGTAGGCAAGAAAAAACAAGCACAAATAGCAAAACGGCTCGCTACCTGAAACTTTGGAATGCTAATAAAAAATACTAACGCACTACATTATTAACGAGCTTCTAGCGAGTTTACAATTTTGCGATGTCTGTCAGTCTGTCTGTCCATCCGTCCGTTAGTACGATATCTCGTAAACCAATGAACCAATTACGATCAAATTTTGTAGGTGGATTCTTTATCAAATTTGTAGATCGGAGTTCGTGAATTGGCAATGTAGCCCAAAAAATAAGGAAAGCCCATTTGACATTTCCGTGAGTTATGAACCGAATTGCATGGAATTCAATATGCGCATAGCTTTCAAATTTCTTATTTATGAAGGTATTTAAATGAAATTTAATACATAACCACTTGGGATAAAAGCAAAACTACCACCAGGTTCAAAAATTGGTTTTGCACGTGCTATAGCCCTACCCATGAGCTCGTTTTCTATACCGGGGGATCGAAAAGTAGTGCGGACAATTAGAATTTTCCGTAAAACTAAACATGTATAACGTTGGTAACATACCAAAAGTCATTTATGTAAAAGCAGTGGTGGATCAATTTAATCACTAATACATAAATAAACTACCTTCTAAACATGTTTGCCAATTCCTTAAGTAAAAAATATTAAAAACTTAAAGCGCCCATTTTAAACTGTCTGCAATTCTTTTTGATCACCCGATATTTGTTTACACGTTTATTACAATATATGTTTCTGTAAGGGTACCTATCAAGCAAATATAGCTGCATAAACATTGAACGTATGTGGTGGACACGAGATTTACATTTGGTACCTAATTTGGTATTTGGATAAATAATTACTCATTTAACTTGCTAATAATTATGTGGAAATTGTCATTCAGCGTTTGTGCACTTTTTATATCCAAAGTCCAATGCACGTGTGTAACCGAGAATAATCAAACGTAATCGGTAGTGGTAATTAGCAGTTCTTCAGTAGTTGTGTAGTAAAACTTCAGTCAGATGTAAGACGCAAAATAAATTATATGACCGCAGGAAGAATGGTTCCTTAATGGAGCACGAGTTTATTACACGTTTCATTTACTGCTGCTTGCAGGATCTTAAGTTTATTTGTCGCTTTTAAGTTGGTAGGTAGCTCTAAACGGTGTTACGCGTTAAAGGTTACCCGTTGGACTGCCCAATGTTTACTAGGGAACTGTCCATAGACCCTTGAAACATATCTTTATACAGGGTGTCCCTAAAAGGTCTGTACAACGCGCTACCATGGGTTCTTGGTATCAAAATAGGACGATTTAACCCAACTTACCTCTATCCAAAAGTGCTTCGGTAACGCGCTATCTACCGCCAAAGATTTAAAAAAAAAATCGTTATTTTTATTTTATCGGAAAATGGTTTTGCCGGTTAAAATGAAATTCGGGATGTGAATGTCTAATGTAAAAAGGGTCTTTGTGATATCATCGTTTTGATTGTAGTTGCTATGTAGGTGGTAAAATACTGACCATCCACATCTGAAGAGGTCTAAAACTTTTTAACTACTATTTTGACAGTTCTGAATTTTTAGACACTGATAGACAGTTTACTTGCAAGCATTTTTTGTCTCTTGATGAATATCGCTATCTGTGATGGTTTACGAAAAAAAAAAAATTTAGGCATGATGAATGGAATGCACCATACATGCGATTGTTCCTGAAAAACCATAAGTGCAAGCAAGAAGTAGGCTATGACGATTTGGAAACCTGTGAGTATACTCCCTAACGCATTGGCGACCATTTCCACGACAGTATCCAAACACTAATAGCATATCAGTTAACTCTGCGTTACTGTATTGAAAGGCCATATTACAATTTTAACAATGAAATTTTAAGTCTTCAATCAAAACGTAAATTGTTCAAGTTTAAGAAACAACAAACAAACGTTACGCCACTCTAAGGTTTCACAGCCATCTTCTGATTTTTTGAGGAACAATCGCATGTATGGTGCATGCCATTCATCATGCCTAATTTTTTTTTTTTTCGTAAACCATCACAGATAGCGATATTCATCAAGAGACAAAAAATGCTTGCAAGTAAACCGTCTATCAGTGTCTAAAAATTCAGAACCGTCAAAATAGTAGTTAAAAAGTTTTAGACCTCTTCAGATGTGGATGGTCAGTATTTTACCACCTACATAGCAACTACAATCAAAACGATGATATCACAAAGACCCTTTTTACATTAGACATTCACATCCCGAATTTCATTTTAATCGGCAAAACCATTTTCCGATAAAATAAAAATAACGATTTTTTTTAAAAATCTTTGGCGGTAGATAGCGCCTTACCGAGGCACTTTTGGATAGAGGTAAGTTGGGTTAAATCGTCCTATTTTGATACTAAGAACCCCTGGTAGCGCGTTGTACAGACCTTTTAGGGACACCCTGTATATTTTGCTTGATATCTTTTCCCTTTTTCGATTTCACACTTACACGAAACCTCAAATCTCCAACTGGCGGTCTGGCATAAGGAATAGCGTAAAACGCATCGTATTTTTTGTGTGCATCGACAGTCCTCTTCACTCTTCCAATTATTGTCGTGTAATTTCCAATTCGCACTTTTGGTTGATAAGTCTAAAATAACAGTTAGGAGTAGCATGCTTGTATTAACTACATAGTATGCTTAATTTTACTTTGCATTTTGTTGTTTCGAATACAAAAATGGCAACAAAGATCACTAGTAGTGCCGTACTCTTCATGGTTTTACAGTAGGTAAGTGATAGCTTGTGATACTGGATAAATTTAATTGCTTGGAACCAGCTATTACTTTTAAAGCATGTATTTAGTATTCATTTGTAAACGAATGTCATGGTTGGGTGATTACTTTTTTTTAATTGACAATAAGTAGTTAATAACAATAATATCAACGTTAACATGGCCTCGCTGTTTGGAGCACGAATAAAACGGATCAAATCAAAAGTTAAAAAAAAAGAAACTAAACTAGTCAAAAACTGCGAGATTAAAAGGAAACTATACCAAAGATAAATACCGATAACCTTATATCGCATTTAACAAAATAAAAAAAGTGCGGGATTGCATTTGAAAAAAATCAAATTATATATGAAGTTTTCTAAATTGGCAAATCGATTTCTCGAAACGTGAAAAGAATTCCGCCTTCTATGGTAATAATTCTACAAAGTTACTGCGATATTCAATTTTTAGCGCATTTTTTTTTTAAATTAAAAAAATATGCTATTGTTTGCGTTTTGTCCGTCAGGACACACTTCTGCCGTTTTGAACGACTTCTAGGGGAATATAGTCCTAGAGTCCTGAGCTTTTTGCAGTAGGTAGCCTATAGCTTGAAGGTGTGCCAGACGGCCATCAAATTACGCTGCCTTAAAGAGGGGGCCCCTCATGAATTATTTCCTGAGATGCTGTTTTTGAAAGTGAAACGTGCATAACTTTTACATACGACAACCATTTGGTCTCAGATATTGTATACGAATGCATTTAGCGGTGTCAAGTTCCACTTTTGAAAAGGGGGGGGGGGGTCACGTTTTACCCTTCATGGTATTGTAATGAAAGGTCTCATCGAAATAAATTGTTTTCCCGCGCGATTCTTTTTGATATCAGTGGGTGACGGGGCCTGGGGGGCTAATTAAAGGTTTTAACGATAGAGGGGGGTTTGGAGGGGGGGGGCAGTGGAACTAGTTTCATCCGTCATGGTACTCTAATGCAAGGTCTCAACGAAAGGAATTAATTTCTACCAACCATAGCCTCCTCCTCAACCCGTGATCGGATATATTCCCTTATAGCTCCAGAACGGATTGTCGGAAGAGCGTACTCACAAAGGGCGATTAGGACGTCTGGAAGGAATATATCCATTGGTGATTTCAAAACTTTAAGAGCCAATATCTCGAAAACGGTTTGTACTCTACAGACAAAATGAATCGACTGGACGAAACATATTTATTCATGAAGTTAAAAAATGCCCTTTATCTGCACAAGAGTTGTGCACAGAGGGTTTAAAGGAGTGGCTAAAAAGGTTTAAAGGAGTGGATATTATCGTATCCCAAGTCAGCAATCCATCAAATGTTTGGGTAAAAAAAATGCATGTAATAGTATATCCATGGATCCCTCCAGTCCCTCCCCTTCCGCTAATATAACACATACAGTTTTTGTTTGTATAGATGTAATTCATTTTTTCTTTAAAGTTTTGTTAATATAACGGAGACCACAGCAACTTTAATTTCTTAATTTCAAGGTGCAGACAAGCGTTTGCTTACGCATCTTGGGCATGATGTAATTCACTCATATGTAAATATTTATGTACTTATATTTTCAATATATTTCAATATATTTATACTTGTTTTTAGACATACGCGTTTTTATATGTCGATCTGCGGCAAACACCCAGTCCCACTAAAATTACCCTAGATATCCAAATATGCAATAATATGCAGCGGTTTCGTTAAGAGAAACTAGCCGGATCTGTAGGTGCAATCTATAGATGACCTCAAGGTCAAGGCTAGACCACCCCCTGGTAAAATCTGGTAATGAACACCTAGTATAAAGTCTTAGTAATTAATATTGACGTGGATAGATTTTCTTATATTTTGAAAAGCACAATAAAGTTCACATAGAATTTTCCGAGTCCTGTTTCCCGCAAGCCTACCATTCCAATTATTGACGTCGAACAAGGTGGATAAGAATGACAGACTCGGAAGAGCATATCTCAAACGTCACAGAAGAATATCGGATTTTTTCAAATCTCCAAAGCTCACAAACCGAATGATGATGATGGCGGTTGCAATAAAAATTACACGGTGCAATTGCAATCTTCGGAAAATGAAGCTGATCATGGTAAAAGTCCCGAAACTTCAGAAATGCAATCTGATTTTAATATCAATATAATGCACATCAGTTACTTAATCAATAAACATCTTACCTCCGAAGACATTTCGAATGTACTGAAGGACGTATGGATCGACAAAAGCACAGGCCAAATCCAGACCTGAACACGAATTCTGCAGCAGATTATTTCAGAATAACAATATTTTGTCCATTTTTTGATACATTCATTACGCAAATCGAGGAACGCTTTGTCAGTCACAAAAATTTACTGAAAAGTTTCCAGTCGCTAGTCCCTTCAACCGACGTGGATCAAGAGGAGGATTTTAAACTTCTTGTAGATATTTCCCAAAATGCTTGCAAACACGATGCAGTCGCGGAATATTCATTATGGAGGAGAAGTATTTAAATAAAACCAAGAAACCAGAAAATGCCATGGAAGCTCTCACAGAATGCCATCCTAATATTTACCCAAATATATTTCATCTACTACACTGCCTGTGTCAACTTCCACAGCCGCACGAAGTTTTTCATCGCTCAAGAGGATAAAGACATACCCTTGGACGTACCTAAGAAATACAATTTCTGAGGTAAATACTAGTGTCACCACTATGTTCCAAATTAATATTGCTCTCTTCCTCCTAGGGTAGATTAAATTGACTTGCTATGTTGTCTATTTATCGGGATATAGATATATCGACATCAGACGTTATTGATAAGTTTGTAAAAAATCCAAGACGTTTGGATTTCTTTACTTATATAGGTTTTACGGTATACTTAAGCGAATGTAAAGATACCCACAACTAACAATGGATTATATAGAATTTTCTCTGACTTGTTAAATTAATTATTATTGCTACGATAGAATATTGTTTTTGTGTGACTTATGCTCGTTTGCACCGACAAAGTTAAGCCGTGTTTAGATTAAGCGTAGCTTAAAATCCATGGCAACCATTGTCGCAATAATCTTTACCATGGATTTTAAGCTACGCTTAAGCTAACCTCCGCTAAAATTTATCGGTGCAAACGGTCATTATACGGACGGGATGTGTATCCTAAATAATTCATATGCGTACGGCGTAAACCTTCCTCAAATGATCCATCTCCAACCACAGATTCAACACCAATCGGAGTGTTCAGAGGTTCAGGAGAGCTCTGCGACAGCTCGGGGAGGAAAGCCTCCCGGTGAGTTGCTTAATTAATTGGCGATCCTTGAGCGCAAAAGACGCCCAGAATAAGTAATTATATTCGATGATGCTACCATGCCACCCGATATGACCGTACGCGTAAATTACATAGGGATGTTTGTAATGAAATATGAGTTTACAGTACATTTGTCGCATCTTAATAATGAATTCTAACCAACAATTTGGCCCCCATTTAATTACCAACCCTTCGGCCCGTAATTACAAAAGTGCGTTTGTGCGTTTTTAGATAATAAGTTTATGTCTTTTTAGTGATGTGAAACCTTACAAACTTAATATCGGTCCTACGTTCATACCAGAAAGAGCATACAACATTCCACTACCTCCACAGCAATTACTGAAAGCCCATAGCACTTCTTAAAACTTGGACTTTTAAGATAGTTGTATTAGTTGTTTAGTTAATTATTAGTTTACTTAACAACCATTCCAATTACTGGGTACTTGATAAGTATTTTGTCTAAGAACAAACTTTAACATAGCCATTGTATACAAAAATATAGGCATTGGAAATGCGAAATAGAATGTAATAGAGAACACACTCCCGGCAGGTGATTTTAGATCCACTTCAAACTTTTAATTTACTTTTATTGGAATTTTTTTCCGCATTCACGAAAGGATGATTTACGATTTATAAAGTGTATTCTAATATAACGTTCTTCGATACAGCCTCGTCCAAGTACCGTCCTCCGTTGTGATGAACATTCTGATCAAATACCGAATGTCCTATAAACAGCTTTCGATTTGTCCGCCGTAAAATTGAGTTACCCTATCAGTTTCAGTCAATCCCTTTTCCGCTTTATTCAGAACTTTCGCACATAAAAGTATTATGGCACTTGGTGCTGAAAAATCAAATAATCGTAAAAATACACCAGCTTGTAAATTATGCAGACAATACATTTATGAGCTTATTTTAATACGAGGACCTGCTGCAGTTAACCGTAGCCTAGTTAACACACTCGTCATACATTAATTGTTGAAATTACTCTTAATGTTGTTTTACAATTCAAATTGTGTATCACATATAAAACTACGAAACGATCAACGTGGTCACACCTGACCCACTGAAGCATAATTAATCGCCTACAAGTGCCAAAAAAGCACACCTATTCACTTATTCAGCCTATTCTTATGTGTGGACGTATAGAACAGTATTTAAAACTGCTCGTGTACGTGGTTGCCATTGGAGATGCTTTTTATGCCATTCGAGTGGTATCCGGCAGAGAATTTAGTAATGTGTTTACTGTTTAGATACTTGGAAACTACAAGGCCTTCGGATTATAACAAGTTAAAAAGTCATTATGCAAACATAAATGACGAGAGCGTATTTTCCTCCTAATAATATTAATGCTAGGACCGGAAAAAATACCAGTAGGCACGAGATCCTTACCCCATTCTCTTTCAAATGAGCCACCTATCGTCGAAGTCTATACAGTTTAATGAAAAATAGTGGAGCGTTAAAATACATACAAAGTTTGAAATGGGCATTAATTTTACTTTTATTTGAAGTGTCTACATAATATGGAACTTTTTATTAATGCTTTCGTAAATAGCATTGCGCATTGTCTACATTAGAAATTTCATTGTATACCTTTATAAATAAAACCTACAGCATGCGTAAACGGTAATTTTGAAACCGGTAACAGTTTTAGTTTCATTCAAAGTGCCTACATATGATATTTCATTTAACTGTTTTCATTAATAAGAAAATTTCCATTGCGCAAGGACAAAACCAAATTTTAAAACTAATTTTTATATTATATTATATAACATAAGATATAATACGTGACTAGGCAAAGGAGCCGCTTGCATGCGGTCCTTTGCGCTAATATTGCAGCCCATATGGGTGTAATAAATGTTCTTAGTTTTAGGAGGTGTTAATTAGTCCACTTTTAACTTCTCAAAGCAGTCACATTTCGCCTACAAAAGAAGTAGGTCGACTCAAAAGATGCTTTCAGAAACGTTAGTAGTGCTCAATTTCTAAGGGTGTTGTAAATAAAATAATGTATATATTTGTGAAATAAATAGTATAAGGTTCTGTGTAAATGAAGATTTACAACAAAAGGTTTAGCTCGCGAACCAGCTACCAAAGCTGTCGATTCGAAGTTCCTGTCGGAACTTTTTCAATTATTCAAAATAATCTTCATAAATAAAAAAGGTAGCATTGCACATGCGTTAAACGAAATTTTGTACATGCGCAAAACAAAAAAATATCGTTATGCACGGAATCCTTGGGCCAAGCCCTTTCAAATGAGCCCTATATCGCCCAAATCGGTTCAGTGGTGTAGAAGGAGTACGTGTGACAGACCGACGGACGGACGGACGTACGACAAACAGCCAATAGCGATTTTTCACTTTGAGGAAAATACGCTAAAAATACAGATTAACGGTCCTCACACTACAGCCCCACTCTTGGGTGACATTTTGTAACGTAAATCTTGATGGTTCGCCCTGTATATTCTTCTTATTCTTCGTTTCTTGGCGTTGGCGTCGGTGTTAAGTATTTCGGAACTTACCTTAATCATACCATAGCTTTGAATCCTTTTCTATTCAAAGACCATAGTCTAAGTTCTATTTTTACACTATGATTGTACTTTTTTACTTCCAGCTAGCTCAAGTAAATAAATATGTAAATAATAGGAGATAATTGTTGATTTTGTTTTCACAGGAATGTCAACAACTTGTAATCAAAATTTGGGCAAAATATTACTACAGAAAATGATACTCCAATATGCCTGGAGGATACCCTGTATATTATTAATACTGGGTTCAAATCCCGTGCATTTAAATCATGTGCATTTAGATGCTATGTGGCCCTCTCTTTGCATTTAAAGCACTTAAGCTGGTCGTCGGGCAAAAATTCTTTATTCTTCGTCTGCAAACTCAATTACGATGAAGGATCGAAAAACCAACTCGTCCTCGAACTCACATGTTATGAATATTTAACTGATTTACATGAATACCCCCTTCATTTTCAATGAACTGTTGAACTAATTACTTTGTTGTAAAATAAATTCAAATCCTCGTGTTTCTCATTCTCAAAGGAAAAATGATGTTTTTGGGGCGATAAATTGACCCGTGGCGACTACATACTAGCTCTTTAACCGCAAGAACATCGATTGCAGGACAAACTATTTTTTAATACGTCAAATGGATTATGGGGTAACAATTCATTGTTCTACAAACAACGTTCCATGAAAATTTTCGTAAACTGGGTACAAAATCTTAGCCTACGGAGTACGGGGACATCTTTACGGAAAAATTTTAGTTTGCGAAAGTAATATGTTATTTGTTTATTGCTCCCAAGTACCAAGTCACATGATGGTATTTTCGATTTGACGTTTCGTAATTTCGATTTACCTACAAACGTTTCGGGAACATTCAAATTTTCCACAATACATCTGCGTCAATTGATGTAACAACAATTCTACTTCTTTTATCTATGGAGAGCGTAACCAGAAATATACGACGGTATTTCGAGAATGTGTTTGATTTAGTATAAAAAAAAACTATTAATATCGTTCGTAAATAAAATTCCTCGGATTACGTATTCTTGGATCCCTACTATTTTGATTATTTTTGTGTATATAAATCAATACTAAGGGGTTATCACGTTAATCGTACTTGGACAGTGTATCTAAAGCACCTTATCGCATCACAAAGGTTAGTCTCTATTATAACAGTTCTTACATTTTCATAATAAGTATCTACATACTGAATAGTTTAATAGTTTTAGGTTCGCAATGAAAATAATTATTTTACTGTCGTTTTGCGTTCTTCTGACGTGTGGAGAACAGTTGACGGAGTATCATGAAGGAAACGTTCAATTTACAACTAATGTGTACAGGGTAATGATATTGTAAAACAACCCATTATTGATGTTTCACAAACTATACTTGCAGGAATTAAGTAAATCCAGATCAGGAAATATACTAATGTGCCCGTTGTCAGTTGAAATCACGCTAGCGATGGTCTTCTTAGGAGCTACAGAAGAAACTGCCAGACAATTGTCTGTCGCCGCCAGTTTTCCAAATAATTTCGAGAAAGTTGAGGAAATGTTTTCTGAAGTAATACCACAACTAGAAAGTAGCGACAAATACACATTTGAAAGCGCAAATAAAATTTATGTCCAAGACAAGTTCAAGATAGCCGAAAACTACAAAGACGTGGTAACAAACAAATTTAAATCTGACATCGAAAACATTGATTTTGTAAATCCAACTGCTGCGGTTGTTATGAACCAGTGGGTTGCAAAGAAAACACACAACAAGATTACCAAGCTCATCAATCAAGACGATTTAGACTCAGACTCGCGATTAATGCTTCTAAATGCGATGTATTTCAAAGGTATTTGGGTAAACGGATTTAAAGAAAGCGACACGAAAGTCAAACCATTCTTCTTAAACAATACTCACTATATTAATACAGATATAATGTCAAATAAAGGACAATATAGATATCAACATGATCGTAAATTGAACGCCAAATTTTTGGAAATGAAATATAAAGGAGACGATGTTGTAATGGTTATTGCGTTGCCTGATAATCCTGAAGACTTGCACAAGTTGGAAGATAATTTGAATCAAGTTTTGAGAACCACATTTCCACATTCTGCTCGTACAGTAGATGTTCAAATTCCAAAGTTTGAAGTAAAGGACACCATCCCCTTTAAGACTATTTTAAAATCCGTAAGTATCCTTACATTACGGGTAGCACATTGATCACTTAAAAACTGCAGATAGGTGCGGTTCTTCCATTCCAAAACGGAGCAACTTTTGATCGTATGAAGGATGCCACAGAATTGGAACCTCTAAAAATTGCGCAGGTTATACAAAAAGCGACAATTGAGGTGGATGAAAAGGGATCTGTAGCTGCTGCAGCAACTGCAGGTATAATATCTGTTTCTGTTTCATCAACACACAAAATATATTTTAGTACACATGCAAATTTGGCGCAGCGCAAGGATATTAGACGTTAATTTCTACGCAAACCATCCGTTTATATATTTCATTAAACACAAGGTAGCTGGAATTACGTTTATTGGCAGATATAACGCACCAGAAGGTCCTGTTCATTCCGGAAACTATGAACCTCCCATAGACCCTGAATCTGCAAGAATGGTTGTTTTATAAATAATATTTACACAGTGTAACCACTAAGCTGTGGTGTAACATTGCGACATAAATAGAAATAAATAACCTTGAATGAACGAATATTTAATCAACAAATGAACTATGGGGTTAATAAAAGTTTTCTATCTTTGGAAACATTGGTTAACCATATAACGTGTTACATAATAAGTTGTGTTTGTTTGAAGTAGTGGTATCATACCATCTATTACCATCAGTATATATTAACACTTATTTCTTATGTAATTCTCTTTCAGGCATTGTGGAAAATATATAGGTATATGTACTCTTTTTTCCACTGATTCTTTTGCCGTTTGACGTTTGTCTCTGACCTTGGTGTTGGTGATCTCTTGTGCAACAGCTTTAATACAAAAGGTGCCCTATTAACGTTGATAATTTAGGGAAATTATTTACACCTTTAAGTAGGCTCTAAAAGTACTTTAGCTTTAGTAGGTTTGAGCGATTTCTCACCATTTTTGCATTTCATTTATTATTATTGATTTAGGACTTAATTACCATAGGTCTTATACAACTGTAATTTTTCTTAACAGGAAGCCTTCGACAGTTATATTTTATTTTATTGGCAGACAATTAATTTATTAAACCTGTACCCTCGTCAATAGCAGTATTTACCATTATTTGAGTCAGGTATAATACCTGACTCAAATAATGGTAAATGTCTATGCGGGAAAACAAGATTTGGTATGTACAGTGACTCATTTAGAACAGTGGATACAACCGGGTATCTCGTTTTTGATTGGTAGTTCCTTCTGGTCGCCATATTGAGGCTAAAATGTTATAGGTACTTTAGTATTAGTTTACACTTTTCTTTGAGTTCTTGCGAAATTCTGTGAATAAAGGCGCTGCTTAACTTAAGGTAAAATGTATATTGTGGACATACGACATATTCAAATACGGTTACTGTAGATACAGGTACTTACATATTTACCGCGTAATTAAGACCAAGATTTTACAAAATAACTTCAGAATTCAGTGAGACTCTCCTATCTAGTTACATTACCAGATAGATTTTATGAAAGCTAATATTTTTTAGCCTCAGAATGGTTAAGAAAATCCTTAAAATACGCATGATTATGTTTCGTGATTAGCAGGTAGATAAGGAAGGTCATTATTATTTGCCATGCCTTCGTGGTGCCTTTTATGTGATCTACACCATTTTTTGATAGTATGGCGAGACCACGCGAGACCAAACGAGACGAAACGAGACGAGACGAGACTGAACCAGGGCGAGACGAGACTTTAAGTTGGTCTCATCTCGTCTCGTCTTGCGGCAACACTATCTTTCGCCTAGTTTGCTTATTGTAGCTTTCTCTCCTGAAAATTACTCCCAACATCTGAATTCTCTGGAACTTTCCAGCAAAAGCAAACGTTAATTACCCTACAAATAAATTCAAATCAACCTTTTTTTTAGTTGGTTTCACTTTTATTTTTCAGGAGTCTTTACAAACTTGTTAGACTAATGTACGAAGCACCCGTTTTCTGCCCCGAAGTTCCATACCCGAAGGTATGATCACATCGTATATTTGTGAAATCGACCAGCTTTACTGAACACCCGGTATCTAGAAGCGTTTTAAGTTGGGCGCTTCGTTACTGAGTAATGTCTGACTTTACTTATTTGCTCTAGGAGACGGGCAGTGAGCTTTGCGTGTTTCATTTTGTTTAATTGTTTGCTTTACCACCGATAACGCAAGTGAATCGATCCTTTTTGCAATCATTCCTGAAGGGATTTTTAAATTGTTTTTACAGCCGCCGAAAGCTCCCTTGCCAGAGAAGAAAGGAGAGAATCATTCTTATTAAATTTTGGATCCGTTAATTATCGATTAATCGATTTTAGTTTTCTAATGGTACATGAAAATCCAGGATTAAAACCGGCAAGGTCGTGCAGTTTAAGGAAAATATCGGCTGATAACCGAGTGTGCCGCTTGACCGCACATTCCAAGGAACAAACACGGCATTTCTAGACTGCCGAATTTGGAGATTTCATTCCGACTATTTGCATAAGTATAATTAGCCGTAATTATTTAAATGGGTTACCACCGATTAAGTGGAGTATGCATCCGTTATCTGCGCGCTTAAAAGATTTGAAATACGACATCGGTCTCATTTTTTCCGATTACGGGGTAAGGAGTATTATTAAAAACAGTTTAAGTTTTTGAACGTACGAGTATAAGTGTGCGATATATGAATTCCAGTTACATCCTTCTCCGATCGTTCATTAGTTTCCGATGTTTCTCTCCTTTGGTCTCGTTCCCTTCCCTGTTTTCCGAAACTAAAAACAAATTGGGCAAGGAGGATAGGTAATAATTTTTTTCGCAGACATTAACGTGGAAATGTTCGTAAGTCGTCTACGATTACTTTTTAACTTATTATTGCAGAAGTTTTGGCATAATTTCCTTGTTCGGTTGATTATGTTTTTCTTTGTTTTCTTTTTTATATTGGTGTAATGAGCATCATTATCATAGCCTAATTTTTCCATTTAAACTGTGTATAATTACACATCGAGTAGATACCTTCGATATTTAGGTAGATAACGTTAACGTGTTAATTACAATGATAACTCTAAATTGTGTGTGCGATACCAACGAGTTTCCTATATCTAACTAGCACTAGTAGCTAGGTACGAATTCCTAGAAAATGTTATATGCATTATTTGTTTTCTATTCCTGTTTTCATCGCGTATTGTTGTCATCTGTAAGTCTCTAGAAGACAATTCTACTGTATTTACTAGGAATTACATAACAGGATTCAACTGTCCAAATAAAACAAGGTCCTACAATTGTTGGTTTAACCCTAAGAACGGAAGATCAACAGAAAACTTTCCATTCGTTTCGTGGCATACCATATGCCATACCACCAATCGGAGAACAAAGATTTATGGTATATTACGTCTTATTTCCTAACCACAGCATTTTTGCGTTACTTTTTCAGCCTCCAGTAGCACTCTCTAATTATGCATCTGTGATAAAAGCCTATAATGAAGGTCCCTCTTGCGCTCAGTCTACCATACCCTTCGTCACAATTGGAGAGGAAGACTGTTTGTATCTTAATGTTTATACACCGATGCTGAAATGCCATACTCAGCTCCCCGTTATGATATGGTTCCATGGAGGGTTTTTCGAAATTGGTGGACACACCTACCAAACGTATCATCCGGATTACTTTATGAACGAAGAGGTCGTGGTGGTTACTATTAACTATCGCTTAAATATACTAGGTATTTAAAGTATTTGCACGCTTACATGACGAACAACGTCTTGCAGGTTTTCTTAGTACTGAAGATATGGAAGCTCCTGGAAATTATGGACTAAAAGATCAAATACTTGCGTTAAAATGGGTCCAAAAGCATATTAAGTCTTTTTGCGGAAATGAAAGTAACATTACTGTGTTTGGAGAAAGCGCTGGGTCAATTTCAGTTTCTTACCTGACGCAAACACCTTTAACGAAAGGTAAAACAATTTCTTCTTCTTAGCCAGACAGACATCGAACATTTTTTTAAAAGAAGTTACTGGTAAAAATAGGTAATTAACGTGTGGTACATACCTGCATGTCAACGTTGCTGTATTTGCGTGTTGTTAGGTGAATGAAATAATTGCTTGGCAATCGCCCTGTTTGTGTGCTAGTGTATTTGCCATTTTGAATTTCGGTCACTGTAAGGAAACGGTCTAAGATTTTTACAATTTGACTGCAGTGCGTCGTTCTCTTGTTGGCTTGCACCAAAAATAAGAAATGTAGCCAAATCAATTTCCCTATGCCTTCACGGCAATGACGTAGGCAATCCACTACAAATTTAGCGAATAGTTTTAGAAGGATCGTTCTGGCCATTAGCTGCTATATTGACAATTGAAATTGATTGACAAATTAATTTATATAGGCACACCTAATAGTATATTATATACCAAGTATATTATATACTAAAGTGTGTTTTAATCCCGAGGATGCAGATTGTTGCCCGAAATATACTTGAGTTCTCATCTCTGCCACAGATGAAAGATTCTTACTTTAGCCAAAGAGTAACTAAGTATTCTTTGCTTTAGCCCAGGTTTCGAACACCCGACCTCCGGCTATTTATCCCAACGCTCTACCACTGAGCAGCACAGTCGGTCAATAGATGGACCTGGCATTACAAGGTATCTTGATTCTACAAACAAAATTCTTTCTTTCACATGTAAACTTTGACTTTGAAAATGCTATAAGGAACTATAGTGTCTATGCTATAACTGAATACATAAGTTTGATTTGAAGACATACAATAACGGTATAAAAGCGTTCACAAGTAATTGTAACAAGTTGTAGTATGGTTCCCAACACACTTTATTTGAAGACCAACACGGCAGTGCGGCGTATCTTGTTTGCCGAAGGGTCGTCAGTTAAAAAAGGAACCGGTATTATCTGGTCGTTCTTACTAAAAGATGCACCTGGCTGTGAGCTTCGATGGTCTTTTGTGGGATGTTCACTTAAGCGCTACGAGTGGGTTATTATGTCATGGGGCGGAACTCCTGTTACTGCATAATGTCGGTAACATAATGTATGCCATTTGCCATGTGAGTAAGCGTGAGGGTGGAGAACTAAGGGAGGTATATGATATGTTACAGACTCTCCCCGCTACCTCCTAACGACAACTCGACGAAGGAGGCAGGATTTATTTTCCTTTCTTTGGTAGCCTGTCCCGTTTTCTGATTGGCCGAACAGGCTCTGCGAAGTCGTTTGCATTGTAATGTTGTAATAGGCCAGTAAATGACCGTTTTGCCGTGTAATTTTTCGCGCCTCTACGGATTTGCTTCAAAATTTGGATTTAGGGTCCTCTTACCCTCTACTTCAAAGGTGAACTTGAGCCCAGGGTTGCTTTTACTTGGGGGGTGAATGCCACCCCTTCTCGTGGAGGGAAAAAAGATACCTTCAAAATAAGTCCGGAATTTTGAAAAATTGCCTACTGTAGTAAACTAAACTAATACACTAATAATTATTTGGCAAAAAAAGGCAATTTTTCAAAATTTCAAAAATTTTTTTTTACCTCAAAACTACATTTTTTTCAAAACTAACCACTTTGTTCCGGTCAAACTTACAGATCATATCAACCATACATAAATAAAGTAAACTGTAAAGCGGTAACGCTTAATTACAAGGGTGCTAATTAGGGGGTGATTTCCTCAATTCTTTACCAAAAAAAAGGACCAACTTTATTTTGAGCGTAACGCACTTAGTTTTGATGCTAGGAACTTTTCTTTAGATACAAAATGAAAGGTTTTTTCAAACACTTTAAAAAAGTATTTATAAGTTTTCCCCGAAAAGTGCTTCATTTTTTGGTTATTTCACGTTGAAGTATCCGATTGGAATTTGACGAATGAGAACCTACTTTTTATGAGCTACAACTTTGTTTCTACTGGGTCTACAGACTTCATATTAGACCATTTTGTTTGTTTTTTTATAAGCTATATTTTTGCTAAGAATACTTTTTTCGATACAATACTTACTTTTAGAGTTGTTTGCGAAAAACCGTCTGAAAACGTGGTTTTTTGTTGAAAAATGAACATTTTCACTCGCAAATAACTCTAATACTATTGACTTAGTGAAAAAACTCTATAGAACAAAAGTTGCTTAGAATTTATCAATTTCCGGACTTATTTTGAACATATCTTTTTCTCCCCCGAGAAGGGGTGGCATTCACTCCCCAAGTAAAAGCAACCCTGGGCTCAAGTTCAACTTTGAAATGGAGGGTAAGTAGAACCATAGACCAAATACATCTATGGTAGAACCTAAATCCAAACTTTCATGCGATTCGGTGGAGACGCGGAAAGTTACACAGTATCGCCGTATTCCACGTTCATTTACTGGCCTATAATGCTGAGACGTGGTATTTTCCGAGAGGAACTCCTGGGTTTTGTGGATTGGCTTTAACGCTTTAACGTCTCTGTTTTTCTTCTCTACCGGATTAGCCTGAAGATGGTATACAGAACTTAGTACTTGGTGAATGTTGAGGCAAAATGCGATGTGTTGCATGACGCTGCTGGCGCACTTAGTGCCGTTGTCACTGATGTGTGCCGAATCCCGGGCATAAGCGTTGGCATCAGCCGTCTGTGGGGCAACTAGTTTTATCCACTTTCCTTAGTTTGGTCCGGCAGGTGGGCAGTGGTCAATAGCGATTGCTTCGCATCATTGCTCATTATCATTCATTCTCTTAACCGTATGGCACTATGGCAGTCTAACTCTGACTCTGTACAGCCGTTCCGGGATGCATGGCCGCGGCCTGTGTGAAAAATGCAACTGTCGGTCACTTATTAAAACATCAGCATTCAGTCATTAGCTAAAAAGGCCGCTTAAGTCCTTATTATTTATGGCTATATTTCTTCGAAATTTTAACCAAAAATGCTTTTAGAAAAAGAAAATGTATCGCATATTGTAAACATTAGATTGATGTGTGCATGTGCAGGATGCGCATATTAACTATTTTATCGAGATTTATCGAGAGGTATATTTTTGAAATATTAATCACAAATGCTTCTGTTAAAGGCAAACATATCTCAAATTGTAAACATTAGATGTGCAGTTGCCAACTTCCTTATTTATGAAGATATTTCTTTAACCACTGATGCTTTTAGTAAAGAAAAACATATGGCATGTAGTAAAAATCGAAAACTACAGATGTGATTAGGAAAGGCAAACACATCGCCACATAGTAAAAATCAAATGCGCAGACTGCAAAATGCCGAATTTTTTACTTATGGAGCTCTTTCTGTCAAATTTTAGCCATAGGTGCTTCTAGTAAAAACAAACATATCGCATATAACATAAATTAAATATGCGCATGGGCGAACTGCGCATCGTCAACTTTCTTATTTATACAGATATTTCTTTGAAATTTTAACCATAGATGCCACTAGTAAAGAAAAACATACCTTTTAGAAAGTACTGATCAATGCATGGAAAATGCGCTGAAGTTACTCGCCTTAGGACGAAAACCTTTTTACTTGTTTTTCGTTTAAGTCGCCTAAAAGCGGGTTAAGTGTAAGGTAAGCAACTGGAGTCTTACGCATGAAATTCAAACGATCCTCATTTCTAAAGGATTACTTCATAATAATTAATTAATTTGCAGGGCTATTCAATCGTGCTATACTTCAAAGCGGAACATCACTGTGTCCGTGGGGTTTAACTAGAAACCCAAAGTTAGTGGCTTTCGGGATAGGAAGAATGCTCAAATTGAATATTTCATCTAGCGCATCCTTGGTACACGATTTGAGAAGAATAAAATATGAAGAACTGATTGCCGCGGCTACAATATATCAGTTGAAGGTATGTAGGGTCTAAAAGTGAAGTTGCGGTAAAGACCTAGAGGGGATCCACACAAATGCTTTTTACAATTAAACTGAAGGTCCAAAAGTTTTCGTTTAATTTTTTCAGCATCAATAATAATACATAGGAGGATACAATTAATAGGGTTGCCTAGGTTTTTGCACGTGGCCTTACGGACTTTCTAAAAATGTTTCCTAATCTCCTATTCCAAGAAGTCACATCTCGGTAAGGCCAAAAATGCGCATCTCGCCATAATTTGTTATGTGGATATTTTTGAACATGAAAATAACAAGACGAAACTTGATTTTTCAAAAATTAAAAAAATCAACCACAACACTTGCCACAATGAAAAACCGTTGTTTCTAATGAATCTGCTAATTACACGCCCTAAAGCGCGTTTTACATGCTGAAAGTTTTTGTGAAACCAGAAATTCTCTTAGCCGAGGGCATGCGCATAATAGTTGCTTGTGTTCTTCTATCAAGTTTTCCATTCGGTCGCGAAATATTTCACTTTCAGCTGAAATTTTAGGGCTCCAAGTTTCTGATTGAGCATTTTAAATTAAATCCTTCTTACTTCCGGAGATATCCGAAAAAAGATGGCCTTAGTATTGATTATTAGGAAAAACCAAGAGCACTTTTTTACGGCATTTTCTATGGTTTTTAAGAAAACGATTTTACTTTTCCAATGGGACGTTTAGCTTTTAAGTCCATAAACACCTTGGCCATCTTGGTCTCAAACAATCTCAACCCTTTTTGGTATTTTAATTTTTATTGTTTATTATGTAGTATCTTGTATCTATAATTTTGCGAAGAATACGTTTGTGCCAATGCAAAAAGATTGTGCTTTCTTACACTTTTTAGACATTATTACTGGAAACAACATTTAGCGGATTTGTGTTTGGACCATCTATAGAACCTCGGCACGACAATGCGGTATTAACCACACCTTCACACCACAATCTACTGAACGGAGGTTACCATATGATTCCTTACATCATTGGTTTCAACTCGGGAGAAGCGTTTCCCTTCATAAAAAGTAAGTATCATCTACTTCACTTGATTCCTAGTGGCACAAAAATCTAATAAGCATGGGTACTGAAGAATCTTTGATTATATTCCCTTTAGTCAAAATGTGCATATATAAATTTATTTTCGGGAATTCTTAATTATTTAGAATGAAAAAACACTGATCAAGTGGAACTAGGTAGCTTGGTTATCACTGGTGATTCAAATCTAAAGATCTAATATCATAAGCAATTCACTAAGAAAGTAAAATAATGGTGAACGGACTTTTCGTGAAAATGTGAGCAAACTACCCTATTCAAATAAAAACTGTATGCAAGCTTCTGCTTTCAACTGTCGCTGATAGGCATTGGTAATATGACATTTTTGTTTGTTTGCAATTTAAAGTCTTTGTTCCTCCCATCCTTTTACATTCGTCTTATTCAACTGGTGGTTTCTCAATCCTCTCTTTTCATATGCATCAATTAAATATGGTTAATCCACCCCCTCAGTGGCGTAACTACAATGCTTCCAAGGTACGCAATGAGGACGGGCCCCGACTTAAAAGGGGCCCTGACAAAAATATACAGAAAATTTAACTCGTTTATACAACATTCTGAAGAAAATTGAAAATTTCCCTCTATCAATGGTATGCTTCTATTAATTCTTTACATATTTTCCGTTACTAAAGGAAGAGATAAAAAGTAAAAAAGCGTAATGCAAGTGCTGGCTAATGTTTTTGTAGGACTAATACACACAAATTTGGTTAGGCACAACAAGCAAGTAATAAGGAATTAAAACAATACAAACACAGACATCTCTGAACACATAAATAGTTATTTGTTTCATTAGTACAAAAAATGTCAGTTTTCGGGACGAGGAAGATAGTTGCTGGACGGCGCGTTAGCGGAGTCCAGCAACCTTCCGAGTCCCGAAAACGCATTTTTTGTACGAATAAAACATAAAATTTTTTCTCCAACCCCCTTTACTTCAAATTATATTCGAATTTAGATTCAGTCACAGTTTCACTACTATAGTATAAGAACTTCTGCTTTCTTGTCCTCACGTGTCATGCCACTCTAGTTTTTAGGTTAACTTATAACCTATTCGTTCTTACTTCTTACTTCTCACCTCTCGCGACTTTGTAGGGAGCAAATCTAAGGTAGCATGTTCTGCCGTTTCTATAATCTCTGGTGGAGTGCAATCCATGTCGCCAGTTTCAGTCATTTCTATTGTATACACAATTAATATTGTTATATTTTGTATTGAAATAAAAAACTTACCATACAGTTTTTTAATTAAAATTAATTGCAATTAACTTTTTCAAATTTTGAATTCAAAATGACAGATAATAATGCAATGGGTCTGAAGTAGATGGCGTTACGCGCGACGGCGGGTTGTATACGTATGAAAATTACGTTGACCGAATATGTAAATTACGTTACACATGGTTTAAATAAAAATAGCGAGCGTAAATCATTTTCAATACATGTACCTACATACGTATAGGTAACAGCATTATTTGCATTGAATATGCAAAAATATTTGATTTGTATGTGCAGAAATATCTTACAACCTGCAATGTAAAACGATGTCAATGTGACATATCTCCGTGATTGTAATTTTTTAATTGGCCAACTTTCAAGGTCATTTTCTTTTTGGTACTGGTACTAGGACCAAAAGTATCCTCTTTTTGTACAGTTGCCATGGTGAAAGCGATTAATCCGCAAAACGTCAATTTTACTATTGCAAACTCATCCAAACCCGCATCCAAGGCGGACAGGATGTAAATAACTTTGCGATTGAAAACAGCCTGCTTATTCGATATGTCGGAAGGAAACGTCTTAAGAGGGTGGTAGTTCCAGAGAAATTGTACAATTTAATTATATATTACTACCACGATTCAAAAATGGGGAACCATAACTCTATTACTAAAACCTATAGGTCGGTGGCTAAACGATTTTGGTGGAATGGGATGTATAAAAGGATTAAGGATTATATTTTAAGTTGCCACTTGTGTCAAACGTGCAAACCCCTTAATATTCAAGTTAACGCTCACCTTGCTAGTACCCCACCAACTGCTGTTTGGGATAAGGTGTACATTGACTATGTAGGTCCAGTTATTTCCTCCGGTATCTTGTTCATAATTTTGCGAAGATACAATGTTAAAGGTGACACTTTTTAGACATTATTACTGGAAAAACATTTACACCTTAAGAAACGCAATGGGTATTCCACACCTTCACCCACAATCATGAACGGGGTATACGTATGATTCCTTACATCATTGGCTTCAACTCGGTGAAAGCGTGTAACAAAATCTAAGTATCAACTTCACTTGATTCCAGTGGCCATGCAACTAAATCTTGGGTATCAAGAATCTTTGATTTTTTTTAGTAAAATATGCATATATAAATTTATTTTCCTGAACAATCTTTAAATGAAAAAACACTAGACCAAGTGGAACTAGAATCCTTCCTATCCGTCCCAAAAAAGTGGAATTCATAACAATTCAGAGAGTCAAAAAGGCAAAAAAATTTTATAAAAAGGGAAACTACCCAAATTCAAATCAAAAGGTATGCAAGCAGTTTGCAACTGTCGCATACCTTGGTAAATGACATTTTTGTTTGTTTGCAATTTAAAGTTTGTTCCTCCCATCCTTTTATTCGTGCTTAACAACGAAATTTCCAATCCTCTCTTTTCATATGCATCAATTAAATATGGTTAATCCACCCCCTCAGTGGCGTAACTACAATGCTTCCAAGGTACGCAATGAGGACGGGCCCCGACTTAAAAGGGGCCCTGACAAAAATATACAGAAAATTTAACTCGTTTATACAACATTCTGAAGAAAATTGAAAATTTCCCTCTATCAATGGTATGCTTCTATTAATTCTTTACATATTTTCCGTTACTAAAGGAAGAGATAAAAAGTAAAAAAGCGTAATGCAAGTGCTGGTGTTTTTGTAGGACATACACACAAATTTGGTTTTAAGGAATTAAACAATACAAACACAGACATCTCCACCATTAGTACAAAAAATGTCAGTTTTCGGGACAAATTAGTAATCATTTTTTGTACGAATAAAACATAAAATTTTTTCTCCAACCCCCTTTACTTCAAATTATATTCGAATTTAGATTCACACAGTTTCACTACTATAGTATAAGAACTTCTGCTTTCTTGTCCTCACGTGTCATGCCACTCTAGTTTTTAGGTTAACTTATAACCTATTCGTTCTTACTTCTTACTTCTCACCTCTCGCGACTTTGTAGGGAGCAAATCTAAGGTAGCATGTTCTGCCGTTTCTATAATCTCTGGTGGAGTGCAATCCATGTCGCCAGTTTCAGTCATTTCTATTGTATACACAATTAATATTGTTATATTTTGTATTGAAATAAAAAACTTACCATACAGTTTTTTAATTAAAATTAATTGCAATTAACTTTTTCAAATTTTGAATTCAAAATGACAGATAATAATGCAATGGGTCTGAAGTAGATGGCGTTACGCGCGACGGCGGGTTGTATACGTATGAAAATTACGTTGACCGAATATGTAAATTACGTTACACATGGTTTAAATAAAAATAGCGAGCGTAAATCATTTTCAATACATGTACCTACATACGTATAGGTAACAGCATTATTTGCATTGAATATGCAAAAATATTTGATTTGTATGTGCAGAAATATCTTACAACCTGCAATGTAAAACGATGTCAATGTGACATATCTCCGTGATTGTAATTTTTTAATTGGCCAACTTTCAAGGTCATTTTCTTTTTGGTACTAGGACCAAAAGTATCCTCTTTTTGTACAGTTGCCATGGTGAAAGCGATTAATCCGCAAAACGTCAATTTTACGTACCGAACACTGTCACAAAATAGCGTCTTATTCAGCTGGTTGGAGAAAAACTCTTTTATTGTATTGTATGTAGGTACTTACAGCGCAATACTATATCACCAAATCACTGTATACACACCCTCTCTTTCTGAAGTTGGTAACAAGTATTCTATTCTTCTATATCCGGTGTCGTCACTCGTCGGCGGCTGTCAGCACGTATGGGGGAAACCCGACCGATCACGGATCATCACGAAACCAAAGACATCGTCAAAGCTCCTTCTTACAGTTTTATTTACGAAGGGCAATGCACCTGTTTTTTTACAATTGCAGTCCGAAGAAAATTCTGAATCATTGTTAACGGAGGGTAAATATAAACGAAAAGTCTGGAGCAATATCTGCAATATACAAACACTAACAATCCGAGGAAGTCACCCTTTTTTTTTTTTATTTATAATTAAAGAGCTTCGACTGCAAAATATGCCATTAGCTCTTGTACGGTTAGATTTTTTCAAATAAAGATATGTTTTTGAGGAACGACATTGTATTTGAGCGTCCCTCACCAAGGGCATCCTTTAGGTTATCTTTTATGCTATACAATTTTCTTTGATTAGTGTATTCTGTACATTCTAATATTATATGTTTGACAGTGATAATTTTTTTACAACGTTCGCAATAAGGAGGGTCGTCCTTAGTGATAAGATGCAAATGAGTTAATCGCGTATGGCCTATTCGCAGTCGGGTCCAGACTACAGATTCTCTTCGGTTTTGGAGGTAGGTTCTCTTCGATTGCCGCGAGACTTCTGGCTTAATTTCTTTTAGTTTGTTGGCAGTTGCGGACCATTCTTCTTGCCAAGCGGCTTGGAGGACTTGTTTGTAGTGGCTCTTTAAATCACCAAGGGTAGTGTCGTTGATTTCCGCTGCTTCCGGAGAGGCGGATGCTGTTATTGCTGCCCGATCTGCCTTTTCATTCCCTTTGATTCCTACATGGGATGGAATCCAGCAAAACCTTACATTTTTCTTAATCGAAACTGTGTGTGCATACTGAGCCAGTATTTTGTCGCTTATTTCGTTGTTGGGGTCGTATTTTTGAATAGATTGTAAGGCACTTAAAGAGTCACACACAATTAAACAGTTTATAATATTATCTCTTTTAGCTACATAGATAAGAGACTGTAAGATAGCGAAAAGTTCTCCACTATATGCACTACTGATATGCGGTAATTTAAATTGCAGTTTTTCGAATTTGTCTATTACCGCGCAGCCTACACCGTCGCTAGTTTTCGAACCGTCCGTGTAAATTATGTGGTAGGTTCGGAACTATGTTGATATTAGTTCTTTGAAAGTTTTGTAGGAAGGTATTGCTGTAGTCGTGTTTAGGATAAGGAAGCATATCATAATTAACGTTTGGGATTCTCATTGCCCAAGGAGGGATTATTGAAGTATTTTGGTTACATTTTGTTTTCTTGATTTTTTCCTTTAGTTTTTCCAATATTTTGATGCATCTAAAATTTATGTTGTTATTACATGACTTATTTGAGTTTTTGTTATGTTGGATGAGGAAATGACAGTGGTTGGGATTGTTTGGATTTGAGATACTTGTATATGCGTAGTTTAAAGTTAAGTATTGTCTTCTAAAACGTAGCGGTAATTCCGATGATTCGCATAGTACGCTTTCCTTAGGGCTTGTTCTAAAGAAACCATTAGCGATTCGTAAGGCTGTATGTTGGATGGCGTCGATCGGTTTTAATAAATATGCTTTTGCCGCGCCATACACGATGCAACCATAGTCGATTTTGGAGAGGATCGTAGACTTGTAGAGAGAAGTTAAAGTCGAGCTGTCTGCTCCCCAGTTGTGATTAGATAGAACTTTCATGATGAAAGTCTGTTTGCATTCGTTTTTTAAGTTATTGAGATGTTTCGTCCATTTCAATTTTTTATCAAATGTTATTCCTAGATATTTACAGCATTCGGAGTATTTTATTGGATGAGAGTTTAGGTACAGAGGAGGAGGAGGCAAATTTTTCTTTTTTGTCGAAAATAGCATTGCTTTTGTTTTCATGGTGGAGAATTTAAATCCAGTCGCTTTTGTCCACTCTTCGAACTTGCCGATCGTTTCTTGAAGAAATTTTCCGGAAGCGTCACGGTTTTTCCCTCGACAGTATATTATTATATCATCTGCGTATAAGGAGATTTTGACTGGGTCTTGTACCTTGCTTGCGATGTCATTTATCCCTACTAGAAACAGTGTCACGCTTATTATCGATCCTTGCGGGACACCATTTTCTTGTTTAAATTTTTTGGATAGCGTGTTGTTTACCCTGACTTGAAAATATCTATCTTCTAAAAAGGTGCGTATGTATTCCAGTATATTGCCGTCTATTCCGTATGTCTGTAACAATTCGACTATTCTCGTTCTGTACACCATCTCATACGCCTTTTCAATGTCAAAGGTCACTGCAATTGTCTCTTGATTGTTTGTAAACCCGTTTCTTATTTCTGTTTCTAATCCCACAATGGCGTCAAGGACTGAACGTTTTTTGCGGAAACCACTTTGGTATTTGGTCAATATATTTTTGTGTTCCAATGCCCATACAATTCGTTTATTTACTATTTTTTCCATTATTTTACCCATGCAGCTGGTTAACGAGATTGGCCTATAGTTTCTGGGATCTGTGTTGTTTTTTCCTGGTTTAGCGAGGGGTATTACGACAGCTTCTCTCCAAGAAAAAGGGAATGTGTATTTAGTCCAAATATAATTATAGATTTTCAGTAGAAATTGTCTCCCGTACTCTGAAAGTTTTTGTAACATGGCATAGGGTATACCGTCTATTCCCGGGCTCGACGATTTAGCGGTTTTCAATGCTTCTTCTAGTTCTATAAGAGTCAGTGGCTTGTTTATTGGTTCCTTGTTGCCGAGGTCGATATGTAACTTATCTGTTCCTCGTTCGGTTTTAAATTTTAAGAAACCTTTTTCGTAATTTTCGTTACTTGAGTTTTTGCAAAAGTTCTTCCCCAGTACCTAATTCTGACATTTCGTGTGGGTCACTTATTATTTTATCGTTGTCGACTAGTACTTTAATATTGGTGTTGTTGGAAGTTCCTTTTATTTTTTTGATTTTGTTCCAAATTTCGGATACCGTTGAAGTGCTATTCATGGAAGATACGTATTCGGTCCATGATTTGCGTTTACTCTCTTTGATCGCTCTTCTTTTTATTGCCCTATGTCTTTTGTAGGTAATCATGTTTTCTACAGTTTTGTTGTTTCTATATGTATTGAAACTAGCTTTGTATCGCCTGATATGTATTTCTACCTCTTTATTCCACCAAGGTACTTGCCGTGTTGTACTAGTAGGAGGTTTTGTTTTTTGTATCGATGAGTTAGCCGCATTTTTGATGATGGTAGTGAAAGAACTTATGACGGAGTCGATGTCATTGCCAATTTCCAGAGAGTTTTGAATTTGAACAATTTAAATTTTACTTTAATCTGATACAAAATTTGATATACTCAAAAGTAGCCAACTCAAATAGATTTAAAAGCATCCCATTTGTGAAAAATAACATTCCGAAGTCTCTTACATAAAGTAAATGAAATACTTTGTTAATTAGCGGCACCTTCTCCAATCTAGAAGGTATCTGGGTATCCTAGATACTGTAACTGAAGTTGTATTTCGAGATGAATGCCGCTAAGTAATTTTAACACTCCAGAATTTACGTCTGCACGAACGAAACAGTTAAAGGCAGATTCATATACAAACAATTGATGTCGCGAATCAAGATAAACGAGTTTAAACATCGAAAGAACTGACCAATATTAATTAAATCAAAATAAGAACAACATTTAAAGTGAAACAATTAAATAACAAGAAAATTCAAGGGTTACCTACCCTTTGTTACAAATAGCTAAAGTCAATACAAGTCACAATAAAACAAAGAGTTACCATTAAAATTAAGTCATTATTACCTTTTGTTATGGCACAGTGACGCTAAATTTTACAATGGACCTGTGAACCAATGAATTACAAAATACAAAATCAGCAAAGCTAAATAAAGACACTATTTTCTTCATATACAGATTAAAAATTACTGATATAAGGAAAGGGCCCCCAAATATTTTTGAAGACGGGCCTCTAAAATGAAGTTACGCCACTGCACCCCCTCCAAGTTTCCTCTGATGAAGTGATGACAGTCAGTTACCTTTTCTTCCTTTTCTGTTTCTTCGTTTTCTTTCATCGCTCCTTTCACTGCCCTCTTCCATTTGCCCGATTAAGAGTTCCAATCTCCTCCCTTCGACATCCCCGGTGCGTCATTTTGTCCGCCCATTTCTTCCTATCTTCACTTGCCTGTTGGTTTGTTGGCGATAAAACCTAGAACGAAATGCAAATGCTCACATTGCTCCTCGGTTCGGTGAACTTCTACTATAATAAGAATTAGTGAATCTTTTGACCCTGTGGCGAGCGTGGTGTGGAACTTTCATCTCTATATTTCCTACTCTCGGCGATTGGGTCTATAGTTTCCTCTTCCTCTTCGATTGTTGTATCCTCTTCGTATAAAAATTATTTTTCTTGATCTTTTCTCTCTTGTTGATTTCAATTATTCTTCGGTCACTGTCATGGGGAGATAGTGCTGTTTTAGTGATACTGAATAATCGAGAAAAACAACAACAATATCGGAATTCAGCGGAAAGCAGCCTACAACGCGATAAAACAATTGTTTATAAATACATTTATGAGTTGTACACCAGAAGTTGCGTTCTGGTCACAGCTTCCAATCAGAACGGACATTATCTTCCCCCAGCTGTACTCTGCACGGACCGACTATAGACTTCTCGCTGAGACCGTTTCTTCGACTTCGAATTCAAATTGACCCTATATGAAACCTATATAAGCGTTCACCAAAACCACTAACATCATCCAACGACCGACCGCCTTCGGATCAACCCTCAGAGTAGGCAGATTGAGGCTCACTTTTCGTACCACTACTCCTTAGTAGTTTGATACGCGCCATTTGACTCTGTATTCTATATATATATATATGTTGTTTTTTTACTGACTGTATATAGTGTAATATGTGTTTTTTTAAAACACCACATTATTCTACCTGGTAACAAACGATCTTCCACCGTGGAAATTAATTCTTCCTTGGAAATGCTGCAAAAATCTTTGTCCGCAGCTTGACGGTGGCTCGATGGGGATAATGGGCATTCACGATTTAACAAAATAAATAAATGTTATTCAAATCGACCTATCAGCTACTACCTTTGCAGTAGTAGTTATCTAGTTACGACATTTTCATAAATACTTAATATATTTTTAGTCATTGGTGAATATATCAACTGGTATTTGCATAGGTTCCGATTATTTCCTAATGCTTTGGTTCCTATCAGTATGAACATAAGGAATGAACTTACACGGCACTTCGTGAACAGACACATTAAGCATCACTATTTCAAAAATGTATCTGATAATATCAGCATTCTCAACGTAAGTAGCAATTTAAACGACAACTTTTATAATTTTGCACATTTTTGCAGTACTTCAACGACAATGAATTTATACGGCCTATTCTGGAAAGCGTAAGATTGTATTCGGAGAATTCAAACGTATTCATGTACGTATTCTCTTACAGAGGATCTTTTAATACTCCAATAACGGACAAAGGTAATTATTTTGTGTAACTGTCCTTACCTTCCATATTGATCCCCAACAATTGCAAATCTACTCCTATTTTGACAGTGTTCTTTTTAATACTTCTATCTCTCCGTCAAATAGGCAATCTATTTCACAAACGTAAAATATTCTATCGGCACGCCTTACACATCTTGTAATGGCCTCTGATGCTAAATAAGGGGAACGCGATTGGGTTTACATAAAAAACTAAAAAACATAAAAAGAATTGCCACTAGCTGTCTTGAATGTTAAAAACTTATCTCTATTCAGCTAGCTCTTTTAATCAAAAATCAAGGTGGAGCTTAAAGAAAATGTAGGTCAACAAACAATCAAAGAAATTGTACCTACACGTTTAACTATCCTATTCTGAAGGATCGTAACTAACTTCAATACTACCTATTGTACCTATGTCGAATATAACTGATAGTTCTAGCTTATATTATTGTTTGTTTCAGATACCGGATTAGTTGGTCACGGTGAGGAGTTGTCGTATTTATTTCGTAACACATTCGCGCCAATTACTTTAAATAAAAAGGACCAAACAACTCGATACAGATTAATTAAATTATGGACGAACTTTGCAAAAACGGGGTATTTTGCATTTTAATAAGGAATGGATATAATTTTTCTAATTTCAGGAATCCTACACCGGAAAAAGATACACTGTTGGAAAGTGTGATTTGGGAGAATTGGACCAAAAGCAACATGGTTTACTTAGATATTGGTCCGAATATAAGTCTCGGAAGACATTTTCCAATAGAAAACTTTCGATTTTGGAACAGTTTATTTAATTTATATGGAAATCCACCATTTAGTACATACTAATTTGATAATAACAACCTTGTACACCTTTTGATGCGAGTTTTAATTACCTACCATTTTGTGTTATGCTTATGAGCCGAACCTCGAGTGGTAATTTTCTTACAAAACCCATCTATGAATATAGATTGATAGTTCTCGGCGAGTGGATCACAGTAAATGTGCGCCTCATTTTGATTGAGGAGTGTCTCTGAGAGGTCATATACTCGTATAATATACAGTGATATTTAAAAAGGCCAATTCATACTATAGCTCAGGTGACGCTCTGCTAACGCTCCCCTCAAAATATTGTAACATGCTATTTCAATAGGGATATTCACATTTGACGGTCAGGTCACGGTCAGAACATGTTCATAGAAATACCCACACGCTACAATAATTGACCGGCCCGTGAGCGGACCGCGATCTAACCGATAATGTGAATTGACCTTTAAGAAGTAGACATAGGGATTTCTGTGTTTTATTTTTGCCTATGCCATTGACTAATAGGGTATTAGTCAATGCCTATGCCTACATCTAAGCATTGAATAAAAAATTAATTTTTTTACATAGTGATTATCGGTCTTTTTTTAACGAAAAAACGTACGGATTTTTACTATGCGTTTCAATGGAGTTTAGTCCTGTCTATGAACAATAGCATCCATTTTTTAGTGAATCGCGAATGTCAATAAAATTATTCAATTGTGGGTTATTATTCGCCCTCATTAATCAAACTGCAAATTCATGAAAAAAGTATCACTTTCAAAACTAGTTGTACAAATAACTATTTTCTACAACTGTCAAAAATCCTGTCATTTTCTGAAGAATTTCGAAACGCGAAGTAGGTACTAGATTTTTAAACGGTTAATGAATAAATAAGGTTGCTCTTGACAACGTGCGCGAAACCGTCAACAATGAAAAAAAGTATACCTACAGCAAATTTAATTAACAATCAGTTCAGTTGTAGCAAAAATACTGTATATATCGCTAGCGCGAAGTTATTTCGCGCTCTTGTTATACAATAGTTATTTATATAACATTCATCAACGTACCCTTCAGCGACCGTGGATGACTTCCAACCACCATGTTTCTTTAGTGTCATCAAATCTACCCCAGATTCAACTAAAAGTGTAGCAGACGATCTTCGAAATGAATGACCAGTCTCCGCCGAACTGAACTTCGCCTTGTAGAAGTGTGTTATTTTTATTTCTGTACTTTTTTGGGATAATTAAAGTAAAGGCAATATTATTATTATTATTATTTATTATTATTAAGTAATGGAACATCGCGGATATCTATCACATAACGCACAGGAACTAAAATGCTCGCCAAAACAGAAATAATTTAATAATTACACGATGTGAAGAAATTTAAACAGTAGCCATAGCACTATATGAAAATAATAGAACTGTTTAAACCGCCGTTTTTTTTATAAAAGTAAACCAGTCTATACAGGCTCTAGTCAACCCATTTACGACCATTTTATTCTAAGAAATGATAGAATGAGTGACAAGGTACACGTAATTACCGCTATCTCCGAATTCGTAAAAATTGTAATTACGCCCTTTTCAACTAACAGGGCAGTGTGGTTATCACTAACTTATCTACCGATGAGGTTGTTAAAAAATTCAAATGGTGTTTACCTGTTTCCATGTAACTGTCACTGATATACCTACTTTTTGTACATGTACAGTGTGGTCCAATTTCTATGGTATAAAATGGGTAACTTTCTTATAAACGCAGATGAAAGAAAATGGTTTAAGTATTCGTGACCTCTTTTTTCATGCTTATTCCATTACCGTTGACAGAAATAAGCTGCCGTCTTTTGTTTTTTCAGTAGAGAGAAAATTTGAAAAATTACCGATTATCCTTCAATTTGCTGTAACTCCTTTATTTTTGAAGCTATAGAACAAAATGTTTTTAGCATTATTCAGGCACTTTTTAACGTAGAAATCAATGCCGTCAGTCGTTTGTTTCTAGTCCTTTTAGTAACTGCTTTGTAAATCAAAGTTGATTTTTTTAAATTGAAGTTACAGCTTACGATGGTTTTAAAAGATTTATTGTTTTACGAGATTTTCCAAAATGTATGCTTAATATGTCATACTTATTTTCAATAATAAGTTTTCTTATTAATACATATTGTCTGAAAGTAAATAACAAAAGATCAACTTTGAGTTGCAGCGCAGTTAGTAAAAGGTCTAGACACAAACGACCGACTGACTGGCATTTATTTTTACGTTAAAAAGTGCCTGAATAATGCTAAACCCATTTTGTTCTAGCTTCCAAAATAAAAGAGTTACAGCATATTGAAGGAATCGGCAATTTTTCAGTTTTTCTCTTTATAGAAAAAACAATTAAAGACGGCAGCTGATTTCTGGCAGAGGTAGGTAATGAAACAAGCATGAAAAAAAGGCCACGAGTACCTAAACCGTTTTCGCGTTTATCTCCGCTAATAAGAAAGTGGCCCATTTAATAATCCCATCGAAATTGGGCCACACTGTACAAAGAAAGTCAATAAATATTAATAACGTTTTTATCACTCACACATGAAGTACCTTATCCGATGCTATTTGAAATATTTACTTGCGAACAAAAACTAACTTTTCAGTAGACATGTGACAAATTAGTAATTTTTTACAATGTGTATAAAAAGCGTGTATCGAAATCGTGCTTGTAACGTTTTTATGATGAATGTGGAATGTTTAGGCTTGTTTCTGATCACTATAGGTGCCTTAACGGGTGTAAACGTCTGTTTGTCACAAAGAGATGGCTCACGTGTTTCAAAAAAGTTTTCTGCGCCATCTAAAGTGATTGTAATCTACACGCAATGTGAAAAATATATCTACATATCTGCTATTGTAGGACTATCAGCAACCAGTTGTCAATATCAAAAGTGGCATGACAATAGTTGGAAGAGTAAATAAAACTGTTGACGAGCAGAAAACCTATTTTACATTTCGGGCGATACCGTTTGCTTTACCTCCAATCAAAGAGCTTCGATTTAAGGTTATCTACCGGTTAATTTCAATGTAACATTGCAAATGTTTACAGCCACCAGTTGCCTTGCCAGGAAATCTTTCAGATCAGTTAGTGAATGCGACCCGAGACGCAGCCAGATGTATTGAGTTCAATTCAACTGGAGGTTCTGAAGACTGCCTGTATCTGAACGTCTACACACCTCAGGTAAGAATAATAATGTATGTAGATGAAGTTATTTGAGCTAGTATTGATTTGATCATATAAGTAGTCTATTTATTTGTTTGCCATTTTGCTCCCTACATGCCAAAAGAATACCTAATCAAAATCAGGAGCTAAAAAGAACCACTATCGATCAGTTAAACTTCACATTAACTAACACACAACTCGTGACAGACCGTCCTTTCCGATTAATGGGGTTAATGAAAGTAATTTGCTTCGCCTACTGGTCGATTGGTTTTCCTCATTCTATCGATTTCGTCTTTAAAGTGCTGTTCCTGGCATATTTTTAAAAGTTTAATAAGTGATTCTTCTATTTCATATAGATTCAATAACCCATATCGTTTCTCTGCGCCCTTTGGCATCTGCAATTGTGGCAAAATAGGAGGCAATATGCGGTTACTCGTTTCAGTTTCGTTAGTGACGAGTAACGTTCAATAATGTCACGATTAACGCAATTTTCTGCCGTGTCCCGCGTTCCAATGTCGCTTGCATGATTGCTGGTTGCATGGGCCAAGTGGCGTTCGAGTTCCGCAAGAATTCTGGCCCAAACCACCACAAGCTGTGGTCCACTAGGTATTCCAATATACGCGCAATACTCAGACCATTCCGAGACAACCTCCAGCGATACCGATTCATCCCAGTCCATCAGTCTGAGTTGCCAAAGTCGTTTCATCATCAATTTCGCTCGTACCGCGATAGGACTGACTATTCCCAAATGATCAAATATTATAGCTGTGATACACTAGATAAGATAACTCGCTTTGTCACTTTACGGTTTGATTTTATATCTGCAACGTACTGCAGGCAATCTTGATCCGAATAGCTTGAAAGGTCTTTCGAAGTCCTTTATTTTGACGTTTGATTTTTTTAAATCGATCGATTCGTTTTCGAGAAAATTAGAATAGTACATTATATACCAAGGTAGAAAAGTACAGTCTTATTGCCTGAGCACCAAGATTACATCTCGAGAGGCGCTTGCGCCGAGGGGTGTAAGGTGCGAAGGCAATAATAGACTTCTCTACCGTGGTATATATACTATTTTTTTCACTACTAGCACTGGAAGTCCTCAAAATTTACATATTATATTGATAAGAAAGTGAACGGTTGGGCAGAATTTTTTGTTTATTAATTTAACATATCAATCAAGTGCGTAGAAGTACAAGTGAAACAGGCCGTATTTTGTTCTGTGATTGAGATATTTTCAAAGAGTAATTTCTTTCGAATTTTTTCAAAATGTGATAATTTTAGGTATGTAATTTCTCTGAAAATGGCGGATGGTGGCAATTATTCATTGTAGAGAACTTGTCTAAACGTTTATTAAGCAAAATTTCGGGTTGTGTTTTCTAAAAGTGACAGCGTGACAGTTCTCATTATTGACTACTAGTTAATAATGTCCACATTACTAACCACTTTGAACAAATGCCGAGAAAGCCTACTTTACAAGTGGAAAAAAGGCTAATAATCATGTCATCAGACGCTAGTAGTGAAAAAAAATCTTTATTTAATGTACCTACCTATTTACTCGACGGAACCGACAAGAAATCCAAATTCCAACTTTTTAGGGACAAATTATCCAAATAATTTGGATTGTTTTCGTCAAGATATCCAATTTTTATCGACAATAAATTATCCAAATCCAAATACAGCGACAAAATATCCAACCAATTTGGAAACTCCGATTTATAATATCGAATTTTTTTTAGACAAGAAATCCAAATTTTTTGGACAAAATATCCAAAAAGTTCGGAAATTTTTTGACGAGATATCCAAACTTTTTTAGACAAGAAATCCAAAAAGTTTTGAAAGTTTTCAACAAGATATCCGATTTTCGAATAGATAAAGGTACGCCGCTTTTTCGTGTATTTTACGTACTATACGTTTTTAACAGCAGTTGTTTTCAGCGTGAGAGCTTTGTGCTTGTCAAAGTGCTGAGCTTTAAAAGTACTTATTAATTATAATTTTAATCAGGCATGAACCTTGTGTGATACGAAAAATTCCGTATCAGCATTTCAGTTTCAATGTTAAAACACGGCATAGCAATTAGCTACAGCGTTTAATAGTGTAGTGTAGTTTAATAATAACTCATTTATTACTAGGTAGGCACTATAATTCTTTGACGCTGTATGAAAACATACTAAATGCTATGGCGTGCTTTAACACTGAAACCGAAATGTTTCGTACTGCACAAGGTTAATACGTGATTAAAGGGCTTGAATAAAATTTTGATTTCTTGTCTAAAAAAGTTTGGATATTTTGTCAAAAAATTTCCGAACTTTTTGGATATTTTGTCCAAAAAATTTAGATTTCTTGTCTAAAAAAAGTTCGATATCGGAGTTTCCAAATTGGTTGGATATTTTTGTCGGTTTATTTGGATTTGGATAATTTGTCGATAAAAAAATTGGTATCTTGACGAAAACAATCCAAATTATTTGGATAATTTGTCCCTAAAAAGTTGTTGGAATTTGGATTTCTTGTCGTCCCTTTTACTCGACTTATCTTAATTTGTTCAGTAGAAAACTTTCTCGGATGTTTGGCGTTTAACGTGACGGCAGTTTGCCGAGCACAGTGATAAAAATAGAGGACCTCGGAAACCTTTCAAACAAGCTATTACTCGATACCAATTGTCATTTAAACATTTTTAAGGGAATGATCCTGGGGGGCAGAGGGTGAAAGGGGGTTATTGGATTTGGCCCATTTTCAATACACTTATTACATGTGGCGTATAGGTCAACTGTGCAAAGTTTGAACCAAACAGGTCCAAGCGTTTGACAGTGATCGTGTTCACGGACAGACGGACACCATCGACTCTCCTATAAAGCTTGCATCGCTTTGCTCTGCCGCTTAATAAATACTGATTATACTCGTAATAAAAGGATGTACTTTTTACTAAAAGCATGAATCTTGTGAGCTCTAACTTGCAAAAGGTTATTACAGAAGTTTTATTCAAATATTTTACCCATATGATAACCCCCTAGAATTTTATATAACCACCAACACCATGATTTGGCTTGAGCCGTTGAGTGATTTTTCACTCAACGCTTGAGCGGAGTGACATTATAATGGGCGTAGAGGGAGGCAGGCCTAAATGCACAATCCACCTTTTACCGGTTAATGTAACATAGCATTTTAGTCTTAAGATTGTTTTATGAACATGTACTGGAACTTCTTTTTATGGCAGTTTAAAAATTCCTCAAAGCTGCGTCCTGTAATGGTATGGATTTATGGTGGTGCATTTATTGTGGGTAACAGCGACTATTCATCTTATGGACCAGATTACCTAATTAATCAAGATGTGATCGTCGTAACCTTTAACTACCGTTTAGGAATTTTCGGTACTTAAACACAAATTACGTAGGTAGATACTATTGTATAAATACTGTAGGGTTCCTAAGTACAGAAGATTACGCTTCTCCGGGCAATTATGGGTTAAAAGATCAGATAATGGCTTTGCGATGGGTTCAAGAAAATATCGAATATTTTGGTGGTAATTGTAGTAAAGTCACACTTTTTGGCGAAAGTGCCGGATCAGCTTCAGTTTCGTATTTGACGCAGACCCCATTAACAAAGGGTGAGAAATGCAACCAAACATTCCTATCCCCAATTCTGAAAATCTACTTGCTACTAGTAAGTTACGGTTTCTTAAATTTTGTAGGACTTTTCCAACGTGCGATTATGGAAAGCGGAACCTCACTGAATTCCTGGGCATTAACACTAAATGGTAGGCTCATAACGCTTCGTATCGCCAATATACTTCGGATAAATACACACAGTTCTCTAGCAATAGTAGAAGGTCTGAAAAAAGTGAACGCCGCCAAGCTACAGGAAGCAACGCTTTCATCTTTTCTTGATGTTGGTACTACATTATAACAATGCATTACATACATTATAACAATTGCATCTACATACTATTCTTTTCTAAAGGATACGTTAGAGGACAATCTATTAAATGGATTACCATTTGGTCCAACTATCGAACCAATACATCCAGGTGCAGTTGTAGTTAATTACAGTTACGAACAACTTCAAAATGGTTTACTCCATAACATCCCTTACATTATTGGATATAATTCATTAGAAGGCATACCGTTTGTTGACAGTAATTTTTTTTTCTTCATTTTAATACCTACTCGGATTTTAAAAAAATCTTGTTTTAGTGCTAAATCGCATTCGTTGGTATCTGATACAATATGATCTGGCCCCAACTCGTTTAGTACCGGCAAGTATGAATGTGTATGACTCCCCAACAAAAGTGAACGTGAGCTTAATAATCAAACATCATTACTATGGAAAAACGCCAATAACCTTATCAGAAGATTCTTTACTGCAGGTAAGTACATATTTTCGGTGTAGAAACGGTGTGTTTCCTAAACTGTGAACGTTTAGTTTACCAGTGATGATCAATTTGTGAGACCCATTTTGGAAGCAGCTACGCTATATTCTCAAAGCGCCCCAGTATACTTGTACAAGTTCTCCTACCAAGGTTCCTTGGGTTCGGGAAAAAGAAAACAACGCGGTCAGTATACTACACTAGCAGGTCTCCGTGTATATAACAAAAATCTCTAGGTGTTGGGCATGCTGAAGAATTGCCTTATATATGGAGAATTGCCAATAATTATAATAAAGTTACCCCCCGCGATATAGTAACCAGAAAACGTATGGTGACTTTATGGACTAACTTCGCTAAGTATGGGTAAGTAAGGAACCATTCCCGAGCTAATTAGACATTTGGGTAAATGTTTTAATGTCCACTAATTACTGGTATTGCAGGAACCCCACTCCAGCTCCTGATACGTTACTTCAAAATGTCAGTTGGCCTATAGCGCACGAAAATGAATTTAGCCTGAGATATTTGAACATTAATGTGACATTAAACGCTTCAGCAGATCCTAATTGGAAATCGTTTTTGTTTTGGACAGATTTATTTAAGAAATATGGAAATCCTCCATTTGTCACTTATTAATCTCCACCGTGGATAACTGCACATACTTGTATTAATCTATGAATATACTTGAAGCATCTCCTACCTTTTTATTCAATTTATTGCTATGCCTACTATTTATTTTATTTATTTCTATACCTGAAGACAATTTTTTTTAATCGGTGTACGGTAGGTCAGTTTTTTTGAAGAAAATTATGTGGAAATGAGAAAATCGTTCGAGCAGTTTTCCCTCCGCGGAACCCTCACTGGTGTGTTGTTCCAGATTAAAAATTCACAACTCGTCAATAGTAAGCACTGCGGGACCGCCGCCGCGGCTAGAGAGGTAGGAAGGACGGGCGCGTCTAACCTCGTAAGCTAAAACTGTTAATCAGCCTCCTACAGGGTGCTACCGTAAAGAGTAAAAAAACGCGAAAAACACTTTTTCAAACTTTAAGGAGAAGTTGTTTGATTCATCTTTGAATTCAGATCCAAAGTTAGGAAGGCGGTAAGTATTTTGCTGTAAAACGAATCTATACAGAGTGGCCCACCGAGAAGTATACAGAGGGCTTTTAGGGTATTAAATTTAGAAATTTCGAAAAATCTTCGAACACGTCAATTTTGTATTCGATGGGGACAACTTTTGGAATACAAATCACGAACCCAAGTCTTCACCCCTCTACGCAGGGAGCTTAACCCCTAAAATTTTAAATGGAATCCTATGGCAAAAGGGCACATTATTTGAAAGCCAATTTAATCGTGATTACTAATCTGCTTTGCTTTTTAAATTCTATTGATTCGTTTCGGAGATAATTCGCATTTGAAATGGTTTTTTTTAAACCAAAACAAATGCGATCTAAGTCACCTTGTATTAAAATTTTATTTTGACGCTTCAATTTGTTTGTTAAACTTAAATGAACCTGTCAGTTCTCCGAAACGAATCAATAGAATTTAAAAAGCAAAGCAGATTAGTAATCACGATTAAATTGGCTTTCAAATAATGTGCCATTTGCCATAGGATTCCATTTACGAGTAAAATTTTAGGGGTTAAGTTCCCTGCGTTGAGAGGTGAAGACTTGGGTTCGTGATTTGTATTCCAAAAGTTGTCCCCCTCGAATACAAAATTGACGTGTTCGAGGATTTTTCGAAATTTCTAAATTTAATACCCTAAAATCCCTCTGTATTCTTCTCGTTGGGCCACTCTGTATATAGAGCTCTTGCGCTCATAGAGGGAGATTTTGACACGTTTGCAATTGTTCTTATAATGCGCTTTTGAGCAGTGAAAATAGCATGCGAGTGAGTAGACGAACCCCATAAGACATATTACATATCGTAGGATGGACTGCAAAAGCGAGTGGTATAAATATTAACGAGTTGATTTAGAGTTAAGACGCGTCTGAGATTTCTGATTAGGTAATTAACCGAGCTCAATCTAGCTGCGAGTTTGGAGCAGTGCACTTTCCAGCTTAAGTGGTTGTCAAAATGCAGACCCAAAAATTTAGTGGTGGAGATATAAATTGGAGTGCGAGGTTCCTTTGGGGCTGAGTACTTTAATTTCCTAGACAGGTAATCTTATTTTACTGACTCAATTTTCATATAGAACTTTTGACTAATGCCACTCTGTCAGTGATGACAGGAGTCATAGACATTTAACAACGTCACAGACGCCTTGGATGAAAAAGTAACTGGATTGCTTGCAAGTCAAAATTTATGAAGCCAACACACAGACCATGGACATGGACTAGTAATTGTAACTAAAATATGGTCAAGGACATCGCCTGGGTATGTGACTTTCAGGGGAAACGAGTATGTTCGAAGTTGTCCGATTAGACACGATTTGAGACTGTCAACCTATAAATTAACAAACGTCAATTAATTAATCGCCTAGATATGTCAAAAAAGCAAACCTATTCTTATAATATTTGTGGACGTATAGAAGATAATCAAGAGTAACTATAAAAGCTACTCTTTACGTGGTCCGAGTGGTGTTTACACGACTTTAGTTTACCCTGAGATTCACATACCCACGACTACGGTGCCCTCTGTCCGTGACCACCCATTTTGTATTAATATTTGATTTGTATGTATAGAAATATCTTACAACCTGCAATGTAATACGAAGTCAATAGGTGAGTCACATAATGTGACATATCTCCGTGATTGTAATATTTTAACTGGCCAACTTCCAAGGTCAATTTCTTTTTGGTACTAGGACCAAAAGTATCCACTTTTGTACAGTTGCCATGGTGATAGCGATTAATCCGAAAAAAGCCAATTTTACGTACCGAATTACACTATCACAAAATAGCGTTTTATTCAGGTGGTTCGAGAAAAAAATATTTATAATAAAGAACGTTTACAGCGGAAATATTTACTCTATAATAGTACGCGATATTTGTTTTCCGTGCATTTTAATGAGCGTCCCATTTCGTCTGTGGGAAAACCTATTTCAATTCTTTAGGACATTTCCTTGGCTTAACATGATTTTGCTAATTGGATTTATTGCCGAATTTTTTATAAAATAATGAGAAATACACCTGAAAATAAACTAATTCGTGTATCATTATAAACTCTCTAAGTTAACATGGGGAGCAACGATCTGCAAAAATCGTTTTTCCCATGTTAATTGCCTAGGTATGTTGGGTTTTAAAATATCCACCCAGTATACATAACCTTTATTAATACGATATCAGATATGTGCCATATGCATCAATGGATCATACAAAAGTATATCTGGCTCAGACAGTATACACAGACTAGTTTTGTTTTATTTCTCATCTGTTATTTCATAAACGTCATTGTCTTTGGTCCTATTTGAATACTTGGGTATTGTAATTACTAAAAAAAGCCGCTTTACATTAGGCAATTTTCGTGCAATGCAAGAGCAATGCAAGTTAGAGATACGTTACTGCGCATGTTCATACGCAATTCAGGTGCAAGAAAAATAAATAGAGAAAGTTCTATTTCACTTGCAAGTTTGGCGCAAGTTCTAGTAACTTTTCTAGTAATTTTGTCAATACCACAATTTATTTGGTTTCGCGTGTGTTATTTTGTGTGTTTTTTTTAATAGCAAGCGCCACCACATAACAAGCTGTAGCCAGCTTAATTTCCTTTTGTTTGCTCATACCTAATGGTCAAGAATAACCTTCGGTGTATGTAAACAAACTGAAAAGTTTCAATTTTTGAAAAATATGTTGTCAGTACTACAACACTTTTCTGAACTTGCACAAAAGTTGCAACACAATTGCATAAATGTAAAACCGTAATAAGCAATGCAAGGCAATTTTAGATTGCATAGCACAAGCCTTGCATTGCACTAAAATTGCCTAATGTAAAGCGGCTTAATTAATTTCCTGTCCCTTTCAACAAATGTCATCATGAATTGGTTAAGGTTATTATGAAGGTTAAGTGGAAGAACAGCCGGTGGTAGTCTCCGCCGCACTGAACTTCGCCTTGTAGAAGAATATTTTATTTCTGTTTTGTTTTTGGGGATAATTAAAGGCAATATTATTATTATTATTATGAACTACTAGTAGTTTGTAGTCGTTAATTTAGTTCAAAGTACCCAATATGCGGCTGCTTAGTCACAGATGTGATTCTGTTTTTACTTTTTAGCGCGAGCGCCATCACCATGCGCGTTCATTTTCATATTTTCAGCATTTCGGAAGAGATATTCGAATATGTACTACAAAATTTGTTCATTTCCAAATTATGTTTAGAAAGCTTTGCTAGTGTTTTGATATTCCACTTTTGACATTTAAGTTATCTATTACCTTATTTAGATTCAGTGGTGAAAGTTTTCCATTAACTGAGAAGGATGGAGGAGCTAAAGAAAATTTTGACCAGCTTATTAATATCTTCACCCTTAAAATTGACGGTAGCACTTCTGGATCGCGATTATGCGGAACAAATGGGAGAAAGGATACCATATCGAAGCCTCGGTTTTAACTCCTTAGAAAATTGCCTTCATTCGATGCCCGATGTTCTTAAGGTAAGATTTTAATTTTAATTTTAAACTTTTTGGTAACATAGATGTAGGGTATGGAATAATAACGTTACTTATCACTTTAAATGCAAGCAGGTTTCCTGAGTAGTTTAAAGCTAATCAGATCTTACATGTAACACGTTTATTTATTTACATATTTACAAGATTCTAAAGCTTCACAACTGTTCGGTGTTACTTTTAGAAAGATTTGTAACCATAATATCTTATAATTTAATTTGTAGGTCACAGTACTGAAACTGCATGTTTATTTTCCTATGTGGTTTCGTGCCAGCCACGGACCTGGGATAAGTATTCAAACATATACTATGAGTTTGATGAAATAACAATTGTAGCAAGGAAATTATTACCACATCAAGTAACTTAACGTTTAATACGAGGTTTAATAATTATTATTTTTTTAGTACAAGTTACTCTCAGGATAGCAATTTCTTCAGGATGTGAAAACAGATAATGGCGAGGATAATGGTATGAACTAATAAGATTAGTAGGTGTAAAGAATTCCCACATCTGAGGAATGTCTGAGGGGTTGAAATAATTATAAAAAATGAATATTCGTTTTTTATTACAATTCTGTTTTTTAGTTTCTATTTTATTTATTTCTATGGTTCATAATTCATTAATCAATCATATGCCGGTATTGCATTACATCAGACTTTCTCAATCTTATAACTTATATTTGGGGTGCATATAGTTTTGAATTGAAAACTATTTATATTATTTTTCTAAATTTCATTTTTCTCGAGAAGTAAGCATCATAGTGAAAAATGTCAATTACAAAAAAGATGTGTCTTGATGAGGTCTACAAAAAAGGCTTGTGCACTTTTTGCGTCGGGTTTAACACAAAGGCGCTAGAGGGCATTTTCTAAATGTTATACTATGGCCAAAGATAATTGCAATGACTATTAAAAGTAGTCGGAAAGTCAAGTCAGCAGTTACCTGACAACTAGTTTTATATGCTTTTGTGTTTAGAAATTTTTTTTGTGAAGACTTCTCATCCTTCATCTCTTTCAACTATAAAAAATCAAAAATATAATAATACTAGGGGTGCCGCGATTTTTGTTTAATAATTTTAGTGTGCCGCCAGACAAAAAAGTTTGAGAAACACTGCATTTGATCGCATGTTCAAACTTCTGGTTTAATCAGAAATCGATGTAACGTTTGTTTTTTAAAGGCAATTCCTGTTTTTGTAAGATATTTGAAAAAAGCAGTCAATTTTCTGTACGATAGCATGAAATGGGCATATGGTTGATATGCAAAAAATGGAGAAATTCGTGATTCAATATTTAGAAATTTATGAAATATAGCATGCTGTGTGCTGTCAGGGTGTGCGGTGCCTGTTGTATTACATGGGGAGATCATATCGTGCAAAAGTAAATCTTCAAAACGAAACAATGCACAAGTTATTGTAGATTTCTTCTGTGTGATATAGCACACGGCATGCTAGATTTCATAAGTTTTCTAAATATTGAATCACGAATTTCTTCATTTTTTTGTATATCAACCATATGTAAATTTCATGTTGTCGTACAGAAAATTGACTGCTCTTTTCCAATATCTTAAAAAAACATAGGCATTGCATTTAAAAAACGAAAGTTGAATTGATTTCCGCCTAAACCAGAAGTGACACCAGGAGTTTGAATATGCGATCGATCGTTATGTCACATAAAATTATATTTAACAAATTTTTTGTATCTCGTCAAATAACACGGACGAGGTGACCGTATTATCTCGAACGCGCTGTATATACAGTCTGTTTCAAATTAAGTCGGCACTATAAGTAGGTTAATTTATTATAATGACTGGGGATGAATGATTTTTGGTTACTTTATTTCGGACAGGTAAACTACAGAACAATAACTGTAAATAGGACTTACACTGGTGTTCAGCGCAATATGTCAGGAACGAATGCAGATTTTAAAATTCTTAAAATTGATATAAATATACGCTTGGGCCATATATTCTTTGAGAAAAAATGTTTAAATTAAATTAGTCACCACCAGGTGGCGCTACCTAACAATTCTTTTAAATGGATTATCCTACTTTTTATTAGATTTTTGGAATTTACAACAGATTTGTGATAACTTTATTTATAAGTTCTATGGTGGCGTCATGAGAATGCAGTTTCAGTAAACTAAAATTAATAAAAACTTATATTTGAATATGGTTACTTTATAAGCATACTTTAAGAACGTTTGTGTCAAGAAAGAATTTCGAATTTGGGTATAATTTCCATAGAGCATGAAATAGCTCAGTCACTAGATTATGAAGACCTCATACGAGATCAATAAAAGCAAGAAGAGTGATATTTAAAAAAATATTTAATATAGATTTTATTCTCCTTATTTTTGAAATCGGTTGTATTATAAATTATAAATTCATTTTTTTGTGATTTAAATCGTTTAAATGTGCTATATATTTTATTATTACATTTCCCAAAAAAAAGTAAAAAGGGTGCAATCAAACTACTTTGCACCAGCCGCCAAACAGGGTTGCTGCAGCACTGGCTAATACCAGTAATAACAACTATTTCTTAATTTACAAATTAATGTGTATTACAACTAAACTTTGATTTTAACAATATTATTTTAATTTTTAAGGTGACTGGGTATGGGCCAAATGCCATAGTTGACGTATATGTTACCCAGAAATCAGCGCATATTAATGATTTAGTAACCAGGCAAAGAGTAAATCCTCCCAAACGACGAGCAAGGTAAACGAACTTACCACCACGGACATTATTATAATGATTAATGTTTGATACAGATTTGGAGTCCCCAAACGCGCCCGACCTTTAAGAAGTAACAACGCATATTCCTATCAAAGCTCTAGGACACCGTCGCTAACCTTTCGACCCCCAACTTATTATCCAAGACAAAGAAATGAACTTGATACTTCAAACTCCTTCAAATCTAAAAATATTCTTCCACCCAGTGCCAGCGCATCGTCCACTTCCTCGGGCTCTCCACCTAATATTAATGCAGATATACAAATATCTGAAAAATCATTCAGCTCTACTGGAGCAATTCCAAAACTAAAAGTGATATCTCCTCCTCAAAGTAATAATGGATCCTTCGTTAACAGAAATCATTACTGGAGTGATTCAAGTGATGACGAGTCCGATAAAGAAAATGTACGTTTTACTAAATCAGTTACTATCGACAAAGCACCTCGCAAATCACCTGAACCAGAAAGTATTATTAATATCAATGTTCCTATGAATGTACAAATCAACTTAAATAAACTGATGTCCAAATATGAGGCAGGCATTTGGTGCAGGAACTTACCTAGCGTGTACAAGGAAATGTTTTCCAAGGAATTGGATTATGCAGAATATGGATATAGAGCGTTAATATTCTTATGTACGGATTTACCCGACATATTCATTTGCATTCGACCCAATAAAGGAGATCATAAACTCTTTTATAAACCAAAAGGATTACCTGAAGACTATGATAAGGACTTTAAAACACAACGTGTTTATGAGGAGGAGGATGATGATAAACCATCTGAATTTGAATTTAATTTGGATGTAAGTATTTGTAGACTACCTTAACAAATTCACAGTTTTGATTGTTTTTTTATGAGGGTTTTCTTTACATTTTGCATATTGTCAAAAAACAAGAAAATGGGAGATTTTAGGTGACTTATCCACAAGGACCAATACATTCAAATTAAGTAGTAAAGCAGTTCTTCAGTTGACATCTGCAAAATTGCTGCCCATGCATTGTAGTCTTATTCTTTGGGAATGTGGAGAAGTTGTTGGGACTTATATCAGGGCTATATAGTGGCTATGAACTTGACCATCCTTTTGGCGATGTGAGCACTCACATTTTCTTGGTGGAGGAGGGACCTTTTCTTCCTTTTGTCCGAGTTACCTCTTTCTCTCGGAGATACATGCTACTTGAGCCGGTTCTACACTGTGTTGCCTCAGTGAACATCTTGGGGAGTCTGACTTTCAGCTGAAGTTTGACTCTTACCCTCACCCACCATACTCATCTGGACTTTGTGACTCTGGCGGAGCACTAAATGGATCCATGTGAGGCCTCAGGTCCCATGGTTGGTGCACTTAGAGGGGCACTATCCTCTGTTATATGATCAGGTTTTCCCATGCAAGTCCCGAGAGTATTAAGAAAAATCATTTACCTGCTGCAGAGCTCCATACGGCTGGAGGGGTGTTTTTAAAACTGGAGTTCCACTGGGCTCCAAGTTCGTGTACTAAATACCGCACCTATCAATCAACCAGCCCGTCGGCGTAAGCTGTTCCATTTTGGGCTGAGGTTTTTTTAATGCTCTTGCTCCAGGCAATTAAGCAAAGACACCCCCCCCCATCCTCAGGTGCATGAGACATGACTACAGACGACCTGCTTATCCATTGGTTTCCGTCACGGTTGATTAACCTTATGTCTCATATGATCATTCAAAGGACCAGGGATTAAGCTGCGGTGAAATTGAGACATTGTTGAGGCAGGTTATCACATTTTTTGCGACAAAGAAAATCAAATGAAATTTATTGATTATATTTGAGCTTATTTCATATTGCTGAAGAAAAGCAACATACATTTAATAAATATCAAATGACACAAATGCTACAAGAAAATTACTTTTTTCTCCAACCACCTGAATAAGACGCTATTTTGTGACAGTGTTCGGTACCTAAAATTGACGTTTTGCGGATTAATCGCTTTCACCATGGCAACTGTACAAAAAGTGGATACTTTTGGTCCTAGTACCAAAAAGAAATTGACCTTGAAAGTTGGCCAATTAAAAAATTACAATCACGGAGATATGTCACATTGACATCGTTTTACATTGCAGGTTGTAAGATATTTCTATACGTACAAATCAAATATTTTTGCATATTCAATGCAAATAATGATGTTACCTATACGTATGTACATGTATTGAAAATAATTTACGTTCGCTATTTTTATTTAAACCATGTGTAACGTAATTTACATATTCCGTGAACGTAATTTTAATACGTATACAACCCGCCGTCGCGCGTAACGCCATCTACTTCAGACCCATTGCACTATTATCTGTCATTTTGAAATCAAAATTTGAAAAAGTTAATTGCAATTAATTTTAATTAAAAAACTGTATGGTAAGTTTTTTATTTCAATACAAAATATAACAATATTAATTGTGTATACAATAGAAATGACTGAAACTGATAGCGACATGGATTGCACTCCGCCAGAGATTATAGAAACGGCAGAACATGCTACCTCAAGATTTGCTCCCTACAAAGTCGCGAGAGGTGAGAAGTAAGAACGAAAGGTTATAAGTTAACTTAAAAACTAGAGTGGCATGACACGTGAGGACAAGAAAGCAGAAGTTCTTATACTAGTAGTGAAACTGTGACTGAATCTAAATTCGAATATAATTTGAAGTAAAGGGGGTTGGAGAAAAAATTTTATGTTTTATTCGTACAAAAAATGCGTTTTCGGGACTCGGAAGGTTGCTGGACTCCGCTAACGCGTCGTCCAGCAACTATCTTCCTCGTCCCGAAAACTGACATTTTTTGTACTAATGAAACAAATAACTATTGCTACAGTTCTCTAAGAGCCTATAGCATTTTTGCTCAAGGTAATTTTTTCCCAGCTTAAACCCTGTAAAGGGCCATCCCCCGATCCACCAGCTGGGAACGTTCCCGGTTTGGAGCCACCTTCCACATACAAGATGGATACCATGTTCATTACCACTTACATTACTGTATGTATTTTTGAACCGTTCCCACTTTTTCGACATCAGTTGCCAACTTTTGCTCTTCTGTCAACAGATGAGGTATCTAATGGGAGACCTATGTCTTTGAAATGCCTATCTTCTGGTATGTCATATGGCGTTCATCCTTACTCATCTGATGAACTGGATCAATATTTTGCTATACTACTGTTGTTCTGGTCTTGATTCGTCCCTAAGACCGGGGGGATCTGAATTGCTGTATCTACACGATTTAACTGTATCTAAATGAAACTGTATTTATGTCAAGAAGCTATTGACGTTAAGTTTGCGAGGCGCCCTCTAAATGCCTATCTATATGCAAAACGAAAATGACAATCCTCTTATGATTATCCTTGTGGATTAAATGTTCCAGGTAAATTAAAATGCTTCGCTGGTTGCATAACACACATAGCTTTATTGTTATAGAGAGAGTTTATAGAGATTTTTTTTAGCATTTATTAAGTAAAAAATTCGCATACCCAGATGATGTAATACAGATGTACGAAGAAATACCTCGACTTCTTCTACCGGATGACATACAAGAGGGTGATTTTGTAGATGTCGTTGTGGGTGAAATATATGATCCGAGCAAATTGTGGTTGCTATTCCACGAATACTATGATGCATTAAATAACCTTATGGATGAAATACAGTAAGGCGGTGCTTTCCAACTTTGGATTATATTATGTAGTAACATTATAATTTTAGAACTTTTTATACCAGCAATAATTATTACATACCAGAACACATGATAGTTGTCGATATGTATTGTGTTGCTGTTTATAATAGTGAGTACCACAGGGCGATTGTTGTGAACACTTTGGCGAATAATCCAAGCAAAGTGAAGGTAAGTTTTTTATAATTTGTGATCTGGAGTTTGAAGGAATTTAAATATGGTTCTCTCGCAATGCAAAAGCATTCGTGTGATATCGGACGATATCTCTCGACAGGGTGAAGCTACAAAAAAAAATTAAAATGCAAAATTGTTTGCTGTTCTACTGAAACATTTTACCAGTACAAGGTGCACCATAAATGTGGTATGAGACACTTTGTTATTTTAAACGGAACACACTTGCACTTACTTTAGGGTCCTTCAAAAATTTGGCAATATTCTAGACTGCGTTTGCAAATACTGTACACAAAACCACAAACTTCATCTTAAATTGTTCACTCAGCCGCAAACTTTCTTTTTTACAACACATATCTCTGCGATTTCTTATTTAAAATCAACGGAAGCAATTTACATTTTAACTAAGAAAAACATTTGCTTAGTCCGTTGTCCGGTGATCATTATTGTATGTGTTGTATATCTTGTGCATATGTCTATCGCTGGGTGCAATGGCAAACGGTCACTAAATCACTAAATCAAAATTTAAACTTAGAATTTTTTAATCTCTCCTCGTACACATCCGGCATTTGCTACCTTAATCATAACATTGATTTAAAATTTCTCATTTTGAGAGAATCGATGGCTTTGATCAGCTTCCGAAAATTCCAAAGAATTTACTACACAAATTTTGATTAACACCACGAATAGAAAAATCTGACAAGAGAACTCTATCTGGGTCTGGATTTGAATAAACCCACAGTTAATTGACAATTTTAAAACACATGAAGGAATTAAAACAAAATCCCCGAAGGAAAGTGTAACAGCTGGTCGCTTTAAGCTTCAAAAATTGTTTTGATTTTACAAAATTGGCCAGTATAGGAAATTTTATACGTGTACCGCTTCATAATAAAAAGAACAGAACTAATTTTCTAGAAAATAAAGAGCGTTAAACTTTACCTTGCCAGTTGCCGGTTCTAAAAACCATCGCGATGGGGAATGAGAGGAGTATTTTCTGCTATCCCTTTGCATGTATAAAAACAGAGTGATCGATTGGTTTACGTTGGGTCCGTTTCGTATTTGGTATTCGGCGAGTGTAAAAATCTGGTGGGAGAGCGGAATTCTTACTTCAAACCTTTGAAGAAAATCTATGCATGTCGAGAGCACTGCATTTTTCGATCGCGTATTAAATTCTTAACATGACCTTTCTAGGCAAACCTACGTATCGTAATCCCGGAAGATTTATAGACTGCGAAAAACGAAATTCTTCGCCAAGCTTTCAATGCGAATATTGTGTATACTACTTTTGAGATCGCCTAAAATTTCATTGTCAATTGAAAGTTCGAACTGACATATACAGGGTGGTGACTTGCGTAACGCAGCATAGGTATTTCAATGTAAAATTCATAACATGCGATTATTGGCTCCCCAAATTATTTTAGAGCAAAAATGTATTAAAGTTTTTTGTCGAAAAAATTTTTTTACGCCAATCAACCGTATTAGTTTTTAATTTTTTTTCATATAAAGACTGAAAATTGGAAAAATAAAACTGGCATCTTTTTCAATAATCTGCGATGCCATGGAATTTTCTAAAACAAAAAGATATCCAGTTATCAATTAGCAGCAGTTCGAAATAGATTTTATGATCGACTTGGTTACTGTCTTGCAGTTAATGGTGACTGATAATAATAATGACATTTATTGAGCACACATTATACAAAGAACAGATATTATACATTACATTACATAATGGGTGACTCAATAGGGCGAAGTTCAGACTGGAATAAACCATGTTATTCCGTCTGCTCTACCACTCAACCCCCTACATATGAAATTAACAACAAGAGACCAAGACATAAAAAAACCTAGCAAGAAAAAACTATATGATAATAAAAACCATTCAGTATGAAGGCACAAAGGAAAACCTAAAAAAAATGTAAAAAAAAAAAAAATTATAGCAATAATGATGTTAACGATGGATGCTGTCTTGCAAGGAGTATGAGGCGCAAGCGTTTTTTAAAAAGGCTTTCAGATAAATGTTTTAAATGAGATGGTAATTCATTACACGTCTTTGCAATATTGTAACTGAAGGAGCGTTTAAATAGTGACGTTTTGTGAGTAGGTATAGTTATAAAAAACCGATCTCCAACATTGACATTATGGACGTCAGCTCTGTATGTTACCTTTTCAAATAAATATGACGGAGTTTTGGTTTGAAGTATGCCATTATTCGAACATTTATTGTAAATTGTTATATTAGGAAACCGTTTTTAGTAATTTGGTCTTTCTTTATGTTGAATTCGCTGTTCTAAATATAATACTTTTTGATAGGATTTGATTTGTTTTATAGCAGACATTTCATGGCATGACGGATATTGACGTAGTTTTTGTATTATAAAATTCCATGGCATCACAGATTATTGAAAAAGATGGGGGTTTTATTTTTCCAATTTTCCGTCTTTATTATGCAAAAAATTGAAAACTATACTGTATTCATTTTAAGAAGGTAGCGGTAAAAAACATAGGGAAGATTTGACCTTCAGTGTGATTGGTTAAAACACAAGTCAGTATTACGCTGAAACATAAAACGAGTGGCGAATTTTGCAAGCTGGTAGTTTCTGTTGGCATCTAAACTATTGAAGTGTCATTAACTGTTAATGTCAAAGATTGATTTGTGTTTGCAGTGCTAGATATTTCTACTTTACAATAATTTGGTGCCGTTTTATATTTTTCCTGTGTGTGCTTATCTTCAAACCCAGCGCCATCTACTACCTTCTTATAATGAATGAAGTATAATACGGTTGATTGACGTAAAAAAAATTTCCCTACAAAAAACCTTAATACATTTTTGCTCTAAAATAATTTGGGGAGCCAATAATCGCATGTTATGAATTTTACATTGAAATCCCTATGATGCGTTACGCAAGTCACCACCCTGTATAAAAGAATCGTTAGCCACACAACTGAAGATTTGTGCCGCCATTTTCGCTGAATTTATTGTCGTGCGTATTTTATAATGTTGTGTAAACTGCAAGGGGGTCTCGTTTCTCTAGGGTGAAATTTGCCGACGATGAGAGGGAGCCGCCCTGTAGTTGAAAATGTATGTGCTGTAAACGTACTTTAGATTTATGGGTTCATAGCTCTCCGTTCATACGTTTCCGTTTGTCGGTTAGCCAATCAGCCAATAAATTTTTAAATCATATGTCGTCCATTTATGACTGAAAAGTTGGTTGAAGTTGAACATTTACGTTTCCGATGGTCCGTTTTTTCACAAGAGTAAGGTTATGTTTGTTATATTGCTGACGTTTAAGAGCAAATTCGACAGTGTTCGCCTATTACTTTCTATATTTTTTATGAAGTTTTCTATTGTTTTTTGCCGATGAGGTAATTTACAGGGACGTAATAAGAAGAACAGGCCATTCTGAAAAAAGGTACAATACATATTGTATGAAGACGGGTGAGTATAAATATACTTCTGTTTCTTGTGGAATTATGACATCGCCTGTAGATGTGTCTCGTTTAGACGATCTGTCCACCCTTTGAGAATACCCTCCTCCAACACTCCCTTCTGCAGAAATATTTCCACTGAAAGTTTTGACTTTCATCTAGATGTTCCACTCGCCCTTTATGAGTAACCTCTTCCGACAAGATATTCGCTTGTACTTCACCAATAGATATGTCTCAACCAGGCCCTTCATTCTTCCTTTGTGAGTACTGTCCTCCAACAATCCGCTCTTGAGATATAAGGAATTAAACTGATCACAATAAGGGGTCGAGAAGGAGAACTGTGGTTAGTAGAAATTATAGTTCGGAAAGAACAGTTCCTTTGTTGAAACATTAGAATACCGTGAAAGATAAAATCCATTTCTACCCTCCCTCCCCCTTTCCCCCATCACCCGCTGATCTTGAAAAGGAGTCGCGCAGGAAAGTTATAGTTTGCACAAACCAATTCATTTCAATGAGGCCTTTTACTAGAATACCATGAAGGGTACAGCGTGTCCCCCCTCCCCCCATTTTCAACTGCTTTATTTGGCACCACTACTTACTTCCGGAAACGGGGCTCCCCTTAAGACAGGTTTAAAGGCCGTCTGGCACACCTTTAGGGTATAGGGTTTAATTCTAAAAAAATGGCGTAATAATTTTTATTATAGCGGACAAGATTTCAAAACGAAAAGTACAATATTATTGGGTATTACTAGAGGTTCCACATATAGGCAGTGGCGTAGCGAGGGGGGCGGTCCGCCCCGGGCTCGAAAGCTGAGGGGGCCCAATCCGCCCCTACTATGTAAGTAGTAAATGTATAATAGGTAATAAAAAAATATAAAAAAATGAATTGAATTTCATGATTCAAGCCTATACCTAGGTAAGTATGGTTTTGGCAAGTTTTCGTGAACGGTGAACGTCTGATACGGTCAATACCCCTACACACTACAACAACAGCGCTAGCGCTACTGTTATTGCCTTGCCTGTAGTCGTAGAATTTGCATCACTTAAAAGACGAAAACAATTTAAGATTTGAGAATTTGGTTAAAAAAAATACATAATTACATTTTGTTTGTCGTTTATTTTTGTTCTTTTCTGTGATACCATGACCAATCGACACCGCGAAAGAAAAATTGAGATGGGGGGGGGGGCAAGTGACTTCGGTCCGCCCCTCCTATTATTTTGAAACGCTACGCCACTGCATATAGGCTACCTCCAGGGCTCTAAAAGTAGTTCAAAACTGAAAAAATGGATCCGGGTGAACAAGACAAAACGCCCACAGTAGCACTTTTGTGGATTTAAAAAAATGAGCTACAAAGTTTTATCATTGTGGTAAAAATCATAATTTCAAGTATTGAATCAAATTGTTTACCTTATTGCATAGGTATTTAATAACATTGAAAGTGTTTCATAATTTAGCAGTTGGGAGGCAAGCTTTATGCATAAATTTAAAGTATGCGATTCAAGAAAATCTAAGCGACATCGTTTATACAAAAGCTAGACTAAGCTATTTGTGAATGCTTTCAGTTATTTATTAAAATTAGAGTAGTATCGAAGCTTTATTGTACGGACCTATAGGGGTCCTCTTAAAAGTTTATTTCCTAAAAATTTGTTTATTTACGTAATATTTTTCATTTAACGAGTGCTTGTTCGATTCAGTAGCCTACAGAGAACTGTATAAAGCAATAACTGTCCTGATACGTTATATTGTTCAAAAGTTATGTAAAAAATTAAAATGTCGCCTCCAGTCCAAAATATGCTCAGATTGACATAGCATAGATGATAATTCGTTCAACATTTTGGACATTTGCCTAAAAGAATTGACGTCTATCACAAAGTTTTAATTAGTATAAGATTTGTGGGAAATAAGAACCAATAAATTGCGCATGCGAAGGCAGCCTTTAATAGTGCAAAATGTCATTGAAGAATAAAACTAATGAATTTGGACGAAATAATGTTTTAGGTAAATAACCTAAATAAGTAGACTGATTGAAATATGTGATAGAAACAATGTGTGTTTTATATTTATATATTTCCTTATTGTTTTAGGTCTATTACTTAGATTATGGAACTGTGGGAGCAGTTGATTCCAATTCGTTAAAGTTTCTACATAGGAAATTTTGCAATTTGCCACAGCAAGCAGTTAGAGCCAGACTCTGTGGCATTCGTCCACCTATAGAGAAATCTCATTGGCCTCTTGAAACCTCAAATCGTTTGCTTGAACTGGTGCGCATGAAACCTTGTGTGGCTCACCTTTATCACGTCGACTTTGAGGTGAGTTTATACTTTATTAAACAGGTTCCCTTAAACAACAAATTCTTAAAATCACTTATTTGCAACTGTATCACAGTGTAAAATAAGAGAGGTGTATGGATTACCTAATCTTTGGTATAAACACAAAGTGAATTCAGTTATGATCCATGCAATGTAAAGGATAGTTTATACGGGATAGTAAATTTCTATAGTACTTCTGAGAGTAACTTGTGCTAGCGTTTACATACAGGGTGGTGCACGGTAAGTAGGAACATAGGGATTTAACATGGGAAATTAGTTTTATGCAAAAGCCTGCCCTCCTGTACATTTTACAGAAAAAACTGTAGAGTTTAAAGTTTCAAATTCAAAGATGCATACAAAACTGTTTTTTTGTGTTAAGCTTTTGGTATATCCGCAAATTTAAAAATAAATTTCACAAATCGAAATAGATTTAAAAAAAAGGTATAGTAATCAACTGTAGAACACTCAATTTCTCACAAAGAAAAAATTCCGCAATGGTATATAATTTTCTGTCTATCTGCCCTCGTTTATGTATAATATGTCAAGTACAAATTGTCACTTTTGGATAACACAACAATTTTATTTTAGAGACAAATTCTGCACGTCTTCTTGGCGGACACATCAGGTGATGAAGACATTTATCTCAATGACGCTTTGGTGAAGGAAGGGCATGCAGTTTTTAGCAATCAGGTAATTACATACGATGATGAATTACAAAATGGGGTCTCCTTGTCCAATAGTAACAGTATATTAAGTGAAGATTCAGATGATGATGCTATCTCTTGCAAATGTATTCTTGAAGCATTACGAAGGATTCCTAGTTCAAATGATTAGACAAAGTAATTTTAAATAGGATACATTTATAAGCAAGACATGTCTATTTTATTAACAATTGTATATATCTTATTTTTAATGATGTGGAATTTAATTTAAGTTAACCGGCCGATGTTTTCTTTTCTATGTCTGTGATTTAAAGTAGCATTTGCTTGATGGAAGAGACAACCAAAACATTTTCTGTGGTGTACAATGGCTGCTTTCTAAAGTGCCAAAATTTGCAATTCTTCTTTAATTGTTCAGCAAAACGTTGTACATAAATGCAGCTTCAATTGGAAAAAAATCTTTTAAAAAGATTAATAACAGCACTTCCGACGATCATTGGTTTTCAGCCTCCAACAGAACAATTTTTTCCATTTTGTGTCATTTACAGTAATTGGTTTCGTATGCAATAAGCTTGCCATATTAATTTGAAAGGCATTCGTGCTCATTGCATTGTTTTATAAAATTGTGTCGATAGCTGTTGTTTTACATTTTATTGTATTTTATTATGCCTAGTGTATGAGAAAAAATATGTTAATAAAGTTTTGATAAATAATCAGTAATTTATTAGTTTGTATTTATACTTAAGCCGATAACATCACTCTGATTGAACATATTTTTTCTCTTAATAGTGTGCAATATTTTCAGTCATACTGATGTTTTTGGCTTTCAGGAGCAGCAAAAAATCACGTTGGAACCTCGATCAACGCCATGGGTTAAAAATGTACACCTGTATCCGACATTTGAAGAAATCGAAATGAGTGCCGTTCCAAATGCTAGTGAAATGTGTCGGTTACTGAAGACAGGAACACCCATAGAATTTATTCATCCTCAATATTATGGCCAACGCAAGGCTGATGATAAAGTGCGTGATGAGGAGTTAGTTAAACTGGTAACGGATGAAGATGACTTTAACCAAGAAGGTGACCTTATAAGCTTTACTGATTATGAGGATGGATATCCGGACACAACTTCTAGTGTTAAATGTGATAAAAATTCTACAAGCAAAGAAATTGTTTCTGGCTGTGATGAAGCTGCTAACGGTAGAACAATACTGCAACCAACTGTTTCTAAGAAATTCTATGAAGAATCACTGACTACAAAAGGAGCATATGAACCTAAACTACTGAATCCAATTAAAATGGACCAAAAATTGTGTGATAATTTAACCTCATTTAATGGAAAAACAAATACTATAAGTGTCAGTGATGAATCAAAGTGTACAGAAAAAATACAGACAACTCCAGCGATAAGGCCACCTCCTGGTTTTGAGAGATTAGTGCCATCATCCTCATTTAATAACTCGTCACATTTTGGTGTAGATCATAGGAACAATACCTACGTGAACGTCACACAAACCACTAATCTGTCCTCCCAAATGGCTAATCTAAATTTAATCGGTTTATCATTGCAGCAGCTTTTGCCTCTCGCTTCACACAACATGTCTCAACCTCCTTCACATGTTCCACAACATACGTTTATGTTGCCTCAATTACAGCCCCACCTTATTCATCAAGTACAGCAATCGCCCTATGTTTCGTATCCAAACTATATACCACCACAACATGCGCCACCACAGTTTGGATACCCTTACGGGCAACCTACGAATGTGCAGTTTTATGGAAATTCCCAAAATCATATACCTCAAGTACATTGCTTCGAGAGAGTAAACCCAGTATACGCCAATCCAGAGAGGAACAAAATTATTTCAGTGATATGGAAAAAACTACATGGAAAGGTGGAGCTGCAACACAAACTTGTGCAATTTTTGACTGAACGACAGCATCTACCATCGTATCCACAATTAAAAGTGCCTTATGATTATCTTACTTCAGTTCTCTCCCGCAACCCGTTATCGATACTTACCGATAATCACAATAAAATTATTTATTACTTGGTGAGCAATCTTAGTGACATAGACATTCTTGAACTATTTAAAGTTATTGATTCGGAAGAGTGTCTATCTCGTGGATTCACGCAAATAAATTCCAACTCATCGGTGAAGTCAGAAAATTTAAAGAACAAAACATCCTACTCGACAGTCCAACAAGATAATTTGGTGAAGAAAAGGCATCTTATAATTAAAACAGGTTTGTACTTTTGCGAATAATTTCAGTTGCTATCTTGAAAATTCACATAAACAAACTCGAACATTTACATATGCTGTTTGAAAGTGTAGGTAGATTATCTATCATTTTTACTATTTCTTACGTTATGTAGGAAATTCGTCTTAAAAATCTTAACGTACAGCTGCCACCAGGTAGGTACTTTCAATCTTGCATCCAATCAACACATCACTCTGGTTTGTTGGTCTTTTTGAGGCTGCTGCAAGGCAGTGTATCTCTAAGCAGAGTAGCTGTCATTAAAGTTATCGATTACTTGAAGTAATTGTTACAGTTGGAGCAAGCTCCAGAAAACCAATGAGCACACCAAATATTAAATTCTCGATTAAAGTAATTATATGGTGTTCGAGAAATTTGCTGCCATAAAGCTACAATTATTAATTTACGTCTTATAGGAAAACTAGTTTATATCGGTTTCAGATTCAGAATTGTACCATGCCATAACAAAATTATTATTACTCTTACAATGCTTCTAAGTTGGATTAAAGGAATAGTAGTGTACAGTCGTTTCAAAAGCATGCTTTACATTTGTTTGTCCTAGCTGTCATACTCTTGCATAAACTACAATATAGGTACAAAGTTTCCATCAAATATTGTCATTGAACAGTTTTCAACTGATAGATAAGAAGTCGACAAGCAACTGCAATCTTGACTTACCCCATACGAGCAGAGCCACCGTTACTTTCATATTAAAACAGTGCCTATTTCACGGCATACAACCAGCCGATAAGGAAACCTTCTTCGGGACAAAAACCCTGGCATAACCCAATACACGAATTAAACTAGCAAAACAAAATCCACAAAACATTTCAAATTGTGTAAACAATAAACATCAGGTCACGAATTTCAAAATTCTAAGAACGTCATATTTTTTCCAAAAACATCAACGTGCATCGTTCCAGCTGGTTGTTGAACGTCGCAAGGGCGATAAACATTCGCTTAATTTTTTCGCTTTCTGTTTTTGTCCTGGTAAAAATCAAACTATAGTATAGCCTTTTTACCGAAGACACATTTTTGTCAGATCTCTCCATGAATTTCAAAACACCGCAGGCGCCGTTCACCGGACATTTTGCCGATTTCAAATCTTGAGGTTGATATTTGAGTAAACCTGAAATCATCAGTTACAAAAATACCATCTTCATGTCAATCATGTTCCAAATTAATATTTAGTGGCGAAACTTCACTTCTCTGTGCCACCAATCCAAAATAATTTTGTTGGTATACTCTACAGTGCATTTCCACATATAAGGCTGGTCGTCCACTGAAAGCGAAAACAAGCGGCTTCAAGCTTACGCGACACGAGCGCCAACACGCGACTACGCGCGGCAGATCCTAAATATTGTATTTTAATGTAACCTCGTCCACTGAAAGAAAGTATGGGCGGGCGGCTATGAGCGTAAACGTGCGCGCGCTACAATTCCGAGCGGAATGGGATTTACGCTCGTAGCCGCTTGACGCATCTGTCGGCAAAAAAATCTGCTGAAAAAGAAAGTTCCAAGAAAGGAGTTGAAACAAAGAAATCTTCTGAGAAGAAGGTGAACAATGCAATGAATCATGGTGATGCTTCAAAAACAAATCAGGGGAAGGGAAAGAAACTGATAAAGCAAATTTCGAACACTGCACCTGTTGTACCGGTCGAAATGGGCCATCAATCGTCTACAGCCACCAGCGGAAAACGCAAGAAAATAACATTAATAAAGAATAGAGCGGAAAGGCTAATAACTGTGATGAAGAATTCTTGGAAATAGAAAGAGAAAAATTGCAGTTGTTTTCTGAGAGTATAGCGATGAAGCGATGAGTTTTTGAAGCTCACTACCGCATTTGAAAAACCGACAGCTAAGTGTACGGAACAAAATTCAACAAGTGCTGATCGACGAAGAAGAACGTCATTGTTCCATCCAGCATACATCTGTTTCCTATCCATCCCCATCTAACGTCGCCTACCCGTCATCTCATTCGTCTTGGATGTCAGGTTAGAGAACTAGACCTTATTCTGATAGAAGAACCCACTATCCTGGACTCCAGAAGAGACATTACATGCTACTCCACTATCGTTCCGCTGGAACAGACTGCCCCAACCCAACAACCACAATCTTTGTTGACTTTGCAAAATGTGAATGATCCTGGAAAGTCAGCCCGATGGTTCAAACCGTCATGATGATCTACTAAGGCACCCTTTTGTTACGTCACAATAATAAAATTCCTAATTATATATAATGAAAATGACTTTTCCTTCAGGTGATATAGTTTCTCTGAAGTTAGACTCTTTCCTGATAATTGCTTTTTATAGAATTCAAGATTTATAAATAGGTCTACGGACCCATTCGGTAGTCATCAAAAAACTTCGGAGAGTCGTTTTCTAATTCGCGATGGAGATGATTGAATTCGCCGAGACGCGCCTTCTTTTCCAGTATAGGGTTTACCCAATACAATCTTCTTTTTTGAACTCTTCCGCCTTCTTTAAGGAGTTTCTAAAAAATACCCGTCTTCTGCATCCAGTTCAATCTTTAATCGCAAAAAGGGACAATTACTATTCAACGTCGCGCGTCGCTACTACTGTCAATGAAACAGCTTGCAATGGACGACCCTTGTCGCACAAGATCGCTTATCTTATAGCCGCTTGTTGTCGCTCGTATCGCGTAAGCTCGAAGCCGCTTGTTTTCGCTTCCAGTGGACGACCAGCCTAAGGTGTAACTGAATCAATGGCTTAGTTGCCACATATCTAAACACGTTTCTCCCCAGAGTGGTGGTTACACTGTTGTTTGTAAATTCTACATACATATATTTTTGATGGGATTGAAAACGCAATGGTAAGGAGGCAACCGTAGTACCACATGTCCATTTGGCATTTTCTAATGCCATCTCATCAGCCTCATACTGTTTTGAAGGTTTGTTCCTGAAATAACAAACTTTTAGTCTCGAATCTAATAGTATTACTACAAATAAACCATTCTGCATGGACTTTAGCGATGGTTCTAAATTTGGTAGTAAATTATCCCCAAACCACTAAAAAAAACTGTCATCTTCCCATGTCTTGCATATTGTTCCATTTTCAAATACCCACGTTTCATCCAAAAAGACACATTGGCATCTAGTCTCAGAATTCATACGTTTGTACATATGCATCTAAAAAATGGACTCATGATGGTGCTATATATTGGGTAACTCTTAAACCTTTTGTTTCTGTCTCTTATTAAAGCATAAGGTGTTTTAAAATACTAATGTAAACTGGTTATATCTACACAAATATGTCAAATGTAATATTATATGTGACATTACGATCTATCTGATCCGGCATCATTTCCGGTTTAACCGTCACCAATGTTTAGTTGGCGCCTTCGGCATAGAAAAAGCGTTTTTAAAGAACGTTATAATTGCAAGCCTTATTCTCAATTAGGTGAATTTGAGCTTGTAAAAAATCCTTTCGTAAAGACTTGAGGGCTTTGGGAAGAAGCATTTTTATTTGCATAGCTCTGTAATACTGAATACGTTTATAAAAGTTTTAATTCTGGAGCACATAATTTACGTGGGTTTATTACAATTTGCATTACAATTACAGTAAAAAAAATTATCAAATATAAACATTGTAAAAGTATTGTGAAAAGAATAGGACCTTCTTACAGTTCACACTTCGCAGTTGTCACTTGTTGGACTACACCTACCCTTGCTTCACCTTCAGGTGGCACTATTTGTACGTCCACGACAACACCAGAAATGTTTGTTGCGTGAGGGAATTCATTTATACCTTTCTTATGTTCTGAAAGGTAAGATGGGTCTGTAACCTCACTTTTGGTCTTACATGAGAATAAGGATAAATTAATATATTGAAGTCAAAATTGATAACATCTTGAAACAGAGCCCCTAAAAATCCACAAAAAATTTCGAACATAAAAATTAAGACAGACTTTGAAAATAAAAATTAAACAGTTTTGATTAGAAATATGATTCATGCCATTAATTTCACAATTAAATATCAATGCCATTTTTACCTAATGTGATCATTTGTTCTTGGCATTCCATAATTTTATCCTTCTGGGTAGCCCGATGTTTCCTGGGAAAAACTTGTGCAAGTGCACAATTCAAATAACTTAACAATTGAAATAATTTGCTCATTCCAATGATTATTGTAAGGGTTATAATTTTAGACTTGAACCAGTTTCCATTTCACATCATCTGGTACCGTCAAGAGCCGCATGTATGTGTTAAGGAACTATTAGGATTTTTGAAGCTGGACATACCAATTGAAGATGTTAGAAAAGCAATACTTATGGCCGATGAAGAACTCACAATTAGCGTATTGCCATTAAACAGTAACATGGAAATATACAACAGTCTAACAAGGTAAGTTTGTAACGGTCATATAAGTATGTGATAAGATTCGCTATAATTATAATCGACCAATTTTTTCAATTTATTTAAAAATCTCGCATTTTAAAGAAGAACTAAATTGGGCATTTAGAGTTTTGGAACATGCACGAATTTTTGTAAGGAATGATTTTTTCTTGAATGATGAAAAAATGGTCAATAACTATAGTGATCTCATCTTGGATGTCCCTGTATAGCTCTTCATATTTAATAATAATATTGCCTTTTATTATTCAAAAAAAAAACAAAGATTTATGCCAAAGCATCCCTGCAAAATGCTGCAGTCTGCTCTTTCGCTTAACCCCATTTAGGTGTCTAAAAACAAATGTTTTGCTTAGGAGCTATAGTCCTAACAGTCCCAAAAATTTGTATTTGTTCAGAATCATAGATGGAATGGCTTTCGAATATGCCGCTTTCTAATTTTTGTACAGTTGCTATCATAAGATGGCACACTTTTATACAGTAGTGCGAAAAATTTGATTTCTGGTCATACAAAAAACCTATCAGACAGTTTTTCCCTTTTTTTAAGTGCATTTTGGGATCAGAATTATAAAAAAATGTTTGCAAACTTGGCAAAAACGTAAGCCCTTGGTTACATCCTTCTGTTAATGACATAGGTCTCAAAGAAAACATTTTAAATCGTATTATTTGAAAAAAAAGTGTTTTTGGTCCTCTATATGAGTATGACCATAGTAGATCCTGTACCTATTTATTGAACTAAATGCGAATCTTTGTTTATATTACCTTTAACTAACATTTTATTATAGGTACAACATAAAGGTGGATAAGAACATTATATTGCACATCATACCAGCTTCTTCTGTTGCGAAAATAGCAGCTATTCTCAAACCAAACGCTGGACAAGTTCAGTTTGAAGAGTTTTTAAAAAAAGTGGACGCTAATAGTGACTTATGGTTTAGTGTGTAAATTATAAAAGACGTACGCCAAATTGTTATGCCAGAAACGAGTTTTAGTTGAATATAGAAGTTCTTAACCTATGGATTGTAAAAATGTTATGTTAACTATTTTTTAATGTCTCAGTATTGATTAGGTTTTCATTATGAAAGATATTAATTATTTTTTAATTAAACGTGATTTATTCATAAGATAAATTCTTGTACTGTATAATCATTTTTATTTTACACAAAATTATCCTATAGATTTAGTTCTGGAACCTATTAGCGCTCACGTGAGTTAACTGCATAAGTCATAAAACTCCATTGTGCCTATACACATTTTCTTTATCTTCTTCGGAACATGCATCTTCCTTATTGAACATTTTAATTTTCTTTTGTGTTGTTGCTTGTAGCACAATATGGCGCTCCTGTTAATATGGTAGTTTTTTTGTGATACCAAATAGGACCTGGGGCTGTATCTTCAGTTGGCCCTCAGAAGTGACTTGGCACATTCTTAAATGGGGTATCAAATATCATTGTCAGTTAAATGACTTGCCACCTTCTTATCAGAAACTTCAAAGTAGGTAGGTATGTTTAGATTTTATGTGTAGTAATTTAGCATCATCACTAAACAAACACTGATGGAATCTGTGGTAAATAAATCAGTTTTTCAAATGCAAACTGCAGTTAGTAATAATAATAATAGGACACAAAATATTAATATACCTACTCGTAACAAGAAGAAACCCGAAAAAAACATGATAGTATCCAAACGGGGAAGTTCGGGTGTCGAAACTGCTCTTCCACTTAACCGTTTAACGTTATTGACACAATCTTATTTATAAGGCATGCCTGAATATACAATGAGCATGGAAACAAAGGATGTAGTATAGTACGAAAGATATAAATAAACAATAATTTCATACTAAAGTTAACAATCACAAATTATTAGCTGTATATATTACTAATTATTAGTTGTATATATTATTTTATCAAACAGTAGTATCAATTATATGTAAGGATAGGAAACTAGAAAGCATCCATCATCATAACAAATAGTGGTACCAACTTAGCTGTAAACCATTGGTATTACAAATTCTCCTACAAAAAGCACTAGAGATGCATTGAAAATAGAACATGTTCTAAGTGCTTGCAACTTGATGCGCAACAAGTTGCATACAGTGATTTTCGTCCTATATCGTTGCTGTCACCGTTTGTGAAAATACTGGAGAAAATACTTGTTTGCCAATTCACAAGGTATTTGGAAAATTTCCGCATTATACCGGCCTATCAATCAGCTTACAGGAAGAAATATAGTACTAATACTGCTCTCCTAAAAGTTATTAATGACATCGCACATAATTATGACAAATCCCTTTGTACTGTCTTAATCTTACTAGACCAAAGTAAAGCGTTTGATTTGGTTAATCATGAGCTGCTTATTGCTAAATTAAAGTACTTAGGTTGCGATAACAACAGTTTAACTGGCAGATCTCAAAGAGTGAGATTGTCAGGTGTATCATCTGAAAGTATAAATATTAAAAGTGGTGTTCCTCAGGGGAGCGTACTGGGTCCTCTACTCTTTTCGGTTTTCACCTATGATTTGCCTGCATGTCTCCTTCACTTACAACATCATCTTTATGCAGATGACTTGCAGCTTTATACAAAGTGCAGCGTAGAAAACGTTGAAGATACTATCGATAACATAAATTCAGACCTAATTAGAGTGCAAAAGTGGTGTGAGAACTAATGGTTTAAAACTTAACCCTTCAAAATCTACAGCGGTTTGCATTGGTCCAGAAACCAAATCCCATGTTGTGTCCAGTTTCCAATTATCTCTGACGGATGACATCATATCTTGGTCCAGGCCAGTTAAAAATTTAGGTCTTATTTTCGACAGTAGTTTAAGTTTCAATGAGCATGTAAATAACATAGTGAGAAGATCGTACTTAAAGCTTAAGTCTATTTATCATTTAAAGTTTGTATTGAACGAAACTACCAAGCTCAAGCTTATTAAATCGTTGATTTACCCTAATATTGATTACTGTTGCATGGCGTACTATTTTTTCCTAACTAAAGGTAATCAAATAAAACTACAAAAGATTCAGAACTCGTGTATCAGATATATTTGTAATATTCCTTATAGAGAACATGTTACCCCTGCATTAATAAAACATCACGAATTTAAAATCAGCTGTCGTATTAAGTATATATATATTATATTTTTATATAAGTTGCTACAATTTAGTATACCACAGTATTTATGTAACTTCTTGATTAGAAGATCTGCTATTCATAACCTAAACTTAAGAGTAGATTCATATACTACACCGCAGCACAAAACTAAAAAATTCGAAGGTTGTTTTAGCTATATGGCACCATTGCTATTAAATTCAATTCCTACTGAGTTTTTTAAAAACAATTTCAATCATTTTTGCAGAGAAGTAGGCGAATTTGTAAGTCAAACTAACTTGTAAGACGATTACAGTGTTTTTTTTTTACCCGATGTTAAAGGATGAATTGAAAAACGGCTTAGCCGAATTCATACCCTTTTGAGCGTTCTTACCTTATTTATTTAGTGTTTTTGCTTTCTTTATTTCATTTTGTTAAATGTAAGGCTCAATAAACTTTATTATTATTATTATTATGTGAATCCCGCTTTATACATATATCATTTTGATTTCACTATTCTGTATGGCGTACCTAACGTTGTTGTAGTTTTATTCTGGAAAAATTTAATTTTCTCAGTTTACCATTGATGGTATAGTTTTAATCTTAGACCATACAGTACACGGACTGCTATTAGCCCTATGCTTACCATATACAAAATGGGTGGTCACGGATAGGGGACAATGTAGTCCTGGGTAGTTATAGCAAACCTGTAGTGCGGGAAGCTTTAAATTGCCCTTCATTATCTTTTATATGTGCTTTTTCGGCATATCTTAAATATAGGCGATTCGTTAATTGACGTTTGTTAATTTCAAGAGGTTGACAATGACAGTCTCAAATCTTATCTCATTGGTCAACTTCGGATAAACACTGAAACTGAAATAAAATAACCTTTGACTGAAACTCACACACCCAGGCGATGTCTTTGACCATATTTATGGTGCAATTACCATACCAGTCCATGCATGGTCTAAGGTTTTAATCGCTATCGAACGCTTAAAAAATTAAATTGCTCATAAAAGGGGGTCATTTCTTTTTTAACAAATTGTAATTACTTTTTTAATTTTACGGTTAGGTATATAGGAGCCTAAACTACACCAAAGTATGATTTTTGACTACACTATAATTTTGGATTTACCATCGAAATACGAAATCCCTCGTTATGCTTCTTGTTCCGCCACTGTGCTGCTGTGTAATTTGATAGTACGCACGCGCATTTTAGTGATTTTTTTAAAATTAACCTCATATTTCCACTGCAAACTTGGTTTTATGTTTTTATCATATTTGTGCATCTAGTATTGATTATGGTGTATTATTTGTAGTGAATGAAAAATGGCAAACGATCGAGAAATTCTGAGAGAAATCTGGGAGGGAAAATTGCCGGTATGTTTCCAATTAGATCCAAATGAAGTTTCAGAGTTACAACAACCTGATCCTTTTTTTCTTATGGTGCCCCGATTGAGCTACTTCCCTTTAGTCACAGACAAAGTAAGCTAGTAACAATATGTCTGTGTTGTAATTTTGTTTTTGTTGAAGGTTAGAAAACATTTTAGCCGATATGTCGATAGCGAAAAACAAGAGCAAGATATGTGGTTAGAATGTGATGGTCAGCCTGTGAAATGGCATTTTCCAATTGGTGTTGTGTTTGATTTATATGTGGGGGCTGATATACAGTTACCGTGGAATATAACAGTTCATTTTGATAAATTTCCAGAATCACAAATTTTTAGGTTTAGTACCAAGTGTGTACCAACAACATAACATGTAACATTTTCTTATTGCACTATTATTCCGTAGAGAAATTGTGGAAGCACATTTTATGGCATGCATTAAAGAGGCTGATTTTTTGAAACATAGAGGCCAGGTTGTTAGTAGTATGCAAAAAAAGGATCATAACCAACTGTGGGTAGGACTACAAAATGGTAAAATCTTGTTCGATAATTAATGTGGTATTACATTGTAGTACCTACTTTTTCTTCTGTTTGTATTTTACAGACAAATTTGATCAATTCTGGGCAGTTAATAGAAAATTAATGGAAACCCCAAGTGATCAAGAGCATTTCAAGTACATTCCTTTTCGTTTGTACATGGATGATGGCTATAAACAAAAGTTAATCAAGCCAATTACAGATGATGGTCGACGTAAAACATTACAAGATCTTATAAATGAAACATTACCTAATCATGCCAATGGTGTGTATGAGTAAATTCAGTACAAATCAATATGTCTTCAGTGTCTATAATAAGGAATGATGAGTTTTTTCTTTTATAGTAAAGATTCGTACACATGGAATGATACCTCCAATGGAGACTCCTATACAATGGATGTCAGAACATTTAAGCTATCCTGATAACTTCCTTCATTTATGCTTACAAATCTAAACTTAATTCGCAAACAGATATGTTGAGTGTATGTATATTTTAAGTTATTGCGTCTAAGAACAATGTGTAAATGAAAAATCGCTTATTCTGAAATCATTTTTATATTTCGTATTCACCATATTTTATAATAAAATATATGTATATATAATTAAACCATTTAAATGTGTACTGGCCATTCATATTTTCTGCTAAGAACTCTCAAAAAGAGTAGTCCTCCTTACATTCGCAAGGTATTCAACACACCTTGCTTGCATAAAATAAAATTGGATCTCTAAGTCATAGGCAAAAATCTTAATATGACAATTAATTTTCATGGTTCCCACGGTTAGCTCAAAAATTAAAATAAACCTCCTGCACTGCCCTTGTACGTTATCTTCGTGATGAATGCCAATTTTGATGGAAGGAAAATTCATATGAATGAGGACTCCGAACAGACCAGCTGTAAAACTCTAGAAACTCATAGGTTCTCTGGATTATGGTTGCTTACGCACAGAGAGAATGCCACTTTTCACTGTTATCGGCAGTAAATTTGTGCAATTGGTAGATTTTGTTACGAACAAGATGCACAAAATAATTGTCTATAACAGCTTTACTGTGTGCAGTTAAACACAAAGGTTTATTTCTAGTTCCCGAGGTGTAATACTGTGACTTCCCAATAAATTGATTATTTACTGTCGCCTATAGCTATTTACTAGGTACTATCACCGCCGTTTTGTTAGCAAACTCCATTTGTTTTTGGTTTACTGTATAGAATCTTTTTTTTCTTTTTGGTTAATTGTTGTGAGAATGTCTCGGAAAATGTAGTCAAGTTGTGTCATTGAAATAATCTAAACAGAAATTTGATTCGACCCAAAAAAGCACCAATCGATATCCTCTTTTCAAATGAATCTCATCGTATAGGTTGGTAAAAGTGCCTCGCATTTTAAGATTTCGCTAGCGTGAGTTTACTTCGCACAAATTCCCCCAAAAGTGTAGTATTTTTTACGTTTACGTCTTCATTGTTTCGGTGTAATACATACCCATTCTGTTCTGGATAATGTTTCGTTTCATGCTATACATGGCATACGACGACTTTATCTTAATTGTACACCACAGAACTATTACTGTTCTGTGTTGTACACCATAATTCTTTATCATTTACTTATACAAATAAGAAAGTTGCGTTTTGCGCAGGTGCTGTACAATTTTCTGCGCATGCGTTCTGTTTGCTTTTATTAGAGCAATAGAAATTTGGTTCAAATTGCTCCACAAATAAGAAACTGGCATTTTGCGCATACCATACCTAAAAAAGTTTTGCGCTCAGAATCGGTATCTGATTCAGGCCAGAATCAAGACGAATGCCGTAACTGGACCTAGAAACGATATCGGAATAATAATCAAACTCGGAATTTGAATTGCAATCGTAATCGCGATTAGAATCGAAATATGATTAAAATAATGAAGATCAGAGTATAGTCAATCAAAGCCATGTTGCGGATTAGTAACGAACCTGAAACTAAACGCAAGTCGGAATTTGATCCAGAACTAGAACTGGAGTCGTAGTGGAATAGGAATCGGCCACCAGGGGCCAAATCCGAAGTAGAACCGGAACCAAAATCGGAATTAGAACCAGTTGTAATCAGTAGTTAGAACTATAGTCAAAATAAAGAAAATAAAATCAAAGTAATGACACAGTTAGACAACATCAGAGTCCGAAAAAATGAATCACTGTTTAACACCCTGACACATTGTCTTCTAAAACAATTTCTTGTTTCATAGCTAGACTTTTACACCACACTCTCTAAGTTGTACTGTGATTCCGATAACGAATTGACTTCCGATTTGGACTTTTATTCTCACGGATTATTATACTGTGATTAGACTAATTCTGATTCCGGTAGAGGTTTCGACTGCGATGCCGAATCAGAATCTGATTAATTCAAAGTGCCCAGGTCACCTTCCCTCTGATATTTTTAACGCTCCGAAGGTAATTTAAAAACTTATTCCAGTGCATTTAAAAATGTTGGGGTTATCTGATTTTCTGTACCTTTCATCACAGACAGTATAGTTGTCTGTGCTTTCATTCAAGACTGCGGCGCTAGCCCCCCCGGAGATAAAAACATGTTGTTTTTCAAGGCCAGACCTCAACAGCACATCACAAAATTACTATACTACCCCACCTTCGTAGGGCAAAGGCCTTATTTGTGATTTGTCCCCTACCGACGGGACTACAAGATCTAAAAAAAAATAGAGCTTCTGCTTGGCAAAGTTTAATTTTTTTTGTTAAAAAGATTTACTAAAAAATTGAACCAAAAATGTTTTACGAGCTTAGGGGAAGCGAATTAGAGAAAGAATAAAATTGGAAAAACCTGAATGTTAATATAATTTATAAAATATTTCAATATAAAATATTACAGTATCTATTAATATGCATATTCTTATATACAATATACTCCAGCACAGCTGCAAGGAAAATGATATACAAGTAGTAATGTTCACAACCGTCTAAGGTCACATTAATCATTACTTTCATTTTTAAATTGTAATGTAACTGTAGGTTCACAATCTAAATTCATAGCCTCAAAAATATGAATTTAAAGAATATTGCAACATTGACTACAACTACTAAAACACTAATACATACTTAAATAAACTAAATCAACAGTACATAAATATGGCGTTTGGAAGACTAAACCAGTGCAAATCATTTATATACAAAAATATATGTATGCACAAAATAGCTGCCCTCCTTCTTTTGGCACATTTTATACTACAAAGGCACATTTTAAAATACATACTGAGCAAATATTTCCGAGTAATCTACATTCAAGTAGACAATATATATATAGCACCTCAGGGTTTTTAATTTACATGGCCCATTAACTTGAGGTTTCCATTTCAAACCCTGCATATTTTAAGGCTTACACGCACACTCGCTTAATTCTATAATGAGGCGGTTACAGATATGTCGGTTACCTTTTTTTAATTATTAAAACTAATATTGCCATGAGAATAACATCTAGAAACCTAATAGACTCTTTCGGCTTTACACTCTAAAAGCATCGAGTTGGCAGTGTTAGCTTATCACTGGGAACGTTACACTGGGAGAATTTACATAAAACGTTACTCTGGCCAACTCAACGATGGCAGGATTTTTTACCTCACGATGTGAACATTTCGCGCGAAGTCATTACGATTACGAAGTTCATCTTCTTGTTTTAACCATTTCTGTACTTGTCGTCGATGTATGTTGTATTTATTGGCAACCGCTCGCTGGTTACCACGACAAATTGTGTCCTGATAGTAGCACTCGATCGCACTTAGTTTGAAGTCCACACTATAACTTTGCCTTTGTTTTAATGGGGGCGAATGCTGTGGAAGCATAACTGTGTTTTCGTACGCCGCACAAAACGGTAAATTCTCACATTCCGGCGAGTAGAGGTAATTCTTATTTATTGTGTAGTAATAATTAATCGTATTTTTTGGCTGCAATTCGTATAAGCTGTACGTGTAGTCAGGTGTAATGTAATTGTTATTACAGAAAGTTGGTTCACTTTCGGGAAGGCTCGATACAAACCTATAAAGAAAAAATTTATTATTATTATTAATTCTTCATAATAAATTTATCATGAAAACATTTTCAGTTTTATTGTTTAGTATATTGTTTATATTAAACAATTCGAGATCAGTATGTGCATCGAGGTGTGCATATTTATTTAATTTTGATCGCAATTTCGATTTTTGTTTTTAGGATAGGTCTTAATAAATACTTAAAAATCAAAATGAATTAGTAAACAAATAACCATTCTACAGATTTGAGTAGGCTTGGTATCAATTTGTTATTATTGTACAATTTTGTAATAAATCAACTTATAAGCGCAAATCGCAAAAAGTGCACATTTTTTGGCTACTAAAATGAACCTCCATAGAGGTAAGTACCTAAATAGAAAACCACCTAACAATAAAAATCACATCAAATTTTTTTTGTATAAATTTTATTTCAAAAATTTCATCTTTATGGCGGCTATAAGAATCCGCAATCAAATGTTTATTTTTGTTATTAGGCAAGTCTACATGCTTTTGATTAAATTATTAGAAGTTGAGGCATGCATGTATTTATTTCTTAATTGCAATTCGAGTTACAATTTGTATTTTTGTTTTTTAGAAAGAGTTAAATTTAATAATTTCCCGAAAATTACACAACATAATTTTTTTAGTAAAAGCTTACATACCTGTTGCAACAAGGTTGAATATTTGGTTCAGCCTTTATGTCTTCAGCTTCATCCCTTAAATCGTCCAGATATGGTTTAAATAACTTAACAGGTTTAGGCGGATTTTCTATAGGCGGAGATTCCACATGTGGTGGGAAGCGAACGTCTGTTGTATTTTCCACTTCATTTCTTGTAGATAAATCCCAAATATCCGGATGAGGTTGAATGAATGGTACAAGACAAGAAGGCGATGGAATGCGAGAAGCTTGGGGGGAAAGAGGACAGCATACAGGTGCGCTGACTTCCATTAAGGAAATTGGCCGTTTTAGCGATAAATCTATCGGACTTCCGGAATCGATAGGGCTTACGCTTTGACTTCTCGAGTGAGTTGTGTAATCTAAGGGAGCTAAAATTAGAGATGGTACGCGCGCTTCCGATCCCAACTCGGTTGGTAAGTCATACGCGTCATTCGCATTTATCACATCGGAATTAGTCACACTTTGAGAATACGCGTCCTGGCAGTGAACATGTATTTCAACGCTTGGACTCTGAGAATACACATCGTTACACAAGTCGTCCCGCTGTCTGTGTTGGCCACTCCTCAAGGACAGCTCTGCCCCGCATTTTCTAGCCTCGGGAGCAGCACTAACCACTTTACTTTTGCCCACGCTGTTGCGTAAGTTGTTTTCGCACTGCAGCCACTTTTGAATTTGACGACGATGAATACCGTATTTTCGCGCTGTCGCCCGCTGATTACCCTTACAGTCGGCATCGTGTCTATACGAGTCCAAAACTTGCAATTTAAAATGAGGCGCAAAGATTCGCCTCGAGCCTATTCCGCTTTTACCCTCACTTTTTGAGGATCCTATAGCGCCAGGTCCTCGTTTTAGTACCGAATTTAATCCGTGAGCCATCACTATCACAATCACCAAATTTACACCTTACTTAAACAATAACAAAACCAAAGAAATAAACTAAAACGAGCGCGAGTAAATTTTATCTGCGACCTAAGCAGCAACCATTTTCGTCACGATTCATGGAATGCCCCCACCCTGCTGACTAAACTGTATTCATATCTTGGCATTATCTTCTGCTACTCACCCCAACACACCAAGTCCTTCTCACTTGCTTACGTGCGAAACTATTCTTTCATCTCAAAACGTACGTCGGATATAACGCGATCACATGACAGAGACCGATATCCGTTTATAAAACAAGTTTGGAAGCAACGTTGCCAGACATAATCGCATTTTGACCACTTTTCATTAAACGAATAAAATTCGAAGATCAAATGAGTTTGTGATCTATTTACGAATAGTATTATCAATTATTGCTATACTTTGCAAATAATTTGGAAAATAAAGCCTCGTTTGTGAAGATTTAAAGAAAGGAATGCGTCCCCGTGGCAACATGGGCTCCGACCACACCAGACAAGCTGTCGCCAAACAAGCGAGGCCAGACAACGCGACGCTTCCTTTGATTTTCATTCACTAACAAATAGATGGCAATGTAATAAATTCTCGTCGGTTTCCTTATCCCGATACAGGGCCCAGATTTTACTTTGCACTTTGATGTGACCAGTAGGTACATAATGTTTTTATTATTTTAAAAATGCATTACTAAAATCATTCTTTACTATTTCCGCAATCAAAATAGTGGACATTGCTGTTATAAACGAATAAAAAAAAACCTTTAAAACTGAAGCATTGAATTTAACTTTAGCGTCTTTAGTACCATGAATCTATCTATTTACGCAACATTTATTGACATAATAAATATTTCCAATTAAATACGCAATGAAATCTTCTTAAAAAAATCCAATACCTAATTTATTATAACAGTAAAGGGAACTAGGTCATTCAGTTGGCGATGGACGTGTCCTGTGGTGGTAATGATAGTGGGTATACCTACCATTGAATAAATTTTTATTCAACGATAGTACCTACACCTTTAAATAGGTATAACTAATTTTATATTCAAAGCCTATACCTATATACGGTATACATATGCTAAAAGTAGAGTTCACATAGTACTGGCACTTTATAGCTTCAGGGTCAACCAGAGCGCACGAGGTCTCCAGGGTTCTACATTTTCAAGTGTTGGTTTTGCGAAAATTGAACTAGATCGTCCATCATTATCCCAAGCTCAAGTCCACTGATTAAATTTGAGTTCTTAGTATTCGATTATAATGGCTTTTTTTATACTCGCAAACTTTACTCATTTCACTGTCCCGAAGCAATGAGTCAAATTCTTAACAGAAAAGCTTCCTAGCTCACCTCAGACCAAAAGGCGCTCTTCGCCATTTAATGTCTTCGCACGCTTTTTATTACTTTTGTTTGTGTTTATTACCTACTCATACTAATTACCAATAATTCATTTATTATCTAAAGTCAATAAACACAATAGTTATTTATGCAATGAGTGTATAAATGAGGCGTTTTATTGGTGAGTGAGATGTTTAGTCCACGAGCGCAGCGAGTGGACTAAATTCGAACGAACCAATAATCGCCGATTTATACATGAATTGCATACAACGTTTTTTCGTCGACTTCACTGGGGTAGGTAATTTTAAATTCAACTACAAGAAATTACAAACGAAATTATGAGCTCCGACGATTTTTCACTAAATTACAGCTATTGTCGTTGCTATAGTAATGTGTTGTTTTATGCTGTACCGTCAGTCCTCGTAATCGCAGTGGAAGATTATGTTGCTTGCTCTGCTGCGGAGACGATTTTAACATTATATCCACTCAAATCAAAAGAAACTTATTGGAACGGTTTCGATCAGTTCGGCAATTGATGGAATACAATGAATTTGAAAGGAGATATTTCCGAAAATGTCATGTTGACATTTTACCTTGAAAAGGTATGTGAAATTATAATGTAATTAATTCTTTTGCAACTGTACTAAAGTACCTACGTGTATTAACAGTGAAAGATATGGAAATGTTCATCCCTGTGGTCGACGTACTCAATGTTGAAGGTAAAGTAACTGAATACCTTAACAATACCTTATCTGAGGAGCTACACGTACATACATCAGGATATGCTTTGCTGAGATCGTTTGGCGACCATACTGGCTGCTGATCTCACTACATTAAAACCGAGATTAAAATGGTTAGGTGGATGGAAGTTCTCAGCTGTTGCCGAAAGTGAATTGTTATATAATTGTCATTTCCCTTTAATAAAATGGTTGTTATGTATAAGTGGTTGCTAACGATTAATGGTTGCTAACGTATAAAGGGTTGGTTGCTAACCATTAATGGTTGCTAACGATTAATAAGCTTCATCATTGTACTCGTCACTAAGGAGTAATTTATATTGTTATCGAGAGGTCGACGAAAAAGCTCTTTATTCAATTCAATCGGCACGTAACAATAAGAATGACATTTTACAACTTATCCCTTAACATGGCACTTCACCCTCATTAAGTTGTCAATGACCTTGATTCTTTGTCGGCGGTCTGGTGCAGATGGGTCAGGTTCTACTTTTCTTTACGGAAAATTACGTATTTCAGTGTATAAATCTGTGATATTAATTAATCATTCTAAAAACTGCAGTATATATGTATACATGTATTTTAACATAGGTATTGATATTTTACTTTAGTTCTTTGGATTAAAACCAAAAAGAATGCAACAAACGAACTTCAGCAATCGCTCATTGAAAAAAAAGTTGTATGACGTCACGGCACTAAAAACTTAAGGTTTGTTCGTTTGTCTTGCGCGATTGGTTTGGTGCAACACTGATGTGACGTCACGGTGTAAGCTGGAGTAATCAGTTTTTGATGCACTGGCATCTAACAAACGAACGCTTATTTAGGGTATAGTAAATAAATAACCAGCAAAAAACGTTTGTATTGCATCATGAGTGATAAATTTATTATTTATTATACAGGAAACTATTTTTCATTTACTTGTTGTATGACCTCTGCAATATTATCTTCCTCACTTGACGATCTACTTATAAATTGTTCAATAATATCATGAAATAAAAGTTCCATTTCCAATAATTTATTCATCGCAGATTCCCCACCTTGTTTTTTCAAAATGTTTATGGTTATGAGAACGGTCGTTTCACGTCTAATTTATGCTGCACTAAGTTGCTCGCACTAAAATGCACGAACAAGTTTGTGCTGTTATGAACTGAAATGGGCAAATTGCACTATACACAAACGAACGGAATGCATGCAGTTACAAACAGACAAACGAACGCATTTGGTACACCAGTGTTGATTAGTGCAGACAAACGAACAAACCTTTAGATATTAAAAAAATTTTTGACTACATCATTTATAATGCCTAATGTATATTCACAAAATGTTAACGAAATCATAGTAACCGTTTTGGCGAAAATTTTTTTAAGTTTTAGCAATGCTTATGTTTTGTGTGTGTTAATGGGTATGAATTTACCAGGTTTGCAGAGTAGAAAAAAAGACAGTGGTGTCGCGTCTAGTGTTGTTTGTACCGTACTCGACTTCGACTGCAATCGGTAGATTCAGGAAAAGTCGCGGATACTGTCGATACGGTACTTCCTCAGTGCGCAGGCGAATTGAAATCGCACATCGCCCGTGATAGTATTACAAGTAGGTATGTTACGCTGCTTATTATTCAGAAAGTTTACGACACGAGCGAGCTTGCGAGCGAGTGGAGCAAGATTATTCCGTGTGAAGGGTTATTTATGATTTTATAGGTTATACGGTTATCATTTCCAATGTCTCCGATGGTTGCAAGGATTGCGAAATCTGTGAATTTTTTAACTTTGACATTTTTTTTGTAATAAAACCTGGCACAATATTTATAGGTTGTACACAGAAAACTAAGGTCTTTCGAATAACTTAATAAAAATTTTAAGTTGCTATTTGAAAAAAAAAGTTCGATGCCGTTGCGGCGCTCCAACATTTTTTTTCAAAATTATTTTTCGTTTCAGTATGCCTAATAAGTATAGGTACATATCCAAAATTTAAACAAAATCCGTCGAGCAGTTACCTCGGAAAGTTGCCAATATACGCACATACTTACAAACAGAAACAAATTTTATTCTTTAAAAGTAGCTTAAAATGATCTAAAACGTCGACATTTGATGAAATTTTATGATGCGGAATTTTTTTATTAAATGGAAAAATAAACATTAACGTAGGCAGGTATTAGTAAATTTAGACAATTTCTTGCATATACTTTCCTTTGACAATTAGCAAAACTTATTTTGCGGTTGATATATCTCGCAATCTTATGTAAATTCGCGTTCTACAGATACATAGAACGACTTCATAAGGGATTAAAGTTGAATTTCTTAATTTGGCTACTGTCTGATCGGCTAATTTGTGAAATATGTTTGTTTCTTTTGACAGTACCATATGCATTGCAAGAAATTCATTCTCGAGCACTAATGCAGACTGCAGTATGAAATAAATCATCATTTTTTGGATATAACAATGAACCCCGAGATACAACAGTCAGCCATTCTGGTCCTTCTGTAACATTTAGCTGGCTTGTTGGAATACCTAACGTACTTTCTTCTTTACTTTTTTCTATATTTCTAAGCAACGTATATCGCAACATATTTAATAGCTCTTCTTGGTTCACTTTCTCAAAAATGACCTTGTTTTGTCATTTACAAAAAGAAAATACTGTACCATGCTTCAAATTTATTTTATCTGCGCGCCGACATGCTGCTATCCACTGCTTGCAAAGATCATCATCTGTTGGAAATTCAAAGTGTATAATTTCCGTGCCTTTCGTTTTGCGGCTGTAATTGCCACACTTTGGAACAGCACAGGACGGCATCTTTCGTTTGTCGTTGTCAAATTACGAGCAAATATTACATTTACCAAAGAATGAAAGTTTCAAAAAAACACTTCCACTCGTATAAAACACATGTAATAAAGAAACAATATCGCTGCAGTTTTCCGTAAATGACGTCATGCGCAAACCCAACCGATTTTCGATTTCTACGTAGCATACCTGTGTATTATTGTAATTATCATGTTTACAGAGACGCTTCTAGTAAAGACCTACTGCACGTACATTGTAAAAATCAGGTGTGCGCATTCGCAGTCAACTTGCTTATTTATGGAAATATTTCTTTAAAATTTTAAATGCGGATAATTAATTATCAACTACTTCGAAATTAACAAGAGAAGCTTTTATTCCCCCATGCTACACTGCACTACACATAAATATGAAAATACAGTTTAACCCCAAAGTTTAACTAACATGAATGTTGTTGTTTCACAACCACCCTATTTTTTTTCTTCTCTGGCGATCTTTTATTTGTTGATGGAATTTATACCACATTTACTTATTAATTAATCACAGTCATGACATAATATTATGAATGTATCAACAAATTATCAACCACAATAATAGTTATTTTTCCTAATCAATAACAACCATTATTATTATTATTTGTACAACTAGAGAAGACAGTGGGGTTTTTCAACTCGATTGAACAAGAGTTTCAACTTTCTTCTCAAGTTTTACACATAATTTTTTCTGAAACTACAATCAAACTTAAAAAACCATCATATGCAATAATGAAGTTAGACACAATAGCAATTTCGATACCGGGTATGTTTCATTTTTAAATGTAATTATTAAAAATAACGCAGCAGTTATTTACTTTCCTCACTAGAGAGGATAATCACATTTTCTTTGCCCTTTTCAGATGAAAATAGTTCTTTCTACACTGTATTCATTTTAAGAAGGTAAGGTAGCAGTAAAAAGCAAAGGGAAGCTTTGACCTTCAGTCTGATTGGTTAAAACTCTAGTCAGTATTACGCTGAAACATAAAACGAGTGGCGAATTTTGCAAGCTGGTAGTTTCTGAATCTGAACTGTTGAAGTGTCATTAACTGTTAATGTCAAAAGATTTATTTCTGTTTGCAGTGCTGGATATTTCTACTTTACAATAATTTGGTGCCGTTTCATATTTTTCCTGTGTGTGCTTCTCTTCAAACCCAACGCCATCTACTACCTTCTTATAATGAATGCAGTATAGAGTAGTTTAAAAAAAAAATTAAATAAATAATGCAATATTAAAACAGCTGAATGTGCAATTACATGACATGATTTTGTCACAAGTTGCTCATTAATAATGCTAAAAGGTGATAAAAAATGAGTCGCTGTCGACTCACCTTTGAAAATTCAAGTTAAGTACGATTTCCTATGTAAACAAAAATTCCAAAGGTGACTCGACAGCAACTTATTTTTGATCGCATAGTATAACAAAAATGTTCGAAATTAATTAACAATAGTTTGAAATACATCTAGAAATCCTATGGAGACATTGAAGTAGTACCATATCTATGTTGCTACTGGAATTTATCATGCCTACTAATTACTCAGTCATGACATAATAGTTATGTTTGTGCTTTGTATACGAGAGTGTGTCAACACATCATAACCAGAATAAAATCAAAGAAATACAGTAAAATTGGAATAGTTCAATTAAATAGCATTATGACATTTTATATCACAAGTTATTATTTTTTAATAAATACTATAGCAAAAGTGTTCATCTCCAATACTTATGAACAATTAAGGCTACTTTTTGGCTGATTCGTTTACAACCTGTCTTTGAGTACAGATTTTCCGGCGATGGCCCCCATTCAACAAACTCCAAAACAGACCTGATAATGTAATATTTTATTAAAGATAATAAACACAACATTTTTGTACTTACAGTATGTCGTCTTCTGATGGACGATTTACCCCTCTCATGCGAAATTGATCTATTATACATGCTCTAACATGTTCTCTTTATAAGAATGGGACATAATGATCTATTAAATTACTTTCAATAGTATCGGAATGATGGAAACCACCTAAAAGAACCCAAAGAAGATTTATTCTGTTCGCAATAATGAAAAGTACTTATTGAAGTATTTCTTAGTACCTTTAACCTTTTCACTGCTGCGCACGTATATATACGTTCTGAAAATGCGGAATCTGTGTGCGACGTACGTATATATACGTTGTACCTGTTTAAAATTCTGTGCTACCTCCGTATATCTACGTGCTGCAATCATTTGCACACCATCGGAAAGCCCATTTCGTGACCTTTCCAACGAGTACCAACACGACTCAATTTAGTTTTGTCCAGTACGCTAAAAACGGTTTCAGGTAACACGTGTGCGCATTCATTTTGTTGTCATTGTAGTTATTTGTTCGGACGTTTGATAAATTGTTTTATCCATGTCAATCAGTAGATGGCGGATGAATACGTTGGTTTGACGAAGCAGGAGGCTGCGGTTTGTTTTTTTTATTTTTTATTAATTTTTTGTTTTTATATAAAAAAAATTAAAAAATTAAATAAAAAAATCAATCAAAAATAAATAAAAAAATTTGGATGCCCCTCCCATAGACATTGAGCTATACTTCCCAACCTTGCTGTGCACGTATATGCTCGTGCTGGGTGCTGCAAATCAATCTGCTGATGACGTATATACACGCGCGACGATTTCTCTCAGTGCGACGTACGTAAATATACATTTTGTACAATTTTAATTTAGCACAGGCTGTTGACACTCGAATTTTTAATTTAGCAGCGAAAAGGTTAAGAAACCAGCAAATTAAAGTTAAAGTTATAGGAATGTACCTTGTTCATTAAAAGCTTCTTTAATGATCAACTTTTCAAAGTGTTTTAACTGGATATTTTTTCTTGCAATACCACTATGATGTATTTTTACCATTTGATCAGTTATTAATGTTTCTCCAGTGTTCGACATGAATATAAATATACATTTTCGATAATCTACCTTCCCTACAAACGTGGTGTAGTCAATATCAATTAGAGGTTTAATTACATTTAAAAAGTATGGTGGCATTTTATACGTGTAGGAAGTTAGCGACGAACTATGCGCAGCGACGATGACGTCATAACCATTATGCATATAAACAAAGCCGACATTTACTAGATCATTATTTACGCAAAAAGTATTGTAAACCATAACCTGAGGTAAACAATTTTAGATTCTACATTAAATAAACTATTTAATTTCCAATTTTTATAAAAATATCTCTAAAGATAAAAAAGTTACGAAGCATTTTATTTTTGCTATACGTTTACTTAGACAAAGTGATCATCGTCGACGTAATATTTCGCAAAAAGTATTGTAAACCATAAACTGCGGTAAACAATTTTAGATTCTACATTAAATAAACTATTTCATTTCCAATTTTTATAAAAATATGTCTAAAGATAAAAAAGTTACGAAGCATACTGTGCGGTCTAACGTTTCTTGCTATACGTTTACTTAGACAAAGTGATGTGATGATCGTCGACGTAATATTTCGCAAAAAGTATTGTAAACCATAAACTGCGGTAAACAATTTTAGATTCTACATTAAATGCCTCGTAACTTTTTTATCTTTAGAGATATTTTTATAAAAATTGGAAATGAAATAGTTTATTTAATGTAGAATCTAAAATTGTTTACCGCAGTTTATGGTTTACAATACTTTTTGCGAAATATTACGTCGACGATGATCACTTTGTCTAAGTAAACGTATAGCAAAAATAAAATGCTTCGTAACTTTTTTATCTTTAGAGATATTTTTATACAAATTGGAAATTAAATAGTTTATTTAATGTAGAATCTAAAATTGTTTACCTCAGGTTATGGTTTACAATACTTTTTGCGTAATTAATGATCTAGTAAATGTCCGCTTTGTTTATATGCATAATGGGTTATGACGTCATCGTCGCTGCGCATAGTTCGTCGCTAACTTCCTACAGGTGGTGCATTTTATCCACTTCATCAAATACAAAAAGTTGCTTTGGACATTTTGTCACATTTGACTTAATCCATTGATATAGTTCCTTCTGCGAATAATCTTATTAAGTACAAAGAATTTCTAAAACCAAGTTGTAAGCTCACTTGATACTGTGCAACTTTTGATTCCTCTGGGAAGTGTATTCTACTTTCTACTAACAAAATGGTGCACATGATCACTAGCCCCTCCTAAAGTAAATAAAGCCTCCTTTATAAACCCAGTTATGTAAGTCTTTCCACCACCTGGCCAACCGTGAAAGCTGAGCGTTAATGCTTTCAAAGGCCGATATTTTTCATTCCAGTGTGGCTTTAAAGCTTTAATTATTATTTCTTCTGCTAAATGTTGGCCATACACTTTCGATTTTAAAACTGCTGCTAATTCTAAAATTGAAAATCACTAACATATTTAACAACTACACCTCTTATACGTTACGGGAAATATTTCCCGGAATTTCCTTTTCAGTGCAACATTCTTTCCATTTACAATACGTTTGATCATATATCAAATACCCCAAACCTAAAACAGCAGCTGCGGATCCGAGACTAAATGGGTCCAAAAGTCCAATTACCGTGCAATGTAAAATGAAGCATAGAAAAATTATAAGTTTGTAAACTCGCATTTTTAGTTCTATGTAAAAAGTAGGTAAATTTGTAGGTTAAAATTTTTCAGAATGTTTTTAAAGGTAATCACAGACTTTTTGCTTTGAACTCTGAGGTTTAGATCGTAGATTCACAAAGCTGTAGGTAAAATAATAAGTTTTCCGTTGCACGTCATTACTGGAATAATTTCACATACCAACCTAAATATTTAAATGAGATGTGTTGTTATAAGTTAAAAACAGTTTATTTGAAATTATACGGTTGGTACAGAAATGCGATGTTGGCGCGACTCTGTACTATGCATTTAAGGTTATGTTGCTATCTGTCACCCATTCTGTCACCTTGCGTGTACTTCGAATCGTCTAGTTTATCGTAGTTTCGTGCTTTTTTAAAATCAAGATTCTCAATTCCACAAACCAAACTGTTCTTTTCAGAACAACTTTTTGTCGTACTGTGAAGTGTTATTTATTACGATGACGAAGAATTTGGATAGCACTTATAATAAACATATTGGTAGAGATGGGAGAACAGAGGTTGATTGTTTAAATATGTGGCAATGGCAAGAAGCAGTTAATGTCATGACACCGGAAAAATTCAATCAAACACACTGAAGGTGAAATAATGAAATGGTATGAAAGAGAAAAAATGTTAGATATGCAAAATATACTGCCAATTATAATAAATTTAGGGGAAGATAGTGACAGTGACACAGAAGATTCTTGTTAATTTGCAAATTAAGTAATTTGTATTTATTTAATTGTAAGATTATAAAATAATTACCTAAATAAAAGTGACTTATTACTGCAAAATACTATCCCCTGGCTTTGATGGTCAAGTATGACATGTAAATAATTTACATGAAGCCTTTAAACCATGTAGAAGAGTTAATTAATGAATTTATCAAAATTGCTGTCGGTTCTTAACTTCCCGGTATGTACTACAAAGTGTTAATCCTTACATAAAGCTCCAACATTAAAAAGTCGATCGCCTGTAAGCAATTGATAATCGTTACATTCCTGTACACGTAGATATCTTGTACTTCATGACAACTGAATATAAAGTTAAGATTTGTAACGTATATAGGTTGTCTGGTGGGTTTAGTTTTGTATAATTTTCTTGTGTTAATGTTTATTTGATTCCAGTTTTGAAGATTGTAGGTTGTAGATTCATTATGAGTAGGTAGGTACTGGGTGGGGTGTACTATAAAAAAACGTGTGGTTTTATGGCGGCAATTTAAAGGTAATTTCAGGCACGTAAAAGCGATTCTAAAATTGTTGATACTATTTTTTTTTAGTACACTTTATTCCGTATAACTTCCGTTGCACGTCATCATTTTCTGTGACGTAATTACTATGCAATAATGCCAAATCTAGTTTTGAGCGATTTAGGTTATGTCACTTGTCAACAAGACAGTGCATTCTTTGTGTGAACAATCCACACCTTAAATAAAATAAAAATAATTTTTATTATTCATTTCGTTAATTGGAACCACAATATACATACAATATACTTTAATAACTTATGAACTGTACAAATGTAACATCTCTTTTACAGAGAAAGTACTAAATATAAAATTTTACAGGTTATGTGATGTGATGGATGATATTCAAATTAATCGGAATCATCGGAACTGCTTTCGTGTTCAAAGTTTATAATAATAGTAGCAACGTTTTCAAGATCTAATTGCTTTTCTCTTTCGTACCACTTGTGTATTACAGTTTCCGTATCCTTAACTGAATTGCGCCACGTTTCGGAAGTTATCGTTGTAGTGTTTCTGTTTATGCAATTTCAATGCTTCGTCCATCTCTACCCATGTGTTGATTGTAGTAATTTTTCGCTATGCCCCAAATATGTTCGATAGGATTAAAAACGCGATGATAGGGTGGTAATCGTAAAACGAAGTAACCGTAATGCTCGGCTAAGTGGTCAATGCGTTATGCGGTACATTTTAGCTGATTTATTCCTAAAAGTATCAACAAGATTTAGATAATACCAAATAATTTGCGAACGTACTTACTGTGCAACCTTTTCAACAGTTCGGCTTTAAAATCATTTTCGGAGAACTGCACATTATGATCACCTAACCACACTTTAATGTTGTCTGTTTGCCCGTTATCGAACACAATTACTGACGGGTTATCTAAATTCTTCAGTAATTTCTCTTCAAACCAATGCACAGCGAAAGACGTAGAAAATAATCAAAATCAGATCAAACGAAAAGTAAGCCAAAAGCAACCTGTCAAATTTACAAATTTAAACGCGACAACATAGCGAAATGCTACCAATTGTTGCGGCCAAAATAAACTACAAGCTTAATGTGTTGCCTAATAAACGAAAGTAAGTTTACGTTGGTACGTCGTTTTCTTCAGGTAATGACGTGCAACGGAAGATATACTGAATAGACTCGTACGGTCTATTCAGTATATCTTCCGTTGCACGTCATTACCTGAAGAAAACGACGTACCAACGTAAACTTACTTTCGTTTGTTAGGCAACACATTAAGCATGTAGTTTATTTTGCCGCAACAATTGGTAGCATTTCGCCACATTTCGCTATGTTGTCGCGTTTAAATTTGTAAATCTGACAGTTGCTTTTGGTTTACTTTTCGTTTGATTTGATTTTGATTATTTTCTACGTCTTTCGCTGTGCATTGGTTTGAACAAAAATTTATGTGGTTAATGATCATGTTCATGTGGTACGAGTATTATACAGGATGCTATATACAGAGCGGTTTTTGGGAGTTTAATAGAGTTTTCGATTGGCAAAACTCGTACTGCACGAGTGTTGCACGAGAAACTGAAGAAATCCATGTGAAAATTGCTCTCAATGGAACATAAATATTCGTAAATATATGTTGTCATTTGTCCATAACCTCATTTTAGATTTAGGTAATCGACAAATCTCTATTCTAAAAAATGACAAACGATTTCAGTATTATTTATGATAAACGATGAGGAATATAAATTTGAAATTCCTGTAAAGGACCAATTTTTGGCGTTCAGTTTAATGAGTAAGTGCAACTTTTTGTAAAATAGAAGTTATGGCTAGTTCATCATCTTCGCTATCGCTAGATGACGACAAAAAACTCTCCCAACGCAAGAAACAAATTCAAATTGTCGCACGTTTGTTTTGAAAATTTGTTACTAGCAGCTCCACGAGCTCTCGGACCTCGTGCGTCGAATTTTGCACTGAGTGCGTAATTGTTGCATCACATTTGCCAATGGAACACAGAAAATTGCCCTAAAATTACCAATAGAACGTAAAAATTGCATTCGTGCAGCAAGAGTTTTTTGCCAATCAAAAACGCTATTAGTTCGAACATTGTACAGGTACGAATGGTTCTAAGGCTTTGTGAAAACAATATTAAAGTCACTAGATATAAATATATCTAATAACTAATTACTTAGCAATATAATTACGGACATGCGTTCGCCAACGTACGAGCGGGCCCTACTCACAAGACTGTAGGGGATTTTTTCAAATATGTAGGTCGCCGGTTACGTAGTGCAACTGCATCCACTGACCTCTATTTTGCTTAGGTCAGATGAGTGCATCCCATGTTCTTAAGTTTTAAAAATTTGCTGAAATCTGGCTTGACATGGAGCAAAATGAACAATAAGTTGCAAGAAAAATAAATTGCGAAAGGCATGCGCAGTTCAAAGCCAGCTCATCAATTTCTGCAAGAGACATAAATCTTGATTTTGTATCACCTTCCTAGTCAAATACAGCGGCGACAACTATGAAAGGGACGCACCTTGATTAACTTTTTTAATTAGCCTTATGTATTTTTGTAATTTTTATGTTTCTTCAAGCAAACAAAATTTAATTTTTATTTGAGGTGAGCAATTTTATTGGCAAATCCATTTGATCGTCTGTTGGCTGGCATGTGACAATTGAAACCGAATTTCACCATTTTATTCTATTATTATACTAGAAGAGCTGGTAGACATCTGTTTGCTGTTTAAGAATGACCACCGGATGGCATTCCCTCCAAAGCCTAACCGAATATCGCTTAAATTTGAAATCAAAAAGTGACACATGATCAAACATCTAGCACAGCCCCCTTACATTAGTTGCAAACCATGACCTGAAGAACGGTGGGGAACGAACGCAAAATGAGACACTATGATGACGTAATAGAATAATTCGTATTTTGTAAATGAAAATGTTGTAGGTTTATTATTATTATTAGTTTGCCTTTATTTTCGAGTGGGCGGGGTTTCAGCTAAGGCTGTTCTACCAACCGAACCCACTATATACATTTTTACAAATATCCATGCCATATACTATTGTTAATAAAGCATGACAAAAGGAATGGTTGGAGGTACAAGCAAGTAACAAAACATAACTGTACAACATGTGACAATTATACATGTCCTTGGAGGGAAAATTCCACGTTAACAATAAAATATGTGGAAATTATGAATTACACCTCATATATATCGCACATATTATAGATTCTAAACCGCAAAGTTTTTGTTAGCAGGGCTCCACTCTTGCGACGGGTAGCGATTGGCCCTCGTTCGACAATTCAAAGCATATATTTGAAATTCTAGATCATAATCACACCCTTAGATGTCTAAGCTCTACACGCCAAAAAGTGTTACTTTACTTACACGAAGTCTATACATACATCAAACAATTTGATAATTTCCAAAAATTTAAAAGAATGACCAAAAATATAAATTCGGGCCAACACCATGTAATCAGAATAACCATAAATTGAGCAAAAATTATACCAAACATGAAAACGATTTTAAACATATCATACACATTAACATATATATGATCTAAGATTTTAAACAAAAAAGTGAACCGCGGCATTTTTCATACACGTACGTGATTTCGCATTGAGGTTAAATCGTGTCAATTTCAAAACAGAGATTGAAAATTATTTTTAAAAAACATGCAATGATGAACACAAATAAATTATAAAGAAATTCTATAATGATTACCTACTCCATGTATTAAAAAACAAAAAACCAACAAAACTTAAACCCTACGACCTTTTCTTGGCCACCGCTGAAATCAAGATAGCCTAGCCCAAACGTAAGCAATAATATCCACATGCTGTCTTTTTTCCATTTGATTCTTATGTAACCAAACTAACTTCAAAATTGAAATTGAAACAAAAATGTCGATTATTGTTGACCTCGAGTAGCGTGCTGACGTGTAATTACAGAGGAAAATAAAAAAGGGTCAAGCAGCGGCGTTCTTTACAATATTTCTTCAGGCATGTACATATTAAAATTAGAGTAGTTGCAAAGGTGTAGTCATGTTGAGTGAACTCAATGGTAGTAGGTATTATCTTTGGTTGTTGTAATATTTGACAAACCACCATACGTATTGGAAAATATTATACAAATCATATATTCACTATAATCATAGTGTAAGAATACACTATGCTATAATATACGCATTTAAAGTGTGTTTAATAGTTTTGAAATAAATAGGTAAAATGATTTCAATATATTATTGTTAATTATACGTAAGTATTAGTTTGTCGCTTTCCAAGTGATATTTAATATTAAATAGGACGGTACGTACCGCAAACTGTAAATGCAAGGCCCCCGCCTTTCGATTATGATGACGTGGGTCCGAACCCCCCTGAGCGTGCTTTTTTTTCTATAATAGATCGCGGCAAAAATAACTATACATTTTTTATTATTTTTTTAAATTTAATTTGTAATTTTAAGTTAATTATGTAGGTATTTAAAAATTTCGCGCCACCCTTATGAAGTACTTGCGGCACCACGACACCCACTTGAGAACCACTAGTTTATGTAGACAGGAAAAATATAAATTTTTGTCACTCCAAAATGTTAGATGACTATTTCGAAACAATATATTTAAATAAACAAAACTTTATTTCTTATAAAATAATACAACAGTATTCATTATTCTGGACTCATTTGATCATCTAAAACAAGCTTATAAAGCTCAATTTACATTATACTTTTTTCGTCTAGAAACTTTGACTAGAACTTGTGCTAGATTAGACACTATACTAGAAATTTAAATTTGCCGCTTTTTGATGCAGACTTTTTGTTTCAATGACAGTGCTGCCAATTTCGGAAAACAAATCTCAATATTGTACATTTTGAGGTTAATTTAAATTGCTAGGAAACAAACATGAATAACAAGCAAAAGAAACTCATTTTTGCTATGTACATGTACCTAATTCAAGAGACTTATATTTGAGGTTATGTTCAAGAGTATGAAAATAAAGTTGTTGGTAGCACGGAATTTGTTCTAATTTGGTGCTAGTGCGCAAGTCACAAGTATGAAAGTTGGATGGAAAATGGGTCTGGACCTAGTTTCAGATCTAGTTTCTAGATTAGAAACTTGGACGGAATTTTCTGATTTACATTGTCAAAATTTTAACAAGTTCATCTAGTACAAGTTCTAGTCAAAGTTTCTAGACGAAAAAAGTATAATGTAAATTGAGCTTTAGGGTTTTTTTGGTTTTATTTTTGCATGGCCAACTTTTCTTTTGACAATCTGATGACATCAAACGGTAGAAAAACGGACCTTTCTTGGTTGATGACCCGCTTCCGGTGTTAGTGGACAACCAGCTAGACTAGTGGAAAACAGACCAGCCTGGCCCCACATTTTAAAATACTTAAATACAAAAACAATTTTTATCTAAGAGTCTAGATTTAAAGCAATAACTCTGAACGGTTCTGATTACAATTTACATTTTTTATGTGCTACATTTTAGTTGAATTTTGTCCATGGTTGATTTTTTTAAATCATAATTTTTTAATACTTTGTAATTAAACATCACTTACTGATTCTTCAATACTCTTTCTTACTTAAATATGTTACTATTCAACAGTTTAACAAAAAAAAATCATGTTAACAAAATGTTACTAAACATATACCATTAGAGGAAAATTGTCTTATTACATATCATTATGATACTATGAAAATTCGTGTTAAAGCTAAAGAAAAATTTAAAAAAAAATTAATTTAAATCATTGCGATCATGTTTTGTCTCGAAGAACTGTGCGTCATTACTGCACATAAAACAAGCACCTTTTAGTTTTTAATTCATTAGTATTACAAGAATGTTTGTGGCAATAAAATTAAAAAAATGCAGTTCGAAATTAAACAATAGTTTGAAATACATTTAGAAATCCTATGGAGACATTGAAGCTGTACCATATCTATAAGTTGCTAATGGAATTTATCATGCCTACTAATTACTCAGTCATGACATAATAGTTATGTTTGTGCTTTGTATATGATAGTGTGTCAACACATTATAACCAGAATAAAATCAAAGAAATAAAGTAAAATTGGAATAGTTCAATTAAATGGCATTATGACATTTTATATCACAAGTTATTATTTAATAAATACTATAGCAAAAGTGTTCATCTCCAATGCGTATGAACAATTAAGGCTACTTTTTGGCTAATTCGTTTGCAACCTGTCTTTGAGTACAGATTATCCGGTGACGGTCCCCATTCAACAAACTCCAAAATAGACCTGATAATAATGCATTATTTTAATAAGGATAATTAAAAATGTTAAATACTTACAGTACATCGTCTTCTGACGGACGATTTACCCCTCTCATTCGAAACTGATCTATTATACATGCTCTTACATGTTCCATTTCTAGTGGTAGGAATGGCACATAATGATCTATTAAATTACTTTTGATAGTGTCAGAATGATGGAAACCACCTGAAAGAACCCAAAGAAGTTTAATCCCAATGTTGAGGGTGTAGTAGCAATAATAAAAAGGAGAGCCCTTAAAGAAAGGTTCAATCTACTAAGAGCTTGAGTTAAGGTTAATAGGCTTAGAATTGTGTTTTGAGATTTGACTTAAAATTATTTAAAGGTATTAATCTATTAATTACAAAAAAAGTGTAATACCATGTTCATTAAAGGCTCCTTTGATAATCAAATTTTCAAAATCTTGCAACTGAATATCTTTCCTGGGAATTCCACTGTGATGCAGTTTTATCATTTGATCAGTTATTAACGACTCCCCGGTGTTCGATAAGAATATAAATATCGATTTTCGATAATCCACCTTAGCGACATATGCGTTATAATCAATTAGAGGTTTAATTATATTTAAAAGGTATTCTGGTGCTTTATCTACTTCATCAAATACAAAAAGTTGTTTCGGACATTTTGTCACGTTAGATTTAATCCATTCGTATAAATCTCTCTGCAAATAATCTTATTAGTGAAATGAATTTGCTGAACGGAGATGCAGTAAACCCTTACTTGGTATTGTGCAACTTTCGATTCTTCTGGAAAGTTAATTCGACTGACAAAATGATGGACATGGTCACTAGCACCACCCAAAGTAAATAAAGCCTCCTTTATAAACCCTGTTACATAATTTTTTCCACCACCCGGCCAACCATGAAAACTGAGAGTCAATGCTTTCGAAGGCTGATACCTTTCATCCCAATGTGACTTTAAAGCTTTAACGATTATCTCTTCGGCTAAATGTTGCCCATACACTTTAGACTTTAACAGTGCTTCTAATTCTAAAATTTAAAGTGAAGTAACATATTTAAGAAATGAACATGTTATACTGTACGGTTAACATTTCCTGGAATTTCTTTGTCCGTACAACATTCTTTCCACTTACAATAGGTTTTATCGTAGAGATAGGAACCTATTCCTACTACAGCTGCCGAACCGATAGAAAATGGATCGAAACAAAAAATCACAGTACATTGTAAAATTATGAGTAAAAAAATTATAAATTCGTTTACATGCATCTTAGCGTTTATTAGGAGATTATGCAAATTACACAAATTTGCACAAAAATAAATAAAATAGATTCTTACAATTTTACAAATTGTTAGGTTAAGAGAGTGTGGACGCCACTGACCTTGATTTTTTAGATCAGTGGTGGACGCGCAGTCATTAAACACTGTACAGGGTGCTCGGTAGTTTGAAGAACAGATCGAATGAGCCCAATCTTTTCAATTTGGTAGAGTAGCCTTGGTTTAATTTTAAACACTGACCACTCAAAAATAAAGACAAAATTTAAAAAATATTACGACTAATTACAATTTTAAGCAACTGCGTTCTTGGATATAGTTTAATATTGTACTTAGTCGTTGCCTCGTTCACTTCTGCCACAGATGTAATTTCGTAATCTGTGCTTCTGCGCACTGCTCACCCACAGCGGGATGCCAGCATTCACAATTGCAATTACTGGACAAGTATACGTTTTTTTCTTATTTGTTTGGTTATTTAGGGGTTGCCGAGAAGCGATTTAAACATGAACAAGCTGATAATGCAATTTCTTCCGGCATTAAATATAGGCATAGTGCCCACTGCGATACAGAGATATCATGTCAGGCGCGAGTTAATAGTCTTTTTAGTAGTTTTGTCTAAACTTTGCAGCCACTGAACTTGAAATTATAAATTGCATCTTGCGGGATCCTGACGGTGGCATTGCGCAACCTAGGGATCGTATCTTTTTGGACAACCTCAAGGCGTGCAGCCTCCCACAATGGCGCGGGAGGTTGTTCACGCGCAAGAGTCTTTCCACTCCCTGAAGGTGCCGAGGGTTCCAATTGTGGAGGCTTTTCCACATGGTTAGCTGAGTTAGTTTACCTAGTGGTTCGTAGGTTTTAGCAGTGTTTTAGTAATGGTTATTTGGAGTTGCCTTCCGGGATGGATCCGCTGCTGTTAATGGTGAGAGTAGAATTGTCCGATCTCGGCTTCTTTTTATCAACATTTGGGTGCTTTCCTAATTACCTGGTGTTGGTTTTGGAGACCTTCCTCTAGATGGAGGTTGCCGGTTGCGCCGCTACAATAGATGTGGTACGTTTAGAGGGCGGAGTTGGGCCAGTTGAGCCATCCTGGTTTTGCATTACATTGGACGAAACTTATAGCAATGAGACATTTAATCTAGATTTTGGTCGTGTATTTTGTAGATTATTCGATTTATTCCGAATTCCGGCTATTATACATTTTTTTAAAACACCCTATGGATAAATTGTTTCCATTACGTCGATGACGCATGTCTAGAGTGTGACATAATAGTCTTCGTCATTGTTCGTTGCAGCTTCGACTACACAATCGGTTCATGCAGTTAGTTTTATGACACGAAGCGACCGATATATTTACTTTACGAACCATTTTAACAACTACAAATAAGTAAAGCAATTTAACATTAATAATCTGAACTTCTATTTGCCGGTAGTGTATGTAAAAAGCGTATAAAGAAGGTAAGCAAATTATGTTTGTGCCCTGTAAAAATCAAACGTTTTCCATCCTGTGTATTCCTCCTACTCTCCCAGCTATAATTTCAACCACACCCCGATAGAAAATTGTTACCAATAATTTCACGTTCTTTAATCACTGTTATTAAGCAAATTGTTTGTAAAGCGAAAAGCTGTTATTTTCAAAGTCTATTTTTGATTATTCCCTTTCATGGTAATGTAAAATTTGAATAATAAAATTGTTACGGCCTTGGTTAATTTCCTCTGAAAAATTAAGGCTGGTATGTGCAGTAATTCGGTTTCTTTCAGTAAATATTCTCTTTCATTAGTCCGAATAAAATTTGTAGCATTGCGGTTTACAACCAATACAGCATACCACCTTACTAATCAATATAGGATTGGCAAACTACATCAATATCTGTTCTGCTCGACTGTGGTACATTCACGCTAGAATTATGTCATCGCTCATTATGAGAAATGATACGGATGGAGTAGGTATAAATACCTAATTGATATAAATTTATCTATCTCATTATTTACTTTTTAAATTTTCCATTTTATTGAAAAAAATGAAGTATTTACAGTTGCCCTTTCAGGAAAGTGTATACTTTGCACCTCGTTTTAATCACAAATTATTTCATTATAACTTAATGATAAGGTTTGAAGTAGGTACAGGGTCATCATGCGATGGATGACTCCTCTGTGTGGAGTTATGACTTTGTCAAATTTAATTCCGAAATAAATTTTTAGAATAAATATGAAATCTGCCTGAATAATTTTGACATTAGGAAACAAGAAAATACCCTTGTGAAACAGTTAGGCTGTTGTATGTATGTTATAATGTCATAATTGTGCTTATTAATTAATTTATAGGTACGAGAAATAATTATTTTTACAACTGAAGAAGAAAGTGGAGTGACAAACACTTTCAAGTTTTCCATATACATAATTTTTTCTGAAACTACAATCAAAATTGAAAAATTATCGTATGGAATAATGAAGTTTCATACATAGAAATCTAGATACGGGTATGTTTCACTTGTAAATTATTAAGATTAACGCCGCAATATTGTTTTTCTTTCCTCACTATAGGTAATAGAGAGGAAAATCACATTTTTCTGAAACTACTTTAGAAAGAACTACTTTCGTCTCTAAAAAGATTTTCCTCTTTAGTGAGGAAAGGAAAAAAACAATTGCTGCCCTAATAATGACATTTAAAATTGAAACATACCCGTATCTAGATTGCTATATGTCAAACACGAGGTCAAACATTATTGCAGACGATAATTTTTCAGTTTTCATTGTAGTTTCAGAAAAAATACTTTCTTCTCTAGTTCTAAAAATAACTATTTCTTCACCCTTTTTAGAGACGAAAGTAGTTGTTTCTAAGTACTTTCAGAAAAAATAAATTTTTAACAAAAAAGACTGTGTACTGCCTCGTGTACTGCTGTAGGTTGCACTTTCTATTGTACCAATTATCTCAAAAGAGATTTTTTGTTCGAAAATAACTATTGTTAATCATCATGAAACTTACTATGAGACCACATTATTAAGGTTAAGTTTGGGCATGCACACTTGATGTATGGTATTTGTTTCCTAAAAATATTTCTCAGCAAAAAAAATGGAAAGGTGTCATGAAACATTTTTGCGAATAAATCTTGGTGGAAAAATAAATAAATAATTATTTTTTTAATGTCTTCTCGTTGACCAAACTAAATGCCGCAGGTGATGGGAAATCGTCACGCCGCACGGTGGAACGACACTGTGTTAAATGTTGGACATTTAGCAAAAAATGAAATTCATTTTTCTGCGAAAAAAATTATAGTGATACATTCGCAAATAATTACTCCGTTTTAAAATAAAAGTTTTTTAAAAAATCCTTGTTTCTAAAATTATTACACAGAGGCGAAAGTAAAAGTTCCTAAATTGTTACAGTTCAAGAAAAAAATAATCTTTATTTAGTGGGTCAAAACTCTACCCGTGAAAGTACCACATCGTCTGGTCTGATTCTTAATTTTTTAGAAGCTAAAAACGAATTCTGGTGGTAAGATTCGACCTTTGGTGAGAAATTTATAACATACACGTCTCACGTTAGCGGTTCGCACCTCCTTGAAAAGAGCAAACTGACACACCTTTGTCCAATGGACTCATCCTCATCCCGCCTTCATTTTTTATTTCTGATCCACAAAGTACATTAAAAATAAAAAAACCCGTGTGTCCTCAATTTTTATTTGCGAGTAAAATAAACCCAAAATAAATTATTGAAAAGCTGTGTTTTTAGTTCCGAATTTGAAACGCTTCAGACTAAATACGTCACAAACCTACAACCAATCACGTAGAAGTGAGCTGGCAACCTTACCCGAGGGTCTGACGTTTGTCACATTTGACGTTTTGAGAGGGATGTTTAACCACAGCCGTCTATAATTACAAGCCATGCTGAGAAGTTTGGCAACGTTGTCCGAAAGTCAATCGGTGGGCCGATGTAAGTTTTAATGGCGTCTTGTTGCTCTTGAAAAATTGCATTTTTCCTGTCTCCTGTGTTTCCCCTTGGTGGTTTTAATACAGAAGAAAGATACTTAGACAGCTTACAATTGTACATATATTTTATTCATTTACAAAAATGGATAATAACATTTTTATTTGACTTTAAATTTCGAAACGCTGTAAATCGGTAACTGCATCATAATGTGTTTTCCATCGAGCTCTCCGAAATTGGTGAACTTCTGACGAAAGAGGTCCAGGTGAAGCACACGTTTGGGCACTTAATTTCGGCAAAAGGATAGTAAATCGCTGTGTATCAGAGAGGTTTTATCAACGACCAGGTGCAATTCGGAATGGCAGATTTTAAGCCAGTCGCTACTCCATTGGGTCTAGGTAGGAAGCTTTTAAAGTGGGGAGCCCCGTAGACGTCAAATTCCCGTACCGTGAACTCCTGGGAATAAGTCGAAAGGTTCCTTCAGAAAATCAACTTGACATGTCCGTGCTAGAATGCCTGAAATACAAACTAATTGTGTTTTTTCACAATAAACACTTACCGTACTTACGTACCACGTACTGTGTAGGTCATATTTGAGCTTGTACAGGTACTTCGAACAAATACAAGTGCTTGTAAAGGGTCCAGTAAGGAGTAGCCTGCTTTACAGATTATGACAACAAATCGATATATTTCGTTTAGCAACTTACCTGAATAATAATTTCTGTTCATTCCGTACGGAGTAACACAAATTGTCGCAATCTCGCTCTATTAAAACAGGTAAATAGGAATATTACACCCAAAACACATAAAATACACCTGAAATCTGTCAAGTTGAATTAGGAAATCGGCCTACCATGCAGTGTTGCCATAATTCTCAGCACGGCTTGTAATTATAGACGGCTGTGGTTTAACTGCATCTAGCACGAAAGTGACAAGTGCCTGTGACAGATGACGCAAGTTATAAATGCCATTCTCCTGCAATATTGCCAAGTCGTTATGTCATCTGAATGGTTCTAGGAGCTGATTGGTCGGGCTTATTACGTCACAGAGCCCGCCACAATCATATCGTTTTAAATAAACCTTTAAAACCGCACATGTTCATTATTTTTTTGCTAATCAGCCTCTATTTTTAAATAAACTCTTACTGTCCAAAAAAATGTTTTATGGTTTCAGGTACACGCTTATTAAATTAGAACTGCGAAATTCAACTACACTGTAAACCCCCATTGTAATTTTTTAATATTTGTTACGATTCGTCAACGGCGACAAGTGAAGATTAAACCATTAAAAAAGAGCGCCGCCTGGCATATGTACATTCAAAATCTACGCTACCTGTATCTAGCAAAGAAGAAGGAGGAGCTTAGAGAAATTCTCATAATACCATGAGTAGTCGAAGTATTGTCGAATATTTTTGAGGTGCTGTCACGAATGTTAGTTACGCGATGCTTTTCTTGCCGTGCGTTTTCAATTTGCTTTTATAAATCGTCTTCAGGTAAACAAGGTCTACAAGTAAGACAATTAGATCTACGCATAATCAATCCAGTTTTTGACGTGTGCATTCATTTTCCATTTATAAGCAGCGCACATAGTAAAAATTATGTGTGGGCATGCGCAGTGATGTGTGGGCATACTGCGCAATGCCAAATTTCTTATTTATGGAGATATTTCTTTGAAATTGTAACCACAGGTGCTTCTAGTAAAGGCAAACATTTCGCACATGGTAAAAATTATGTGGGCATGCGCAGTGACTGCACAGACTGCTCATAGCCAACTTTGTTATGTATGGTAATATTTCTTTGAAACTTTATTTTACTTATTTAACTCCTCTCTTTCTCTGGACGTGGACGTGCTTCAATATGCAGATTCGACATTTTGTGTGCTTTCGATGACTGCATCGTTTCAATACTTTGTGTTACGCGGCAATACCTACGAGTGGGTTTTGAAACATTTTTTTCTCTGACCCTTGTAGCTGTGGTAGGTTTATATTTATACAATCACGAGTACAATCATTACTATTACTAGTTTATTAAGAAATAGCCAATAGAATCAACAGTTTATTGTGCTTCTCTAACCATACCTTTATTTCTTGTGACTATTTCTTAATAACCTAATGATTGTGCATGCCCGCCATTAGCCTTGCCATTAGCTTTACTGTATGAACTTGCACGAATTATTTACGAGATGTTGTACTAATTGCGAGACTAATTGTACCGCGAACTTTAATCTTGTTTTCTTTAATTGGTAATACAGTTAGCTGGCGTCCAAAAGCAAATTGTAAATTTGGTATATAGCACACACAAGAATCCAACCACTTTGCCTAGTAAAGTAGATACAAGGGCTACAAGCAAATGGGTCTCTGATCAGAGCGTGGACGTTTTGTATGTTTGTGGCGAATTGAGGTATTACACCAGTCTTGGCTAAAGTCCAGTGTAAGGGATGTGCTCAAGTGGTACGCAAGCTATGAGGAGGCATATGAGGTGTGAAAAAATAGTACCTATATTGTTTGCCTAGTTGGTTTTAACAGGATGGTGCACCCGCGCATAACCAACAACACCTTGTATTTTAGGTGTTGTTGGCACAACGCCCTAATTGGACAAATTTAACTTCGAAAATGGCAAATTTGTCCAATAGGTACCTATTCTCGCGCTGTATGCGGTTGTGTGCGGGTGCACCATCTTGTTGAAACCAACAGTTTCCAGTTTTTCTTTTATATTTCGTTTGTTCTCTTATGATTTAGGTGTTTTATAATGGAAACACCATATTCAGTTGTAACTTAAATTAATTAAAAATGCTTTTTTTTAACGATGTACTATTTGCTAAAGAGTGTTTCACAACGAATTGGATAGATTATTATCTACGAAACAAATACAAACAAATTTGGGACAAGGAATACATTCAGGTTCTTGCCTTCACGGTTGGGTCCGCGTCGAGGTCCGCGTTCAGTGCAACGCCACCAATACAAGCCAAGCATATACGTGAACTCAAACGTGCACTTAGCACCCTTTTACACTTGTGCTCACTTTAGAGACAACATTTATACTTTTTTTGCTCTCTATATATAGTTTACATCATTTGTGTGCATCTGCACCATTGTTTTCCTTGGAAGCATCAGACTACCCTGAGCCGACTGCCAATATATTTCTGCTCGAACTGGCGGAAGACCAGATGCCAAATGTCAACGTTGCTGCCCTCTATCTACTCGGATCAACTGCCGAAATATGATCCCGCACTCCAGGCCAATTACCGAAATGGTTTCCCATGGCCCCCAGAATTTTTCCAGAGTCAAGTGCCCTAATACCTACTAAGGTTTTTACAAATCCGCGAAATGTAGTGTGAAACACCCTGTACAAATTGTATGTTTTTACATGTTATTGAAGGCGTTACTGTATTTAAGAAGATCCTCGATATTATGGGTCTATTTCGTTCGGCTTATAAAAGGCATTATTTTTTTGGGTAGTAGTATATTATATCGTTATGTGCAATGGCAAACGGTCACTAAACCTTCCGCAAGCACCCATCCAGTTAGCTCAATTAAGTACAGGTACTATCAAAACCTTTAAAAGAAATACTGACGCGCCACGACGAAAATCTCGATATAGACGTCAAGTTTATTAATTTGAGAAATTCAGCACCTGAATTAATCAGAAAACTAACCGTTTATTCGACAGAAAATAATCAAATAAACTGAAAAAAAGCAGGCACTCATGGCGGGAATAACAATAGCATGCAACGGGCGATCGATAGAACAAATGAATTAAAGAAAGCTTAATTAGGTTAAGTATCAATAATTCAAAATCTCCGGTCGTAACTGCAACTCTTCTTTTTAAAAATCGGCAAACGAGGAGATTTTCAAACGTATTTGATCGTCGTTCGTTTTCTGTGACTTTAAAAGTAGTTGCAAAGACATTCACTGATGAAGATGAACAAGACCTGCTGTTGTATGCGAAAGAGTATTGGAGTATTCTTGTAGACTATTATATAAGTATTGACAATTTTCAATCAAGTGCACAAATTTGACAATTTCGAGACAATGACGAGAAACTCCGTGTGCAGATCGCATTGAAATTTTGAAAATTCGAAAAAAAAAATCCACTGCAATTCCTTGTGTACGTTCTTCAGTTAAGGTTTTTGTTTTATTACAGAAAGCGTCCATTTAATTACATAATATGGAACAAATTCCACCGCCGAAGGAGGTGAAAATCCTCGAGACTGCTGAGGATATTCAAGAACGTCGTCAGCAGGTGCTAACGAGATATGACAACTTTAAGGCGGACGCACGCGCCAAACGAGAGAAATTGGAAGACTCGCGCCGTTACCAGTATTTTCGTAGAGACGCCGATGAACTTGAATCTTGGATCTTAGAGAAGCTACAGGCGGCTTCTGATGAAAGTTACAAAGATCCTACCAATCTACAGGTACATGGGCAGATTGATTATGTCACATTACATTTTTTGTTTTAGGCAAAGATTCAGAAACATCAAGCTTTCGAAGCGGAAGTATCAGCGCATAGCAATGCGATCGTCGTTTTGGATAGAACTGGACAAGATATGATCAATCATAATCATTATCAATCGGAGACCATTCGTCGCAGATTAGGTATGCGTAGCGCATTTTTTCAAAATTTGTGTAATACATAGCTTTATAGAGGAACTTCATCGTCTCTGGGAACAACTGTTATCGAAACTGGCAGAGAAGGGCATGAAATTGCAACAAGCTTTGGTGCTTGTTCAGTTTTTACGTCACTGCGACGAAGTTATGTTTTGGATTAATGACAAAGGCAGCTTTTTGACTAGTGAAGAATTCGGTCACGATCTTGAGCATGTTGAAGTGTTGCAAAGGAAATTTGACGAGTTTCAAAAAGATATGGCATCCCAAGAGTACAGAGTAACCGAAGTTAATGAACTTGCTGATAAGTTATTGCTCGATGGACATCCTGATCGCGACACTATTGTCACTCGTAAAGAGGTATTTTCTCAATTTTTAAAGCTGTTTCTTCATGAACAATTTTTAGGAATTAAACAACGCCTGGCTGCGTTTAAAACAGATGGCGCTAATGCGTCAAGACAAGTTATATGGCGCTCATGAAATTCAACGCTTCAATCGTGATTCCGACGAGACAGTCACTTGGATTGCGGAAAAAGATGTTGTTTTATCATCTGACGATTACGGCAGGGATTTGGCGAGCGTTCAGACTTTACAGCGCAAACATGAAGGTGAGTTCTTTGTTTCTGTGAAAGTTGGCTGATTAATTCGCCAATAGGTGTCGAAAGAGATTTGGCCGCATTAGAGGATAAAGTATCCACTCTTGGGCAAGAAGCTGACCGTCTCTGTGGAATACATCCAGATCATGCCAATCAAATTCAAGCTAAACGCGCAGAAATTGAAGCTTATTGGGAGCGGCTTACAGCAAAAGCTAAGGTTGGTTCAATGTTTTTGTCACTCTTCCTAGGCTCAAATTTTATGAGAGTCACTGACTGGATATGAATGTCTCAAAGTGTTTGACTGCTAGGAGACGTTGCCCAAATTTCTTTTGTTATTACAGGTAATTGATTTTTTGAGAAACTTTCTTAAAGCAATTTTTAATACAGAATAAACTGGTGTGGTTTGTTTAGTATAAGTACTAATTTTTTGTTCGGTACATTTTTAGTTTTCTTATTATATAAAGATAAAACCACATTTCTGTGTATGAATAAGAAAATGGTGGTAACCAGCAAACAAGTGGAGAAGTTGTATTCAGGACATTCCACCAGTTAGTTGATTCAACACCATTTCAGGGGCAAGATTCTACCAGAAGAAGGCTTTCAGTATAGGATCTACACGGTGTCCATTTTTCGAGTGCCACTATGGGGATCTCACTTATCTTAAGAGATAGAAAGTTGGTTAAATGGGGGCAAAGTTGCCAATTTTCGTGCTGAATAAGAATCTGAAAAGACATTTCAAATATCTTCAATAGTTTTGAAGATATCTCAAAAAAACAAAAATTTCTGATTTTCGTTTTTATTTTTTTTATGATAAACTAATCGTAGTAGACATTTCTAATTAACACATTATTCGGACACTTTTTAATGGAGATTTCAAATATGGCATCCTGTTTTTAATAACTCTCCAGATGACGGAGAAACACGTGGCAACTTTAGTTTTTCTTATGGGCGCCATTTTGAATTTTCACATTTTGAGATTACGTCTTTTTTTCTCTTTACAACGATATATCACACATGGTGGTTCAGTATCACATTTTTCCTAAAAATACAATTTTTAATTTTTTGAGAAGAGTGCTTTGGAAAAACAAAACGTTCTTTTGTTGTGAACAAAAGGTTGACTTATTTCATGTAGTGTCATTTAGGTTTATGGTAGTTGTATTGCGAAAATGCCTTTTTCAGCGTTATCCAGAGGGGCAACAACCTAGTTTGAGGTATTTTTCTTTGCTGCAAAAAACTTGGGCAAATATGGTTCTTTTAAAAGATGTAGACAGCAATATGGTGATAGACCCAATGAATATGAGCAGGCAATTTTGCAAGCGGTTGAGAGGAAAATCGAATTTCTACTTCTCTGACAACGCTGCAACCAGACAGATGGATTAAACTGTCAAACTTTTGTTGACAACAAAAGAACGTTTTGTTTTTCCAAAGCACTCTTCTCAAAAAATTAAAAATTGTATTTTTAGGAAAAATGTGATACTGAACCAGTATGTGTGATATATCGTTGTAAAGAGAAAAAAAGACGTAATCCCAAAATGTCAAAATTCAATATGGCGCCCATAAGAAAAACTAAAGTTGCCACGTGTTTCTCCGTCATCTTGAACGTAATTAAAAACAGGATGCCATATTTGAAATCTCCATTAAAAAGTGTCCGAATAATGTGCTAATTAGAAATGTCTACTACGACTAGTTTATCATAAAAAAATTAAAAACGAAAATCAGAAATTTTCGTTTTTTTGTCATATCTTCAAAAGTATTGAAGATATTTCAAATTTCTTTTCAGATTCTTATTCAGCACGGAAATTTGCAACTTTGCCCCCATTTAACCAACTTTCTATCTCTTAAGATAAGTGAGATCCCCACAGTGGCACTCGAAAAATGGACACCGTGTATAGCCTATAGTCTCCAGAATTAGGTTCTTCTCATTACCTTTATATCACTAGGGTCCTTCAAGTGTTTTGTCACTCAGGACACTGCACACTTGCGAAATACTCGAGTGTCAGCAGGGGAAGTGCATTGTAATTGTTGGTGCGCCGTAGTTTCCTTCTCTGTATCAGACAAAAAGGCAAAAAGATTTAAATACGATTACAACACCAAACGCAAAAGCTTATAATTTAAATATGGTACTGTTGCAAAAGTAAAGACATGGCAAATGTATGGTCCGGCTTTCACAATAAAGACAGATCTGTATGTATGACTTTAGATTGTATTCATTTAAAAGAAATCGTGGCCTTGATCAACACCCGACAATTCCAAAGAATTGAATAGAAAAATTTTAATTAACACTGGACATAATTCTTGGGAAAAATTTGGCATTAAAGCTCGGATCTGGGTTGCATTTTGGGTTCGATTAAACACAGTTAATTGACAAAGACAAAAATTTATTCCGCAGAAATTAAAACAGCAGTGCTGAAAGAAAGAAAAGCATTTAGAGCCTCTTTTTACACATACCACGCACGCACGCGGTCGACAGACGATTAAATAAAGAAATCTTAATTACTTACCGTTTTTCAGTAATCTACTAAATCGGGTTATAACAATTTTACGATATTCAGGCGCACTTAGAATTGACAAATACATGCGGACAGTTTCAGAAACTTCACTTCTTTTTTATTAAACTGGATGTTGATGACAAAAAAAATTAAAAAATAACTGACTTTTGAGATGGTAGAGCACTTACTTTTGATGAGTGATAAACCCGGTGGAAAGGCTTCACTATACAACTGCTTCATGTACTCAACCTAGAACTGCTACTATTTTCGTTAACGGACGAAATACTTTAAAAACTTCTCACGAACGTTTACTGACTCACTTTATAATGTTATAACTTAAGTCACTCAATACGATTAATTACATCTCCAACTAAACGAAAATAGGACCGACTGCACAAAATAACCGCGTTACAAATATTACACACTCAAACCGTCACCAATAAAAATGTCCTGTTTAAACGTTGTCTTCGGTGTATAAAGGATCCGGCACCTGTCCCCACTTCGCCAAGAAACGCGCACATCTTCGTAAAAGACCTGTGTCTTATAAGAACGACTTGTGCATTAATTAAATTGCCCCTAACAATAAAACTTCTTATCGTAAATGACAAATATTGGAATACAAATTCAAACAAAACGATCACACTGGGTTTATTTGTCAACCCACCAGATTTACTTCAAAAAATTGAAATATTTCAGATACAGGATGGTCCAACCTTTTTGAAGGTTTAAAACCAAACAAAATGACAGCATGATGTTGTTTACAGTACACATCAACAAAAATTTTATGGGTCATGGAAAACATGTACATTCTTATTTCCCAATATAAAAGACATGTTCGATCCATAAATTATAAGGTTCAGTTTCACCACATCCACTTATTCTGTATCAAAAACTAGTTTCAGAAAGTTTTTTAGGGTACAATACAAAAAGAAATTGTCTGAATTCAAGAAGCGTCCCCTAGCAGTCTTGATAGTGAAATTCTTTCGGCCTCAGTAAGAGATACATGAGTTTTCGTTTACTTTGCCTCACTGACTTATCAATTTCGGATTGTAGGAACGTCGTGAAAAATTAGACGAGTCATACTTCCTACATCGATTCTTAGCAGATTTTCGAGATTTAGTGTCATGGATCAACGACATGAAAGCGATCATATCCGCAGATGAGCTTTCCAAAGACGTAGCCGGTGCCGAAGCTTTGTTAGAGCGACATCAAGAGCATAAGGGAGAGATTGATGCTCGAGAAGACAGCTTTTCAGCAACGACCGAAGCTGGAAAGCAACTTTTGGAAAATGGCCACTATGCGTCCGAAGAAATTAAAGACAAATTAACACAGTTAGCGTCTGACAAAAATTCATTATTGGGTATGTTACGTGTTACTCTTGTTGCAGTATATAAATGACTCATTTTGTAGCTTTATGGGAAGAAAGGCGTATTTTGTATGAACAGTGCATGGATTTGCAACTGTTTTATCGTGATACAGAGCAAGCTGATACATGGATGGCAAAACAAGAAGCATTTTTGGCTAATGAGGACTTGGGAGATTCTCTAGATTCCGTTGAAGATTTAATAAAGAAGCATGAAGATTTCGAAAAATCGTTAGCTGCTCAAGAGGAAAAGATTAAAGCGCTTGACGAATTCGCTACGAAATTAATTAATGGAGAGCACTATGCGGCTGATGATGTGGCCCAGAGACGTGCCATGGTACTTTTAGATTTACTTTCATCTAACATCTTATTCAATTTTCGTACAGCTTTTAGAACGACGTTCCGCTTTGAAAGAAAAAACGTTCTTGAGGAAGACCATTTTAGAAGACGCGTATAAATTACAACAATTTGAACGGGACTGTGACGAGACCAAAGGGTGGATAAATGAAAAATTAAAGTTTGCCACCGATGACAGTTATTTGGATCCTACTAACTTGGGTGGCAAAGTTCAAAAACATCAAAATTTTGAACAGGAATTGAACGCTAATAAAAATAGAATGGAAGAAATAACGTCAACTGGACAAGAACTAATCAACTCTGACCATTATGCCTCTTGTAAGTACTTTTTTGCTACATTGTTGCATTACAGTCTGTTGTAACGGTTTGCTCAATAATAAAATTGGAGTATAAACATAAAATAAAACACATCTAAATCTACAGTGTGTCCTATTTTGGTTGAGACTGCAGTGTATCTCGGCTGTTTTTAAAGATAGAGACTTGCGGTTTTCGTGACCCTGTGCCAATTCTTTGTGAAACTTTTAATACCACAAACAGAATCAATCTGGCTCTGTTTGTTTCAGAGATACAGTATGAAAACGAAAAGTTTGACTTTTTGGGGTGTTATCATATCTTACTACCCATGCAAGTTAGAAAAAATGTAAAAACGGTTTATTTTACATATTTTTACGTAAAATCCAGTGGCTTATTAAACAAAATTTTTGGACCACTATATCTGAGATTGGGCCCATGTTGGTATTTTTAATGCAACGTCCTATATATCTTAAAGTTTATATACATAATTATATATTATATCATATTTTTTAATGCTTTGTAATGGCATGTTTCTACAGTCAGCCATTTTTATTGATTGGTATCGGCTGCCATGGATACAATAAACAAAACAAAATCTCCATAAATCCATGGCCTACTATTTAAAAACCATAAAAAATAAGATTTTTAATTTTTTTCATGGCTAAAATAAAAAAAAAATAAGTTGTGAGACAGCAGTGACATCTGGAAAAATAATGTAAAAAATTTACGTTAAGATATACAAGGTGTTGCATTTAAAAAATACAAACTTTGAGTGAAATCTCAGGAACGGTGGACTGATAACATCCAAAAAAGTAAAACTTTTTGTTTTCACCCTGTATCTCCAAAACAAACGTAGCTAGATTGATTCTGTTTGTGGTATTAAAAAAAGGGGCACAGGATTATTTAATTAATTGTGAATCTTTTCTCTAATTTGGCCATTGTTGTATCTCAATGGTTTTGGAGATCCGCATGATAGACATTCTTATCTTGGACACATTGTAGAGTGAGGGGTAGAGTTCTGCTTGTGTGGGTCTAGCATCTCCTTACGATTTGTTGCAATAATAAATGAAATAAGTCGGTTGATAACAGGTCTCCCTGTCGAAGTCCCCATCTAACTCTGAAGTTCCATAAGTGAACCTTGTTACTTTGTTGTTCGTTGTTTGTATTTCTTCTTCCATTCTCTTCCTCTTCTTACTCTCTGCATATCTTTTTTGTTTCTTTTCTGCTGCCTTCATATCTTCTCTTGTTTTCTTAGGTATTCCTAGTCATCATTTCCATCCTGGATTTGTTTCTCCTTTCAATAGCTTTTCTGAATTCCCATCGAACCAGTCTGTGAGCTTTTTCTTCAGTTTAGTCATGCACTGTGATTTTTGTATACTTTTCCAGTTTGCTTCTATGTTCATTCTCAATTATGTTTTGCAGGTCCTCTTCCTACACCTTTCTATATTTTTCGATGAATTCTTCCTTTTTCAGTTTGGTCTTGTTCACACCGGATCACTCTTTTCCCTCATATCCTCATTTTTTCGATTGGTTTCAATTGTTCCATTTTTACTCGGACTAAAAAGTGGTCTGTATCAGCATCGGTCCCCCTATAGCTTCTTACTATTCTGATATATTGTGATTCCACCACCATGTGGCCATTGCGATTGGTGGTTCTCCCATCTCCTAACCTAACCGTCTTTTTAGGCTGGGGGAGGGGGGTGGGGAGAGTAATTAGTCGATTTTTCAACCCATCTGATTTGGAGTAAAATTTTTTGATAAGCTACGCTGATTTTCATATTTTAATTGGCATATCTCTTCCTTGGTGCGTTTTTGGTAGTCACCTGGGCCATTAACCTTCTAATCATTCCCGTTATTTCTTCGTACCCTCTGCTTTTACTTGGAGATTTTTTTGGCCCCCTACTCTACTTCCCTGATTCGCTCTCCTCGTCCGAATCTTCCCCTCTTTTTCTTTTACTCTCGTTCGTAGATGACTCTTCTGCTTTACTAGTTTTAGGGGTTCTTGGCAACTGCCTTTCAGCTTGCTATAGTAGTGCTCTTTTGTGACTAGAAAGGTCCTGCTCAAATTTGGGAATGAGTGCGGAAGTTTTACTCTACTGCATGGTGACATTCGGAAGGCAACCTAGAGGTAATTTTGTAGTGACTGAGTGCCTGCAGGGAGCCTTATGTCACTGGATATTTCCGGAAGTGCTTCCATGATGACTGTGGGGGTTGTCCGCATCGCCCAGGTGCAAGCAGGGTATCCTTGCCACTAGACCATTGTGGCATACATTACATTGTGACTGAACTGAGTCCAGATTCCAAAATAGTTAAGGGGAAGGGTCAATTACGGCGTATCTTTTCGCATGAACCATACAATACACTGTATAGAACGGCAGACGACAGTGTTTTCTTGCGTACCTTTAATTGTAATACACAGTGTCCATTTTTCGAGTGCCACTATGGGGATCTCACTTATCATAAGAGATAGAAAGTTGGTTAAATGGGGACAAAGTTGCAAATTTCCGTGCTGAATAAGAATCTGAAAGAAATTTAAAATATCTTCCATAGTTTTGAAGATATCGCAAAAAAACGAAAATCAGGATTTTCGTTTTTAATTTTTTTATGATAAACTAATCGTAGCATTTCTAATTAACACGTTATTCGGACACTTTTTAATGGACATTTCAAATATGGCATCCTGTTTTTAATTACTTTCAAGATGATGGAGAAACACGTGGCAACTTTAGTTTTTCTTAAGGGCGCCATATTGAATTTTGATATTTTGGGATTACGTCTTTTTGTCTCTTCACAACGATATATCACACATGGTGGTTCAGTATCACATTTTTCCTAAAAATACAATGTTTAATTTTTTGAGAAGATTGCTTTAGAAAAACAAAACATTATTTTGTTGTAAACAAAAGTTTGACAGTTTGATCCATCTGTCTGGTTGCAGCGTTGTCAGATAAGTAGAAATTCGATTTTCATCTGAACATAATTGAACCTTCGTTTTACAATAAAATTTATAATTAAAATTAGAACAAAATACATCACAACATGTGTTCAAATTGCCCAGCTCCTAATTCTGAGAACAGTGCCACTCTCTTCCTAAGATTTGCTATGGCTCTTGACACATCCCTTCTTCTACTCTTGTCAAATCCAAAGCACTCTTCTCAAAAAATTACAAATTGTATTTTTAGGAAAAAATGTGATACTGAACCACCATGTGTGATATATCGTTGTAAAGAGAAAATAAGACGTAATTTCAAAATGTGAAAATTCAAAATAGCGCCCATAAGAAAAACTAAAGTTTCCACGTGTTTCTCCGTGATCTTGAAAGTTATTAAAAACAGGATGTCATATTTAAAATCTCCATTAAAAAGTGTCCGAATAATGTGTTAATTAGAAATGTCTACTACGATTACTTTATCATAAAAAAATTAAAAACGAAAATCAGACATTTTCGTTTTTTTGCGATATCTTCAAAACTATTGAAGATATTTCAAATTTCTTTTCAGATTCTTATTCAGCACGAAAATTTGCAACTTTGCCCCCATTTAACCAACTTTCTATCTCTTAAGATAAGTGAGATCTCCATAGTGGCACTCGAAAAATGGACACCGTGTATAGTGAAAACAAAAGAGACACTGTTTACTTTCTTCTTGAACAGTTTGACTAATTGTACTTTATCTGTTTTACAAATACTACCATCTGGATAGTAGATGGATGTTGGTACGGCTTTGAGGAAACCATCATTAAGTGGAATGAACCAAGATGCATGAAAGGATTATTAAATTGTGACTTTTATGTTGATTTGATTTTGTATGCTACTTTGGCTATTACCAAATCATAAGTAACTTGCACCTATCTTTGATTACAGGATAAAATGCATGTAAGGCAACTAAATTTTCGCTACAAAAATGTTTATTATTCCTAAACGATTTAAGATGACATATGTGTTCACGAAGTCTTTTTTTTTTGTGAAAATTTACATGGTTTATTGTTTGCGCATAAAAGTTTTTATTGGTTCTTCATTTCGACAGCATTTACGAATGCACAGGGTGACCCATTAATAATGGTCACAGGCCGTCCCATTAATAATGGTCACAGGCCATATCTATGGAATCGTTAATTGCACCGCTTCGGGAAAAAAATTTTGTTAACAAAAGGGGCCAAGAGAAATTGCTGGAAATTATTTTGTGACGCTGGAGCATTCAGTTACTAAATACTACTACAAACATGCACATATTCAAAATGCTTATTATTCCTAAGCTGCTTAAAATAGGCTTTTTTTTAAACATTCTACAATTAATTTTCTATATAACTCAGTTTTCCCTGCGTTTTCAATCCAATGGCTGTGAGCGTGATGCGTAAACTTGCCGGCTCTCCATTGCATCGGCCATAAATTGGATTCACTCGATTATGGTGAAGAGAGTTTATACCCCTCTTTCTTATATTGTGCTGGGTACACTCTTTGGACACTGAGTTCTATACAGATGTGAAGATGTATAACTAGGGATTCTGGAGAGGGCGAGTGATCATTCTTTTCGTCCTTTTGTTGATACCTTTCACTAGAGGTGCATAAAGTGTAGAAGGACAAGGCTGGGAGACTATAAAATTTCCTTCCTGTTTCTGTTCAAAATGTTTTGGATGTTCCAAAAATACACATCTGTAAATTAAGCGCATCCCATTTGCTTTGGTTTTTCCCAATCTCTTAGTATTAGCGACTGTGAAATATGTCCTTAAACATAAGTTGTGCTTATGAAAATATTAAAAGTAGGTTTTTGCCAAAATATGTTACACCAGCAAACTTGAAATGTTACACATATTTTTGTATGCAATCGCAACGAATGTTGACAAGAAGATTCCGATACTTTGAGCAAATCAGTTACAATCAGGCTATAGTCGGCCATCAAACTGAGTACATAAAACACTCACAGTAAGATAATGAGTCAATAAGGTGACTCACTTAAGTAAGTTTGATTCAACTACAGGTCACAAATTATTGACAATTACTACCTTATGATTACAGCTCGAATTCAACAACGCATGGATGAAATTGTACATCTGTGGGAAACTTTAGTTCAAGCAACGGACAAGAAAGGATCTAAATTACAAGAAGCAAACCAACAACAGCAATTCAATAGAACCGTAGAGGATGTAGAGTTGTGGCTGTCAGAAATTGAGGGTCAACTAATGTCCGAAGACTACGGAAAGGTCTGTTGTCGAACAATTGGCGCGCTTTCTTTGACCAAATTTTCAGGATTTAACCTCTGTGCAAAATCTGCAAAAGAAACATGCTTTGTTAGAAGCGGACGTGGGTTCCCATCAAGATCGTATCGAAGGTATAAAGGCGGCTGCTCAACAATTTATAGAACGAGGTCACTTTGACTCCGACAATATCGCTACTAAACAGTCAGGTTTGACTAATCGCTATTCTGCATTGCAAACCCCTATGGCAGTTCGCAAGCAAAGGCTTTTGGATTCCCTGCAGGTTCAGCAGCTTTTCAGAGATATTGAAGATGAGGAAGCGTGGATTCGCGAAAAGGAACCCATTGCCGCCAGCACAAACAGAGGTACTGTGTAGTGTTTGCGAACATGACTGTGTTGACATATTATTTAAGGGCGGGATCTGATTGGCGTGCAAAATTTGATCAAAAAGCATCAAGCGGTCTTGGCAGAAATTAATAATCACGATAGTCGCATCGCTGCTGTCGTCGACGCGGGCAAACACATGATGGAAGATGAGCATTTTGCCAGTGACGAAATTCGTAATCGAGTAAACACTCTTCAGGATCATTGGATTCAACTTACTGATAAGGCTAAACAGGTTTGTAATTGCTGTATCTTCGCTATGACTAAAGTAGCAATGTAGAGGAAACAAGACCTTGAAGATTCTCTACAAGCTCATCAGTATTATGCCGATGCTAATGAGGCCGAGTCATGGATGAGGGAAAAGGAGCCGAGTGTGAGTAACACGGATTATGGAAAGGATGAGGATTCTTCAGAGGCTTTGCTTAAGAAACATGAAGCTTTACTAAGTGATCTTTTAGCGTTTGGCAACACTATTGAAGCTCTAAAGGAGCAAGCCGGTAGCTGCAGGGTAATGCTTTTATTATGCTTCATTTACAGTTGGCGTTAAATATTTTGTTACAGCAACAAGAACCTCCTGTTGTGGACGTCACCGGTAAAGAGGCAGTTGTTGCTTTGTACGATTACACCGAGAAATCACCTCGTGAAGTTTCCATGAAAAAAGGTCATTTACTTACTCTCCTAAATTCAAATAATAAGGTAAAAATCTTTTACGATAATTGTCAACTTTTGCTATCTTCATTTGTTTTATCTCTTTGACTTGAGATAACCTTCATAGTAGTACAGATAATTTTTGTAATCTTTCAGTTTTTCACATTGCGCAGATATGATTGTTTGTTTTTGGTTATTGTATTTTCTTGTGGTTAGACTTTCAAAATGTAAAGAGAAAAAGGATATTCTGTGTAAATTTACAATCGATTACGTAATTTTACGTATTTTAATATCACAAATTAAATAATTGCAATTCAGGATTGGTGGAAGGTGGAAGTAAATGATCGCCAAGGATTCGTGCCTGCTGCTTACGTAAAAAAGGTAGAAGCTGGTTTAACCGCATCTCAACAGAATTTGGTCGATAATAACTCCATTCCCGCTCGTCAAGCGCAAATCAACGCTCAGTATGATCATCTGCTGGAATTGGCACGTGAACGTCAAAAGAAGCTTAATGAGACTGTTAAGGCTTATGTTTTGGTTCGAGAAGCGGCAGATCTTCATAACTGGATTAAAGATAAGGTAACTGTTGAAATGTCGAGACTTTGACTGAACCCTTTGGTTGTTTAGGAGATGCACGCTCAAGTGCAGGATGTCGGAGAAGACTTGGAGCAAGTGGAAGTGTTGCAAAAGAAATTTGACGATTTCCAAAACGATTTGAAGGCTAATGAAGTTCGTCTAGCTGAAATGAATGAAATTGCTATGCAATTGGTTTCTCTGGGTCAAACCGAAGCAGCCCTTAAAATTCAAACACAGATGGAGGTTTGTTTCCATTATACATTTTATCTGTTTCTGTTTCCCATATACAAGTCAGTGTAACAATTAAGGTTTCTTCAGGACCTAAATGATAAATGGGCATCCCTGCAACAAGTTACAACAGAGCGTGCAACGCAACTGGGTTCTGCTCATGAAGTGCAACGTTTTACCAGAGATGTTGATGAAACAAAGGATTGGATTCAAGAAAAAGACGAGGCCCTTAACAATGACGATTTGGGAAAAGATCTTAGAAGCGTACAGGCACTGCAACGTAAACATGAAGGATTGGAGCGAGATTTGGCTGCATTGGGTGATAAGGTAACAACCTCTTTCCTCTCTCTCTTTCTCCCAGTAATTTATTTGCCTACTGCAGATCAAACAATTAGATGAAACCGCTAATCGTCTTGTAACCAGTCATCCTGAATCTGCCGAACAAACCTACACAAAGCAACGGGAAATTAACGAACTCTGGACTCAATTAACTGCCAAAGCGAATAGTCGAAAGGAGAAGCTTCTCGACTCCTATGACCTTCAACGATTTTTGAGCGATCATCGTGATTTACTTGCGTGGATTAATTCAATGCTTGGTTTAGTAAGTTCAGATGAACTAGCGAATGATGTGACCGGAGCAGAGGCATTGATCGAACGACATCAGGTTAGTAGTTTGACTTTTTTGTGTGTGTGTGTGTGAGCTAATTTTCTTGTACCGATTTGTGATTGCATGATGTTGAACAAAGTTTTCTCTTAAGAATAGCAAAAATTGTTGAAATCCAGATGGTTGGACCTTAGCAGTATTGTCCATATACCGGGTGATTCATTAGAAGTGAGCACAATTTGAATTTCCCGCAAATAAAAAAAATTCTGAAGTTGGTACTAACTGATGATCTTTTATTTAATTGCAGTAATATAAATAATCGTTTACTTATTTATAATCTACAAATACTGCTTCTGTTTTACAACAAATTATAAACTAACACTAGACACAGTCACGTTTCTTACATATTTTAGTGCATCAACTCTAAAAATGGTTCAAAATGGAAAAAGTAATAAACCGCAAATGGCACACAACAATTAACAGCGACACTGGTTTCTTAAGAGCCCGCTACGCGTATTAAATAACTTACGCATTTTCCGTTCAGCTCTTAGCGATTTTTTCGAAAACGGCGTTAGTTAGCAACATCGTGAAAGTTACGTTGGATTCTATAACCTTTCTTCTACGCCTCTCTTGTAACAGATTTTTGATATTTTTTAAATGTTAATAATTACGGCACCTGAAAATACTGAAAATATCATGCATTTCTACAATTATTTATGCAAAATTCGAGTATTATATAAAAAATCTGTTACAAGAGAGGCATAGATGGGTCCTTTATCTTTACATCGGTACCTAACATCAAAGGATAGAATCCAATTTACTCAAAATTTTATACTAAGTCCCACACCTCTACAACGCTACTCGACTCGTATAACATCTGGCGAAGCTACATATTCTTTATTAAAGAGGCGCGACTTAATGTTTAGTGTGAGTATTCAGGACCGGAGTCAGTTGTGCTGTAGCCTTTACTGTATGGTGCTTTTAAAAATATAATTTTTATCACCTTTTGTGAATTGTGAGCGTCGGAATATATACAGAGCATTAGATATATGAATTATGATATATACTGAGCGAATTTTTACGCGGAAAAACAGGAGTGTTATTGTGTCAACAGTTTGTTTCTTATCGGGTGGATAACTTTTAGTGGAATTACACATGGAAGCTAACTACAGAAGAGGAGCGAAGACAAGGTTGCGGTTATCTATTCGCAGGAAGAAATCCAATAATATCTATAAATACAATGCGTAAGTTATTTTTTATAGCTACCAGCATGTAGTAAAATAATTTGTTCTAGGGCTCGTGCTGTTGGGCTTCCTTGTTCGACCAAAAATATTTTGCCAACATCTAGAACTACGTAAGTATATTTCCATAGATAATACATACGAGATTTCGAATTGTCTGTGCGTCACCTTTGTTACTATTAGAAAGGTATTTCAAATATCTTTTTCTAAATCATACCTTACCTATTCAGTGGTCCTTTATATTTTTGTATTGTTGTCCGTCCGTGTGCACAACAACTTTTTTTATATGCGGCCGATTGCGCTGAAATGTGGTGTCAATAGGAACAAAAGTTATGAATTAATTGCTAAAGTAATGGAAGTCAATCTTTCCTTAGTGTGGTTTATACGTTTTCCGGTAACTTTTAAATTGTGAGCGTTTTATCCACCCGTCCGTCCGTCAAAATTCATTCAGTTTTAGCAATATTTTGGATTTATTTTTGAAAATAATGAAAAATCGAAAAGGAGCAATTAATTAGCAAATAAAAAGCTGTGTCGAGTTATAAAGAATTTTTCTTATAAATAAATTTTTTTATGTCTCTCTATTTCTTTAATTTTTTGTGTCAAACACATGTCCAAAAAGTCACGTAACTTGAGACATACTGTAATTAGGGATCTATCATAAAAAACAGAATCAGTTATTATAAAAATTAGAGCCATAACACTGTAAAAACGTCGTTACGGTAAAATAGTTATTCAAAATATGGCCGTAGTGTTAGATTAAAAACTAAACTTTTTTACTTGCGCACGCACATAGTTCTGGAAAAAAGCGCATTTTTTAGTACAGCTACGACCTTAAATAGTTTGAGGACAGCGATATTTAATTAAATGCTGCCCATCAACATAATAAATCATCCATTTTTAGTTCCTACTCATCGACACGATGTGTTTGATAACCTAGAAGTGGGTAGTTTGACTAGAATCTACTTTTTTATCTATTTTTCAACATATGTTTTTTTCTTTGATTTTTAGTATCTTTATAATGTTATAGGGAAAAGGAAAGTATTCTGCCAAATGTAGAAATCATTGCCAATATTACCGAATCTTCACCTGAATCCCCAGAGATAGAAAAAAGGAAAACGTAATATTTTCCATATCGATTTTTTATGTGTTTATCTTTATACCGTTTTAGGGTAGAGAACAATGATGACCGTCTTGACGTATGCCAAGTGACGAATGGTGCTCACATTGAACACTTGTAGGCTATTATGTAAAACTGTTTGAGTTTCTCTTTCATTTGAACATTTGACAATTGTGGCTGTAAGTTTGATGTATTAAATATTATAACATGTTAAAACCCCTCTATTCATTTTGAAACACGCTGTATATAAAAATATTCCATTTTTTTTCCTTACTGCTGTGAATGAGTCGTGTACCTTATGACTATAAGAATTAAACCATTGTACATAATAAATAAATATTTTTAACATAAGGTATTTTTGTGTTGCTTAAAGCTAATTTGAAAATTCCCGAAAGATTCCCTTATTTATGCGTACAAAGGAAAATAAGTTGAGGCATTTAATATTCTTATAAATAAGAAACTTAGCCTTTGAGTAGTCTGCGCAGTGCGCATGCACACACCTAATGTTTACAATATGCGATATGTTTGCCTTTACTAGAAGAATCTTCGGTTAAAATTTCCAAAAAATATCTATAAATCTGATTTTTACAATATACGATATGTTTCCATTTTTTTTTGTAATGCGTTAACAGGACATGCCCAACACTGCTTCCGAAGTATAACGATAGGTAATAATTTTTTGAATTGTTTAGAGGCATTGTAGAATGCGTCTATATAAGTAAGTGGTGAAAGCTTTGTACAGGCTATACTGTGAGTAATTTCAAAAGGGTTTTTGAATTTAATTAAATCCCTTTTTCAGTACTCATAACTCATAACTTTTATTGTTTCCTGTTGACAATATAATATTGTATTAGGACATGTCACAAAATGAAGAAAAAAGAAAGAAAAAGGGAAAGAAAACATTGACAAAAACGATGAAGTACCGAAATATATTATCGTGTAATGGATTCTTAATTATAAATTGTATACTGCGTCGCGCAAGGCACTATCCGGTATGGTATAGCAGTGCAAATTTGAAAGTACGCGTACCTTACGAATAAGTTCAAATACGTTCCTTTCAAATCGGTCAGAAAATACTGCAGTAGGGATATGCTAATGCCCGCCTCCGACTGCGATCCTCTCCACCCGACCGCGGAGCGCTTCCCTAGCCGTATGTAGAGAACGTACTCTTAAGT